ATCAACCTCGGCCCTTCGGGGTTCAGCCACTCCGGACCAGTTAATACAAGGATCAGACTAGTCGACGCAAGGAATCAGAGCTTCAGGCAAGGATAGAGTAAAGGAGTTAAAAGGATATGAATATATTAAATACTACTCAATTTGCGATCTACTTGGCAAGTCTTCGTCGCGCTGTATAGGAACTCGAGTCTGGCCACACGCCTGTTTCGGGAGAGGGATATATTTGGCCCCCCGTTGAAGATAGGCGTGTGGTTAGACTCAAGTGCGAGCTACGTGGCACGACTCCGTCACCCAAGAAGAACTTGCTCTAAGTTACTCACAGTTCCGGGAAGGGATATATTTTGGCTCCCCGTCGAAGACAGTTGTGTAGCGAAGTTCAAGTGCGAATAGAGCTCCAGGATATATTTGGCCTGTGAGCTCGTTCGAGTAACAACACCCCCCAAGACCCGCTATCGGAAGCGGCCTCCCTTACCTCACGGTCCGGGAGCAAAGTAAAGGTCAGGTGGTTGATACCCCTGAAACAAGATGGAACAGGCCAGGGATAAGCTCCCTGAAGAATTTGGCTTTAAGTCCACTCTCAACAAGGTCGATCGAGAGGCCACCTACCGGCCCACCGAGTGAAGCATATCCACTCGAGGCCTCCAAGGTCTACCTCTCTCAAGCCAGACGTCTACATCTTCACCAAGTCCTCCGAAAAGTGCGACCCGCCAGCCGACGGGTACACAAGGTGAGAGAAGGTCCATACGCGGCATCGGGGTACCCCCTCCGACAGCCGGCAGTCCGGCACAGTGAGTGGTTTGGGGTCTCATCATACAATTTTGAGAACCCACTCCACCACACGCCTGTTCCGGTAGAGGGATATATTTGGTACCCCCGTTGAAGATAGGCGTGTGGTTAGACTTAAGTGCGAGCTGAACCCCCCTGTGGCACGACTCCGTCACCCAACAAGAACTTGCTCTAAAGCTACCACCTGTTCCGGGAAGGGATATATTTGGCCCCCCGTTGATGACAGTTCCGTGGTTAAGTTCAAGTGCGAATAGAGCCCCAGGACATGTTTGTCCTGTGAGCTCGTTTGAGTAGCAGCACCCCCCCCCCCAAGGCCCGCTATCAAAATCGGTCTCCCTCAGTGACACTGCTAGTCTAGCAGTGGTCACGGCACCTATAGGTGTCACAGAGGAGGCACGGCAAGAAATGCCTGTGCTCCTTGACGATAACACTGTACTGTTATCGACAGCGACGATCCATGAACGACCTCTTGGAGGCGTCATAGGCGAGCTGGATGCTAAAAGCGTGAGCGAAGCTCAGCGCTTTGTGGATGAGCGATTATCCATCACACGTAAAGTCCGTGACGCGATGGGAAGCGCACAGGACAAACAAAAACAACATGTAGACCAACATGGTCGCAAAAACAATGACACTTTAGTGTAGGGGACAAAGTTCTATTAAGTACTGATGCCCTGCCTAAACATACAATTTCGGTACTAACTGGTGGTACTACTAAGCTATTGCCCCGATTCATTGGGCCCTTTACAGTGGTTAAAGAAGTTGGATACCTAAATTATAGGCTCACTCTCCCACCGTATGTGAAGACGCACCCCGTATTTTATGTGGGTCGTCTGAAACGGTATGTTGATCCAGAAGAGATCACATATCCACATCGGTCTAACGAGACCGATGGTGACGTCGACTGTGAGTCGAGCGTCGCGACCGATCAGGCGACGAGGAAGCCGAGAGGCTCCCCGTATACGAACGAGGCGATAGAGGACTCTGCGATCGAGGAGGACTCCGCGATTGAAGCGGGTCTCTCATCACCAGTCGCTCTAAAATGTCCAAGCGGGTCTTCAGGCGGTCATACCCCTGACGGTCCCTCGTTCTCACATCGCGCAGATCCAAAGTCAGTCGCGAGACTTGACTCTCGAGATCTGTCACCTGCCTCTTCAGCGCAGCGGACTCAGCCTGCGACTGAACAGCAGCAGGGTAGGCAGCCGCGAGTAGGTGGGCGTAATCGCCACTCCTATCGGGCGCCACCTGTGTTGGTGGACACGGAAGGTAATACGCGCTTCCTTGTTGGAAGGCTGTTGGCCCACCGGTTTGTAAAGCGAAAGCTTCAAATCCTTGTCCAGTGGAAGGGTTACCCAACGAGCTTTGACTTGTGGGAGCCTGTGGACGCTTTGCGCTTCGACGTGCCTGGGCTGGTGGATGCTTATGTGAAGCAGCACCAGCTGAAGTCTTTCTGCTAGGTCCGGATGGACTAGCAGAAGAAGCGTGGCAAGAATCAATTGGGGGTCGCTTACCACCCAAGATTTCATGCGCACGCTTCATGGCGAAGCTGTTTCGCTGCGACCGTTATTTCGTTGCATCTACATGCAAGGTAACACGGTGCCGGAGTTCAACTTCATATTCGTCGGCTGTTTCGCTAGAACGAAGCACGACTGGAATTGGGAAAGCACGACCAAGTGCTTCGCCCTGCTTTTTCCACAAGGGAAAGACGCTATAAAACGTATGAGCGTCAATAGCTGCACGATTCAAAAGCGCTGCACTAGACCCATCCGAATTCATCCACTCAGATGGAGGTGGCATTGGTGGCAAGCCACCACTCACATAGCCGCCCTCGCGACGGCGGGCTAGTGAGGCCGAAGGTGTACTTGATGGAGCTTTAAGCTCACACTCACCTGAGTCTGACTCTCCATTATGGATTTTCAAGACATCAGCATGAGGAGTCACATCTGACTGAGTCGCGACTACTCCTTTCGAAGTAGCGCGCTCAGTCTTAGTCGCTGCGCTCGTAGGCGCAGGCGACGAGGTTTTACCTTCGCTTGTAGGAAGCATAGATGCTCCCTCAAGGACGGGTGCCTCAAATGATGGGGACATATGTCCCATCAATGCGCTTTCCTCATCGCCACTTTGGGGTGATGGCAATGGCGTAGCCTCATTGTAGTTTACAATGAGAGATGGATCTTCATCCACATTATAGTGAGATGGAAGATTTGCCTCAGTGCCTGAAGCACTTTTCGACGGCTGCGATAAATCGCGGCGAGTGCGCTTAGTGCTGGACTGCATGGGCGTGTGGTGGAGTGGGTTCTCAAAATTGTATGTTGAGACCCCAAACCACTCACTGTGCCGGACTGCCGGCTGTCGGAGGGGGTACCCCGATGCCGCGTATGGACCTTCTTCTCACCTTGTGTACCCGTCGGCTGGCGGGTCGCACTCTTCGGAGGACTTGGTGAAGATGTAGACGTCTGGCTTGAGAGAGGTAGACCTTGGAGGCCTCGAGTGGATATGCTTCACTCGGTGGGCCGGTAGGTGGCCTCTCGATCGACCTTGTTGAGAGTGGACTTAAAGCCAAATTCTTCAGGGAGCTTATCCCTGGCCTGTTCCATCTTGTTTCAGGGGTATCAACCACCTGACCTTTACTTTGCTCCCGGACCGTGAGGTAAGGGAGGCCGCTTCCGATAGCGGGTCTTGGGGGGTGTTGTTACTCGAACGAGCTCACAGGCCAAATATATCCTGGAGCTCTATTCGCACTTGAACTTCGCTACACAACTGTCTTCGACGGGGAGCCAAAATATATCCCTTCCCGGAACTGTGAGTAACTTAGAGCAAGTTCTTCTTGGGTGACGGAGTCGTGCCACGTAGCTCGCACTTGAGTCTAACCACACGCCTATCTTCAACGGGGGGCCAAATATATCCCTCTCCCGAAACAGGCGTGTGGCCAGACTCGAGTTCCTATACAGCGCGACGAAGACTTGCCAAGTAGATCGCAAATTGAGTAGTATTTAATATATTCATATCCTTTTAACTCCTTTACTCTATCCTTGCCTGAAGCTCTGATTCCTTGCGTCGACTAGTCTGATCCTAAAGGCTGAGGTTGATCGCCGAGGGACCCAGGTCTACCAACGAAGGACCGGGTCTTCCAACAAGGGACCCAGGTCGACCAATGAGGGACTGGGTCTACCGACGAGGGGCCGAAGTTGACCGACGAGAGGGACCCATGTCTACTGATGAGGGACCGGGTTGTCCAATGAGGGACCGGGTCGACCAATAAGGGACCGGATCCACCAGTGAGGGACCGGGACTTCCAAAAGGGGCCATGGTCGACTCCCTTCGGTACCGGTTAAACCTTACCCTAGTAATGACCTCTTCTTTGTTTGTCTTGTCTTTCACATTCTCAGCCAACGGTCTCTTCACTCCGAGGTTCCCTTTATCTCCGGTCCATTCTCTCTGGTGCGCGGTCCCTTCTCCCTGGTCCACGGCCCCTTGTCCCTCCAATCCAACTGGCCCCTTGGTTCTTCACAATTTAGAAAAGCACTTCACCACAGGCGCCTTTGCAGACGACCCATCAGCCTTACCACGTTTCGGTGGCATGAGAATTGAGTAGACTATGTGTGCTAGTAGCACGAGGCAACTTCGTAGAAGTGCACGTCTACATGAGGCCTCTTATCCTTTTTTTTACTCCCACCTCCTCACAAAAACCATTTTGGGAGCTATTCAAAGAAGCGTGTGCTCTTAATCGGACTGAGTTGGGGTCATTTGAAATGTGTGCTTGGTCCGGCTTCCGCATCACTAAATTTATAGAAAGGTTGGGGTCAGAGTTATTCAGAATCACAAAACGAACTGAGAATTGCTGGAGAGAATGTTGCACAGATATAACAGCTTAGAAAATTAATGTTTAGTTTCCTTGTAGTCATTGATTTGAGCTTCAATTGCCTAAGGCGGGCTGTTTGGTTCGCCCCGACCAGATACTAATTTTTAATAAAACCACAAAATATAGCGTATATATTATCACTTCTGATAACTCGGAAAAATCTCAGAAGAAAAAAAACTCAGGAACCGTATATAATCTTGGAGTATTCCATTTTTTCGATTCAGGATTCCCTTGTAGTTGATCTAACGCAGCGTCTCATCACATCAAACGTCAATTGGTTGGGACTAAATAAAAAATCTTGGCTCCTATCCGTCACTTAATAATTTCATTGGTCGTGGCAACGTCTACAGTCCCCATGAGCTATTACTCGACTCCCATGAAAACGAAGAATGTGTCGATCCCAGATCATGTTTCAGTTGGAGCTGTTATTGGTAAAGGAGGTAGCTACTGCAAAGCACTTCGTGAGAAACATGGCGTACGATGCTTTGTAGATGGCAACGACCGAAAGGTGGCACTGAAGGGACCAAGAAGTTGCATCCAAAGTGCGGAAGATGAACTCATCAGGTTATTTGCCTCTCTCGAGACCACCGAGGCTAGTGAACAACGAGTCTTTGACATCGTAGCGCGTGGCGGGCCATCCCATTTGTGGACATTTCGAAAGGACGATGAGACTTCTAGCAATTTTAGAATTGAAGAGTATCCGTATCGCCTTCAGCAGTCTGGACGAGCAGTGGAGACTGCCAATCAGGATGACGCTTGGATCAAGGAGTTTCATGAAGACGATACAGCTAATGTGATGAGTTATCTTTTAGAGACTCCGTCGAAATTGCCGCCCAAGATTAAACTATCGTTTGGGAAACTATGTTTTAAGCTCAAGTCCATACGCTATGAGAATGCAACTATCTCGTGGCCGGAGCTGCAGAAACTCCGCAATTACCATGACTTCTTGACGCGCTGGTCCAATTTTTGCAAACGGACGTCGCCTTCCATCGCAGCTTTGATGGACGACCTGGAGGAGTGGATGGAGAAGGGGGTGGAGGTGCAAAAATTGCTGTCCGTGCATGTTGCTGATTCTGAAGGCAAAGTGTTTAACATGAAGTACCATCTCGTTGAAGGTCAGTGGGAGCTGTATAAGGCATACAACAAACGCCACGTACGCGGCAGCTACGACGTCGTTTTCGATAAAGACATCTCGTTCCGCTTGCGCGCTGTTACCCGCGAGAAGATTTCGAAAAATGCCTCGGCTGATATCGAACGCCACCTTGACATCTCGATTCCAGACAATGGTGACTACTTTTGTACCAAAGTCTCTTTGAACAGTACAGCTCCAGTAGGGATGCAGATCAACTCGTTCGAAACGAAGTCGAAAGCTTATGTGGAGGCAAACGGTCTTCACTTTGCTATTTGCTACATGGACCAACGTCAAGAGGAGTTCCGTCTCGAGTGTCGTTTATCGAACGCAGAGAAGGAAAAGCTGGACGTTAAGGATAACGAAGCTCAAGTGGTGCTGAAGAAAGTGTTGCAGATGCTGTAGTAGCCGCCGGAATTGTCATGAATGAGTGACTATTTCACTCGGCTAAGCTTTGTTTGCGAATACAACGAATTGATCTGCAGCGTTTTCTTGTAATTATTCTGCTCGGAATAATTACAAGAAAACGCTGCAGATCAACTCGTTGTATCATTTCGTGAAATTTGTACGTAAGTGTTCGGTGAAACTGCGCAATTCTCATTTCGTCGTGGTGTAACACTTTCCTCACTGTGTTCAGCGTCCTTTGAACCGACTGTGCTCGACACCTCTCGCAAGGGTTCTAGCAGAAACTCGGAATCGACATTCTTTAGACCCTAGGAGATCATCATTAGTCGCTAAGTGAAGTATATGATGTGGATGCACTCCCATACCGTCAACTTGGCTACGTGGACTTATCTGCACCTTTTCAAGAGCGCTTTCCAAAGGTAATCAACGAGTTCGCCGGCAATAGAGGGTCTTCACATTACTGTTCTAGTGCTTACAGGAAGGTGCAGCCCAACTCGGTTCAGGTACTTTGAACACTTCGCCATCAAGCTATGAAAACAGTGCACAAAGGAAACACATGAGTTAGTTACTGTGACACTACGTCGGGGATGTTTTGAGAAACTTATTACCTTGTACTCGAGTGCATGTAGCCAGATCTTTGAGCAATGCAGCTGTGTTTCATTAAAAGCTTCCGATTCCCCAACGTAGCACCATGTGCAAGTCCGTTTTATAAACTCTTCTTCGCTTTCGTTCTCTTTTCGTGGTGTTGAAAAATCCACAGGATCCTTCGGCGGAAGAACAGCTTTGCTGCGCTTGGCAGCTGCTATCTCCTCGACACGCTCTACGCTTTCGCCAAAGTGTAGCTCTCCACCATAGCAGGGGTCATTGGCAATTGGGAACCCAATGAGCTGCAAGTGTAAACGGATTTGGTGCGTTCTGCCTGTGACCGGCTGGCATTTCACAAGACTAGTCGCTTTGTCTACACGAACAAGTCGCACTAAAGTCTCCGATGGTTTGCCCTCCTCATGGCACTCCCACACCCCGTCACGAGCAGAGAGACAGCGAAGTGGGCAGCTAATGAGAATTGCGCCTACTTCTGGGAACGTAATCACACTAGCCAGACACTTTGCTTTTGCTTTACTCACTAGCATTTCTTCGGCTGCTGAATCAAGAATGGCCGGAAATTTTCCACGCACACGCGCAAGATACGTCTTGGAAGCCTGACGATCAGCTAATGTGTTACACCCGCGCAGCAACGGTGCATAGTAATCGTTAGAGAAAAACGCTGACAAACTGGAACTTGCAGCGATCAAACAAGTTATACAATACCGATAAGCATTGACAAAGCCTTCGCCTTGGCCGCATTCTTCGCTAGGAGCACAACACCTAATACAGCCGCCGCAGAAAATAGTAACTATTCGTGAGCAAATAGCTTACGCCAGTTCGACAATGACGTCTTACCAGACGTGAGTCGATCGAGGCGATGAACGATGTTTAGTTGTGGAAGATCCGGTCGGGTTGCTTGTAGAATTGAGTGCAATGAGTTATGGCGATACGCACCACACGGGTGGGTGGGCATGGAAGGCGGCTTTGACACGACAATCTATACCCAGCACCTCACAGTTATTACACACGTTTAAAAGCTCGGTAACAACTCACAACAGCAAGTGAGCATACCAGATCGTCGTTCTCATATACCACTGACACATCGTCTCCAGACACTGGCGGCTCATGACGATGAGCCTTCTCAACATACAACACAAGGCACCAACACTTGATCAGCTTGTAAACCAGAGTGTTGAGCATAAACTAGCAATACTCAGCATTCACCGTATGAATGATCAAGTCTCCGTTCTTGATGATTGTATCTACCGGTACGATCTTACGGTTCACTGAGATGCGTCCCGATGCGATGGCAAATTTCTACACAAAACAACTCCGCTTAGTCCCTTTAATCTTATGAAAAGCATTCGAAAACGATTATCAACGCACATAATATTCTGGTGAATTGGCACCAAATTCCTTGATGAAAATCTCCAGCAACTCACGATGGAACCATCTCGCCTTTGCAAATGTGCGGAACTCGTACACATATGGCTCCACCATCCGATAACCTGCAAGATCCAGCAACTCTATTCATTCAGCCAATACTTGCTTTGCATATTTAAAACAATTGACTCGTCACTACCGTTAGCAAGCAAGTATTTGGGCGCTTCGGCCTGGAAGCGGTTGCTGTTTTTGGCGTCTCGCTTGGACTTTCGCTTCTTCGCTTGACGCTCCACTGGATCTCGCTCCATGCGACGCAGTTTTTTCAACTGGCTCTTGGAAATAACTTCGACCTTTTTTACTGCAATATCCTTCACAAGCATTGGCTCGGTCGTCTGCGTCTCGGGCGATTGAGTGTCGCTCGTCTCCATTGGTACAGTATCAAGTGTTATGAATTTTTGATTACCGTAATACGAATATATTTGGACGTTAAAGTACTCTATTCTAGCGTGCTGGAGGCGAGCAGCGGTGTGGTGACCGTCGGCTTTTTGAATAGTAATGACTTGGTATCGTCAGCGCTGAAGTCCTCGGGAAGAGCTGGAGGGGTGTATTTGCGAAGCAAGAGCGAGGAGGTCACTACCGATACGGACGAAATGGCCATGGCACCACCCGCATACATGGGAGGAATACTAAAGCCGTAAGGAAAGAGCACACCTGCGGCCAGCGGAATCAAGAAACAGTTGTAGCCGAGAGCCCATATGTAGTTTAGGCGGATGCGGTTGAAGATCGATCGGGACAAATCTAGCGCCGTGATGACGTCGAGCAAGTTGGCTTTCATGAGGACCATGCCGGCTGTTTCCACAGCGATCTCAGTGCCACCGCCGATAGCAATACCTAAATCCGCTTGCGCAAGTGCAGGTGAATCATTGATGCCATCACCAACCATAGCAACAATGCGACCCGTACTCTGGAGCTGCTTGACCTTTAATGACTTTTGAGAAGGAATCACATCGGCCATGACGTTGCGACGACTGATACCTAGTTGGTCAGCAATGGTAAGTGCAGTACGCGCGTTGTCACCAGTGACCATCCAAACCTCCAGGCCCATCTGCTTTAGTTTCTTGAGTGTACGGATCGACTCTTTGCGCGGAGCGTCCGCGACACCAAAGACAACACTGAGCTCGTCGTCAACACCCATGTAAATTGTTGTCTTCCCGGCATTTTGGAAAGTCAGAGTAGCTTGCTGTAGCACAATACTAGTTAAACGCTTCAAGCCATTATCCGCCATCCATTCTCTGTTGCCGATGACGACCTTGTGTACGCCAACCATACATGCAATGCCCCTTCCGGAAACACCGCAGAAACTTGTCGGCTGCTCAAGTGATGATGAGATGAACTTTGCGTACTCGATGATCGCCTTACTCAGCGGGTGTTCACTACCAAGTTCAGCCGACCCAGCCAAGATGATGAGCTCCTCAGTGCTCAGCTTCTTATTGAGCACCACCACATCTGTCACCACAGGCTTCCCCACAGTAAGGGTTCCCGTCTTGTCGAACAAGATCGTGTTAACGTTGTGCGCAGCCTGAAGTGGCTCACCGCCTTTTATCAATACACCATGCTCAGCGCCGACTCCCGTCCCGACCATTACTGCCGTAGGCGTTGCCAAGCCTAATGCACATGGACAAGCAACGACGAGCGTTGCGATGCCAAAGTTGAACGCAAACATAAATCTACTATCCGTGTGCGGGATCCAGCTTGCTGGAACAATCTCGAAAATGCAAGCGATGTACCATACTAAGAATGTCAGGAGCGATAACACCAGCACAGTCGGGACAAAGATGGACGCGACGTAGTCTGCGTACGCCTGGATTGGTGCTTTTGAGGTCTGCGCATCCTCCACAAGACGAATGATTTGGCTCAATGCAGTATCGTTCTCCACACCAGTCACCTTCATATGGAACAACCCATCAACGTTGATGGTTGCCCCCAGCACGCGATCACCAGCGACCTTTTTGATTGTCTTGGATTCACCAGTCAACATCGATTCATCAATTCGACCTTCACCGTACACGATGACACCATCAGCTGGAACGGACGACCCGCGAACGACTTTTAAAGTATCGCCACGCTGGACCAACTCAATGGGAACGATCCGCTCTTCTCGGATTTTGGTTCCATCTGCACTAAAAACCAGCAACGTAGCCGATTTGACCTGCAGCTCTGTCAGCTTGCTCAATGCTGCTGATGTTTTGCCCTTTGCAATCGATTCCAAAAACTTGCCCAGAATCACGAACGAAAGCAGCATTGACGACGTCATGAACGTGTCTGGATTGGCAACACTTGCGTCGTCCAGCAAAAAGGCACGTATGATGCTAAACAGCCCATAAAAGTACGATGCGTTGGAGCCCATGGATACTAAGAACGACATGCCCAGCATTCGGTTTTTCATTCCCTTGTACGCATCAACGTGAAAACGACGACCAGGGTAAAACTGAACTGGCGTGGCTAAAGTCGCCACAATCAAAGTTTGCCACGTGATTCCTGGAAGAATCGTCGAGGCCAAACCACGATCAATAGACGCGATGTTGTCAAACACCATCATGGTCAGGAGAATTGGAAACGTAAAGAGCACCGATACAAAAAAGTCAACGCGATACCGCTTGATCTCGTTTGTGCGCTGGTCTCCGAGAGCTTTCTGGGCCTCTATACCCGACAGGTACGAGGCATCATACCCAATATCTTCAATTGTTTCAACAAGCGTCCGGATACCAACGACGTCCTTGTCAAAGCGGACCGACGCTTTCTCCGTTGCAAAGCTAACAACAGCTGAGATGACACCTTCCGTTTGCTTCAGAACGTTTTCGACCAAATTTGAGCACGAGTTGCAAGTCATGCCACCGATCAGAAGCGTTGCATCTCCAATCTCGCTCTTATCTGCGCTAATGGAAAGCGCTAGATCGTCCGATGTAGTGAATGACGCTACCTCCGGCTTCACTTTAGCGTGATGTTCAGGCTTTTCAGCAACAGCAGGAGCTTTCTTAGCTCTTGGCGTAACAAGACGAGCGCGAAATTTCGACCCCGCGCGTTCAACCACTTGAAGTAAGTCCTCGTCATTAAACTGACCATCAGGATCCACCTCAACAAATGCCCTTTGTGCAGCAAAATCCACAGATGCCGATACAACGCCCTCTGTTTCGTAGAGAAACTGCTGGACCTTACGTGGACAATTTTTGGCGCAGCTCATTCCCTCAATGTCTAGCACAACCGTGCGGGGACTACTCGATGCAACGTACACCGTGGCATCGAATTTGGCACCAGCTGCACGAACGACTTCAATCAGATCGTTTTCGGAGAGTGCACTGCCAGACTGAAGCTGAACAATCGCACGCTTTAACGAGAAGTCCACCTTCGCAATCTCTACACTTGGTTCCGCATTCAGAACTTTTTCGATCTTGCGCGCACAATTTTTAGCACAACTCATGCCTTCGATTGCAAGACGAATTGTACGTGGCCCGCTGGTCGGTGTCGCCACCGACGCTGTAAACTTTTGGCCCACGGAATGTACGACATCAATTAGATCGCTCTCGGTCAGATAGCTGTCTGTCTCGACGAAAACGGTAGCTCGCTTCGTATCGAAGTCCACCTTGGCATTGATAACTCCTTTAGCACCATTCAATGCATCTTGTACCTTTCTCGCACAACTCTTGGCGCAGTTCATACCATTGATTGTGAGATACACAACACGCGAGTCCCCGTCATTTGCGAAAAGTTTATAACGTGAAGCATTAAACTTCTTGTCAATACTGCGCACGACTTGAATCAAATCTTCCTCTCCCAGTTCACTCTCCGGCTCAAGAATCACAGTCGCACGGTTATTGTTAAAGTCGACCGTAGCATCAATTACGTCTGCAGCACTTTGCAAGGCCGTCTGAACCTTTGTCGCACAATTCTTAGCGCACGTCATGCCCGTGATATTCAGTAAGATCGCCCCTGGAACTGAGTTTGTCGACTCTTTCTTCTGCTTAGTAATTGACGCATTGAATCGAGGATTTGCTGCGTCAATGTACTTGATGAGATCCACCTCCGTGGCTGTACAGCCTTTCGCTAGTGCCACTTCTGCCGTCTTGGACTTGGAATCCACATGAATATGCAGCACGCCGGGAATCTGCTCGAGTGCACGAATCACTTGACGTCCACAGTTGGTCATACAGCGCATTCCTTCGACGTGGAGACGCACGATACGCTCACGATGCTGCCAAACGGGATACGCCACAAGTTGATTGGGTGTTGCACGTCGCACAACGTCGGCAAGCAAAGCCTCTGTGGCTTCATCTGCACGATACGTGAGCTCAATTCTCGCTAGTTTCTCTACCAGGTCCAGCTGGACATTGCATACGCCCAGGGCGCTATTCTTGAGCAAAGTCTCGATCTTGGATACAGCGGCTGGGTCGTCATCGGAGAGACCCGGTACTACGAGAAACACGACACGATCTTCTTCGTCACGACGGTTAGATGTCGTCACACTTGGAACGTCTTTTCCTGCGGGTACACAGACACCGTCTTGTTGTACGCTGTGCACAAGCGGCAGAAGCTCCGGATCCTCTTTGGACACGACCATGTTTGTAATATCGAGTTAAATGAGAAATGAGACTACGGATCTGTTATTATTTTATATCGAGTATTACTGTTGAGAGGGTAAGGATTGACTTGCAAATGGATCGGTATTGCTGGACGGAGGTTAAACATTAGTAAGCAAATGTTTAACCTCCCTACAGCAATACCTGACATCTGTCAACCACGATACCCCACATTTGAATGCCATATATATATCTACCGTTCGAGCATGTGTTCTAGATTCCGCCGTATCAGCATTCCAAGAAATATCCTGTCCAATAGCTTCAGCATATACAGTACATGGTAATTTGGGCATGTATTGTTAATGACAGTAGTACTGGTTAAAGTGACGCATTTTTCAACCAGGCACGATGTACAAATGCATCGTCCGGCAAGTTGAACCCTAATCTAATCACAAATACAGTCCACTGTACCATAATCGCTTATAGTCTTATGCTCGCGTTCGAAATGTGGCAAATGCTATCAATAAGGTGCTTTTTATCAGCCATCCTATTCAACTTTTAGGTAGTCGATAAAAGAGACCTTGAAAAGCAAATTTATATTTCGAACATGGCTACTTTTGTAAAGAAAAACGTTTAGTCTCAAAAGATGGGTTTTTTAATTTTCAATTTTAAATCATTTAACCCACGTTGTCGTAAAAAAACCCATTGAGCATCATTTCAGCGATTGGTAGCAATGCTTCCGACGGCGCGGGTGTTCCGACTCGCCATACGATACGCTGGTCCTGCCAGCTCAACTCTGCATTCCCGAGGTATTCATGCATCTACAACAACAAGAGCTCGACGAAATCGCAGAAATTTGCCCAGTCGTTCATCATCCAAGTCATCAGCAATCTTTCCAGGCAATGAGGTACTCACTGTCAATACAATATTTCATACGACAATATATCTTTAGTAGATGTTCATGCTAATATATCGGTCTTTCTATTGGCAGGATAATGATGAGGAGTTTGCAAAGTGGTTTAACGAGATGCAGGAGCAATATCCGAGCCAGGTTCAGGCCCAGGACGATGATGATGACGAAATACCGAATACGATGGAGCTAGTAGAAGACGAAGAAGAAGAAGAGTATGATGATGGTGAAGAACCTGATGAAGAGACAGAGAAGTTTCTTAATGAAGCTGAAGACCTTTTTCGTCTAAGCCCAACCGAGTTCCAAAGATGCATGGACACATTCGATCAACGTCACGCCCACGAAAACGACGTCGACGATGAGAACGACGACACCGACGGGTTCGACCGCGCCAAGGAAAGAATTCCAAAGAAAAAGTTACTGAAGGTTTTGCAAGAGATTAAGTCTCACAGAGCACCGACGGACAAGAATTATGAGCGGATGTCGAACACGACCTTGAGTACGCTGACGAAATCGTTTCTGGATTACGTTTGTATCATGCTTATAGGTACTTGTCATTATGTTACTTAGAAAACAAGAATATGTCTCCGCTAGAGAAAAAGCCGAGGCTGCCCAAGGCTGAGCGTATAACGTATCGTCAGGAGAGCGTAGGCATTGCCGTACTGGAGTTTGTGCAGAACCTTTTGGTTGAGGATGCAGATGTTTCGGGAGCAGATATCGTGCCTACTATCGTTGAGGTAACTGCAGGATGGTGGTTGCTTGTGTTGGTTGGAAACGCTCACATATGACTATCTGTTTACAATCCACAGGCAAACGTATCACCTGATCTGCGCCGGGTAGTACTTCACTGGGAGCCGGTACGTTTGAACTCGGAGAACCAAAAGATTGGCAAGAAGAAAGTCGAGTCTGTGAAGAATCGCCTTCAACGCCAGGAGCGCTGGGTTCGCCGCAACGTCACTCAGCATCTAAATCTGAAGGTACACGAAGTAAAAAGCGTGATACTTGGCATGAAACAGAGTGTTGTACTGACGTGGACCTGTGACTGTGAATAGTACTCACCTATTGTCCAGTTCAAGCAACAAAAGGAAGCTAAGGCTGAAGAGGCGCGGACGCTGTTTGAGGACGAAATGAAGTGGTTGGACAGCGTGTAAACTTTTGTACTATGCGCAGCACAGCAAGATGACATGACACTTTGTTGGGATCGTATTGTAATGCCGAGTTACGTTAGGACTCAGTCTGGAAGCTACTCGCCTTGTAGCCCACTCCGCGTATTGTGCACGACCGACAACTGTTATTATGGGTAATTCTTCTCAGTGTTCATTTCTGCACCAGCTCGTAAATGTCCGAGCGTGACTGGTGCGACGTCGGAATATTGCGACGCATCTCCTCAACATTCTCCAGGTCCACGTCAGCGTACACAATAGACTCACCGTGGTCGCATGTGGCCACCACTTCGCCCCAGGGAGAGACCACCGTAGAGTGGCCCCATGCCTGATAGCCGCCCTCCGGGCCACGTGCAGGTGAGGCCGCAGCCACGTACAGCTGATTGTCAACTGCGCGAGCGCGCTGCAAGAGCTCCCAGTGTGCCGGTCCCGTGGTAAGGTTAAAGGCGCCCGGGAAAAGCAAAATTTTGGCACCTTGCTTCTTCATGAGCATCGACAGCTCTGGGAAGCGAATGTCATAGCAAATGCCGACGCCGATCTTGCCGTATGGCGTGTCAAAGAGCGTCAAGCTGTTGCCCGGGGAAAGTGTGTCTGACTCCTTGAAGGTGATCTTACCGGGCACGTCAATATCAAACAGATGGACCTTGCGATGCTTGCCCAAAATGTCACCCTCAGGTGAAAAGATGACGCTCGTGTTGTAAACTTTGCCAGCCGCGTCCTTCTCCGGAATGGAGCCACCGACCAGGTAAATCTGGAGCTTGGCAGCGAGCTGTGATAGCGCAAAGGTGGATGGGTGATCCTTTTCACTCAGCAGCATCTTCTTCTCTGGAATCTCCTCTGCGTACTGTGGGAAGGAGGTGGTGGCGTAAGGCGAGTTCCAGCATTCAGGTAGCGACACTATCTGTGCTGCATTCTTGGCAGCCTCGGTCACAGCGGCAGTGGCCGTAGCAATATTCTTTTGCTTGTCGTTGCTTACTGCAATCTGACACAGCGCCAGCTTAAACTTGGAAGTAGAAGTACTCATAAGGTTTGATAGAATAAGAGGCGAATACAATCGACGAGCTTGAAATCTGATGGTGCGGCCCCCAAGCATTCTATACGACCCTTTTTTTGGTTGTCAATTATCGTGCCTGATTTAAGATAGGATGTATACTCCTAATTTAATGTGTACCACTTGCGACTCGAAGTTTTGTGACCAGGGACCAAATTATTATCAACATGCTGTCTCTGCGGGTATACACACATACATACATACTTGCTGGATGGAAAGGGGTCTGGAATAGTAACGCATATGTTGACGTAGATTTCTCGGCAGATTCATCGAATTGGCTTGCATCAGACCTCACTACGACGTCTGAGCTACGGGGGATCAGCTCCGCACTCTGGCGGTCAAGACAATTCGAGCTTCTTTACGTTACTGGGACTGGCAGGAGTCGTCACGTACGTCTCCAAGCGCATTCTATTCTATTGTGTTGTGTTACTTATCATTTGTATTGTGATGCTGTTATGTATACAGAGGCGCCGTATACGTATACTATGATCCGGATGTGCTGCCGGCGAGTGTGAAGAAATGGCTGCCGATTCAGGAAGCCGAAGGTCGTGGCATGAGTCTGGAGGAGTACGAGCAGTGGCGAGCTAAGCAGTCGGGATTTCCGACGGTTTTTACACCAGAGAAGGAAGAAAGAGAGGCCACACGTGTGCACACGAAGGAGGAGAATATCGAGCCACCAAACATGAACGGTTCGTTTTACGACTAGACGAGGTTCATGTACAGGAGAATTTACGCAAGACTGTGGTGATGTAGATGATATTCCTATTCCCCACGGAGACGTGTCTCCGAAAGAGATGAAGGCATCGTTGGAGAGGCTACTAGCTGAAGCGAAAGAGAATGAAGCTGCGTTTATTGCCGACATCAAATCGAACAGGGTCCCGATGTCCGCTGAAGATCGTGAGATGGTAAGTTGGTGATATGAAGAAAGTAGTACGAGAAGAGGTATCTGATTGTGTTTGCTATTGGATCTAGTTGCAAGCGTTTAAGGACGAAAAAATACGATTAAACAAGCAGCTCAAGTTCCTGAAGTCCAACAAGTAAGTGTGCGTTTTGCTGGCAAGCTGCTGAAGTTTGACAAGGTGAACACACCGCCAAAAACAACGTAGTACTTTGAAGTAACGTATACGAACACATGGCAGCTATCGTTCGTATGGCAAGATACATACTTGTAGTCTTTTACACAGTTACTCTTTCTTGGTCTTCATGCTTTGCGTTTCCTGAGTTTCTGCGGTCCATTGCCAGTACGTCAAATATGCGAGTATCAGTAAGAAATGGCCACAGGAATACACAGCAAAGACGTAGTCGTGGATATGGGGGTATCTAGCAGGCGGGGTGATCCAGGCTTGCGCAGAGTGAATGACTACGATTCCTAGCAATGAAATCTGCAGCATACAAGTGCAGTTAGATGCTTGAACTATCAGCAACGCCAATACAGAGGAAAGCTGGTACCGTGACATAACCTCGAAACAACGGATGCGCGGTGCCATCCCGCCGATAGCCTGGTATAAGCCCGTTTTGCTGCACGTGTAGATGCTTCGAAGTACTTGGTGCAAGGAACGGAGCCACTGCTACACCCGTGTAAGCTAGTAGTAACACGATGTACGGAAGAATGAGGCCATCTTTCTTGAGGAGGAAGTACATACTGGCAAAACAAAAGGACACAAGCCCTTGTGTCAGACGAAATCTACCACACATCATACTTTGAAGACTCGCAAACCTGAAAGTTGAAAGCACGCTGAACCATCCCGAGAGTAGCGCGTTATAAGCAAAAAGGAACGAGATGGGCAGCAGTGGCAGCAAAATCGTCTTCTCGTGGACTAGGCAAGCAGCACAAGAGACGCAGGATCAACATAAATGCACATGAATACAGTAACAAGTACACAACATACCTTGAAAAGAAAACAAGAAGAATGAGAGCGAGCAAACCGCCAGCGATAGAAGGAACCGCAGATTCGTGGGCTTTCGTCTGAGCAGGTCGATAACGGACGGAGTAAATCCGACAAAAGTCATCACCGTGCTTTACAACATACAAGCATAGTCAGCGGACTCGAGTTACTGCAGCATTACCTGCGACTTACCATAATCGCATCTGAAGTGTAGGGGTCACAAATTGTCGGATCTTAATAACGAAGTCGGCGATGCACCAAAAGTTAGCTACCTTGTCTTCAAAAAGGCCTCGGCCAAACGGAAAAATACGATGGAGAACTGGGTAGCCATAAAGATTAGTCACTACAGTGTACAAAAGCGTCAGTCATTTCAAAGCTAGCGTACCTTGCGCCATCGTAGACAAGCATGTGTTCTCCGCAGATGCATATGCGCACAAAGGCAACCACATTAGCGCAAACGTTGCAATGACTCCAACCGTCAATTTGACGAGATGGAGAATGCACATCTCCCGATAGAGGCATCGAGACAACAGGAATATTCCAAATGCAGGAGCATAGTAAAGCGCCATTTGCTTAAAGTTTAGCGCCAGACAGTAGCAAATACTACCAAGAAATTCATAACCCTGAAGGATCAAAGCTACGCCCAGCGCCGTAAAACCCAAACATACATTGTTGTACTAGTCTCACACAATGCAACACAACACAAATTAATGTGAGACGAGTTGCTAGCAAACAATATACAAGCCAATGGCTACATTCATGTACCTGGAAGTGGCCATGATCAATGAGCAACACAGCCGGTTGCAGCAGAATGAGAAGAAAGAATGCCGTTCGTCGATTCCAGTTCTTACTGCCATAAATTGCTTTCGCCACGAAGTAGATGGCAGGCATAAAGAGTACAATATCACACAATAGCACGGACGTACGCATGAATACTTTACTGGTCGCAGACTCGTATCCTCTTGAACTTGTTAGTGCCACCATGGACGGCTCGATGACGTTGGCCACACATCCAAAGATATACGAAACGTAGGCAGTCAGCGGTGGATAGTCCAGTCCCCAGTACAGTAAATCATTAGACGTGGTGTTAAAGTACCAATCCGAGATAGGAAGATTGATCGTAATCTCCATCCAGTGGCGTTGTGCCTCGTAATCACCAAACATGGGCGGCGTATGCTGGCCTGAATATGAGTGGAGACCTACCAACCATCGTACAAGCACGATCAAGAGCCACACAAGCAACAGTCCCGCCCTTTTCTCGTCATTCTGCTCAAGAAACTGCAGACCTCGCTGAATTAATGACGCCTCCTCGATGATGCTCATGTCACGTACTGACCACGACGCAATCCTCGCATTAATGATATGTCACTATTCGGCAAAATCTGATACCTTCAGGTGATCTGCTGCAGCTGGAGGCATCAATTCTGATCGTTCCGTGCAGTTCAAACGTGTGTTTATCTGCTGTATCGATGGCTCTTTCATCTCGTGTGGCTATCATTACAGGCGCTGCTTCGGGTCTGGGCCGGGCAACGGCTGCTAGGTTTGTACAGAACGGAGCTCATGTGATTCTATGTGATCTTCCGACAAGTGAAGGTGTCAACGTGGCGAAGGAGCTCGGCGTCTCGTGCCGCTTTAGCCCCACTGATGTACGTTCATGCGATGATTGGGTACATCGAGTTTTCTCTATGTGTTTGTGACTGGTTGTTTTGATGGTCGGGATTTGATTAAAGGTGATGAACGAAGATGACGTTGCTGCGGCACTAGATTTGGCTGAATCTTCCTTTGGTGAGCCTGTGAATACTGCTGTTAATTGTGCAGGTATTGCACTGGCCATCAAGACACTTAACAAAAAAGGTATGCATCAACTCGCGCCGTTTCAGCAAACTATCAACATCAACACGGTCGGGTCCTTCAATGTCGCCCGACTGGCTGCTGAACGGTAAATGGCGTTCAAATGATTTGAAACAAATTCTTGTGTCTGTCGAATCAATTGCTCATGATCATTGTCGTTATAGCATGTCGAAAAGGCAAGCAGGAACTGATGGCGAGCGTGGTGTTATCATCAACACAGCTAGCATCGCTGCATATGACGGGCAGATTGGACAGGCGGCATATGCTGCTAGCAAAGGGGCTATCGTAGGAATGACGCTTCCTCTTGCCAGAGATCTATCCTCGTACGGCATTCGTGTGAATACTATTGCACCAGGTACACTCTATCTTTCTTTATTGCAATTGCAGAGCATAGCTAATTGTAGATGAAACCCTCTTTTGTGCTGCAGGTTTATTCATGACGCCGCTTTTGGCAGGACTTCCAGAGAAGATGCAAAAGGAACTTGGTGACAGTGTTCCATTTCCAAGCCGCCTGGGTAACCCTGACGAGTACGCGCAGTTGGTGCATGCTATCATCGACAACAAGATGCTAAATGGTGAAACGATTCGTCTTGACGGTGCGCTCCGCATGCCGCCGAAATAAGCAAAAAAAACACGCGCGGAAAAGGAGCGACGCAATAACTAACGAATCCTTCGTTAACGCACAAATAAATACTGCCGCAAATGACCAGGGTATCTAGATTCGATCTGCTGGCTCCAGAAAATCGCGGCCGATGAAGTCGAAGAGGTCTTTCTCAGATGCAATTGCAAGAAGGGCTTTGCTTCCAATAACTTCTGTCACACGTGAGTAAATACACTCGAAAGAAGTATCACAAATCTCTCGCAGTGATTGCTTTAGTAAAGCCGTAAAGAAAGCCAGCACAAAATCCTCTGGCCCGGTGAAGTATAGCAGAGCGAACCAACTTCGAGGCGGGCAGTACACTTTCAAGTCCAATAGAATGGAGCTGTTCTTAAACGGAACGATGCAAGCCCCACGAGTGCTGGTAAGCTGGCGTATTCCTCCTTTTGGAACCACATTAGCTGCCATCAGAGCTGTAACCACGTCTTCGAACAACTTCTCATCAATTTCTGCACTTGTGAAATTGCCTTCTGGAATCGGGATGACAACTAGAACATCAAGCACAGATATGAACGCGGCACCACGAGAAAAGGAACCACACGGAAACATCTGCACCTTTTCGTTCCACTTCTTCAGATGGATATGAATGGCACTAAACGCTGTCTTCGCATCTTGCTGACTGATCATAGGTCGTTGGATCACTGCGGAATCCTTGTCGCCACCAGAAGAAGTACCAGCAGTTTTGCATTTTAAATAATCCATACCAACGTGCAGGTGTTTAATAGATGGAAGCCCATGTGCCACTTCTCGAAGCTGCTTGTCCGTGAGTTTCCAGAGATTGAGGTGATCGCTGCCGTCTTGGTCAACAAGGCGCATTGCCTGACTTGGCTTCATTCCATAGATATGGAGTAATGCACGCACTAAATCCTGCTTGGAAGCTGTGTGCGTTGATCTCCCTCCAGACACATCACCAAAGTATAGTTCTTGCTGGTGAGAGTAATTTTGCTTGTATTTGTCCCAGTAAATCGCAATAATGCGCCAGACGTCAAGTGCCACGCCTGTAACAACCGTCTTCGACGCCACACAGTCGGCCAGCACTACATCTCGCTCCGACGGCGCTATGCCCAGCACATCTGCCTCCCACATCGCGACAAAAACTCTCCGAGCTACTTTGCAGGCTTGTAATTGCCAGCGCTGTTGTCCCATCCATCCATTACGAGCAATAAACTCATCTAGCGCCTGAAGACAGAAAAGCAGCATTGGTCGGCGAATAGCACCTTGGTGAATATCACAAGATACTCCGTCACTTTGCAACCAACATGGCAATAGCTCACACATTCGATCTGCATCATAGTAGTCGACAAGCTCCAGACGCGTAATAGTCCGTGGCTTCTCTGACATTATCCCTCTATTGACAAGTGTCGTCACTGATAATGCCTCATGATTACGAGATAGACTAGCGCTACCACGCATGGTCTCATAGTTAAAATCGAATTGCACACGATGCTCTGGTCTCTTTTGACTACTGCCGACGTTGGTATTGCTATTATTGGGCAGAAAGAGCGCGCTGTCTGCCACGGACTCATTGTGCGAGCTTAATTGACTCGCTCCAAAACTACCGACTCCGCTCGACTTGGTGCGTGGGGCACCAAATTCAACTGACTCGAACGAATCGCTTGTCATCGAGTGTGATGGCATCAAAAGTGTCTGAGTGGCACTACTAGGTTTTGGACCAGAAGACGCATCGCGATTCACACGGTATTGATCATCTAGCTCAGGGCCGAAGAAAGCGGATTGAAGAGAACGGATCTCCGGTGGATCCTCATCGAGTAAATTTGCCAGGTCCGTGAAAAACTTGCGTTTTCGCTGAGGATGCAGTGCTAGTCGCGACGATGCTGCGTCGACCATACAAAAAGGTTACGAGCCTTGTGACGTTCATGTCGTTTGTATACTGCTGTATACTGGCCTTTCTACGTAACAACATCTGTTTAAATAATGACTTTTTATGTAGCCATTGGTCGCAAATTTTTGGTTTTTTTTTAATGAATGTTTAAACAAAAAGAAAAGTAAAATTGGTTGAATGACGTATTATGTCGCTAACATGTTTGTAATAAGGTAATGCAAAATCTTTCATGCTCTATTACTACGAACGTCACGGCGTTAATGGTTATGGCGAGGAAGAATTGGTCCGCGGTCGAATTGCTTTATGTGACATCTAATAGTAATGAGATGGGGCGAGGATAAGGGCTATGCATCTTGAGATTTCCCAAGGATATACCGGGCGACAGATACTAAGAAGTTCTCGGACGGATGTGAACGTGCAGCCAACAAATGTATACCTTTCCCATTCTCATCTGATTATGACATTTTGGGGACCACTTCTGTTCGGCCGACGCGATTAGTAACATTGACGTCAAACTTTTTCAACTAGCGCATATGCTTCGAAAATTAAAAATCTAGTCAAGCACAGAGATAGATGAGCCTGGTGGGTAGAGCGAGCCGGGATTAGCTGTTGTGGGGAGACCGCCACGTGCTATCAAGCTTCCACGGCAATAGTATGCAAGTAGTGAGCGTATGCATTGGTCCAAATACTGTCCTAATTGTGTCAATGTTCCGACGTCTTTCGATCTTGAGTTTACAGTGTGACGGGATCCTCATTTTTTCACGCTAACAAATTGCGCAGCATAACAAATGGTGACAAAATATGGCCATATTATGGACTCATCCAGAGAGGTTCAGATGATCTATTACAGGGAAGTTAGTTAGACTATGTGCAAGATCTTTGGTTGAGTAATACCTCAGTCTTCTACCATGACGTCCCTCCTCGCTTTACAATTCTGCTAGCTCGATACGTCGAACGTCACGGGAGGGGGCGTTGACCAGTTTGGGGTTCGTTTTATTTTGTGCGCAGTCGTGACCGGATGGCTGGGCTGCCCGCGCACTCGGAGCAAATAGTTTTCCAAGGACAGTTGACGCTATGATGAGAGTCTTGTAGAGTCCCAACGAGCCATCATGACGTACTCTTTGGCCTTTGCTGCGGCTCTGCGTAGGATACGGGATGGATCAGACAATACAAGGTGCGTCACAACGTTATAGTGCCATTCGGGTTGCACTCAAATTGCTTGATGTTTGAATGAAGTAATTGAGGATGTGACTAGCTGATAGTGAAGGGTAACGGTCATAAGTCAATGTGAATCAGAAAGTTGACATCCATTTGCCAACCCCTGGCTGGCACGCCAATGTATGTCATGGCGAACGTGGTTTCGACCGCAGATTTTGACAATCCTTGTGGCATATATTATATATCAATGCGAGAGAACCCTGACATCTAAACACAATATCTTCAACGTACAGAAAGTGCGTACGAGAGTAGCCGTTCTGAAACTCGCTTGCTGTCTGATACGTTCTGAGGATATGCTCGCGCAGATGGCTCGCACGGGAAACATGACGAGCAGACGATGCATTAGAACGATGCTTTTTTGAGCACTTCAATGGAAAATTGACAAAGTGTTACGAACGAGGAGATGCGTTGGCTAAGAAGAACGGAAGGAATCGACATCGTATCAACAATCCTAGCAACAAAAAAGAGCCTCATGTACGGTACCCAGAATCAAGGATTCATTTAAGCATTTCATGGTTGCTAATTCCTGTCCTGGATGTTTGTGCCCATTTGCATCGTTCTAAAAAGGGGGGGGGGGTTGATTGCTGAAATGTGTAATGCGCTTACTTGATTGAATCGACAGTATGACGAAATAATCCTCCCGTCCCAAAAATCAAAGTTGGGCAGTAACATTAGTACCTCACCGGACACTATATTATGCTTATTCGTTTCAAATCCCCGTTGCAGATGATACATCTGGATCGATTTACAATAGTAAAGTACACTTTTGTGCCGTCCAATTGATACATAGGATTGTCTATGAACGAGCGCTAAAAGCCATAAAGGTAGCGCTCCGTGTGACTAACTCAACAAAATGACCAGTAATGACCCAGTGGCCCGGTTTAGGCGTTGAGCTTTAATCAAAAGCACTGTGATCGTAACTCACGAAAGGTCCTCATCGTAGACTCTCTGCCACCGCCATCAGTTTTCACAGCTGTTATCCTGATGGCAGCCACCATACTGAGATTCAGTCAAACGCCGGGCAGACGCGCTGACAACTTGACTGCGCTGTCGCGATTGGCTCGGTTCTGCGGTCTGATTCGACGACTTTGACGTAGTTGATGCCTGGAAGCTCAGATGTCTTACTTTCCAACTCGATTGACTATTTTGTATTAATAAACGTTAGTACGTAGAGACCACGAGACGGTCTTTAATCTTTAATTCCTTTAGTAATTAATACTTAAATTGGAGTAGTTATACTCTGTAACACGCAGGTTTTCGACAGGGGTCGGGCAGTGAAAAAATCTGGCCGGTCAGCTGGAGTTGCGCTGGGAGAATTCTTTGGTCAGTCCGAGTCTGTCACTCGCTTGCTTAGTCAAGTAGTTCGCAGTCTCGTCCAATTTTCGGCTTTACTGCAGCCACTAAGTAAGTCCAAGCTTTTCTCTACAAGGCTATTGCATTTATAGATCTCGTGGCCAGCACAAAGGAGAGTGTGTGTGTGTGGTCAGATAGTTTCACCCCCTTTCCAACATGATGACGGCCCACCAGCAGAGCGCGGATCAAGTGAAGCCATACACATATCCACACGGAACACCTTCAATTGACGTCGCTTCCTCTTCTTCCTCTTCCTCAGTTGCCGGCGCTACTGAGTCTACCTCAGTAATGTCTGGAGGTACCTCGGCATCCACCAGCAGCAGCAGCGTAGCATCGCCTCCCACTGCAGACAGGAAGCGCAAGCAGCCTTCGAGTCCCACTGAAAATGTCGGCGTCAACGGAAGCATCAACAGTCTAAACAAGGAAAAGGAGCAGCAGCCATCTAAGAAATCTCGCCGTGAGCTGCCACCGCACACTGTTGCTATCCTGAAGGGCTGGATGCTATCTCGTGAGCATGTAAAGCACCCGTACCCGACAGACGAGGTAACGATCAAGAAGATAACGCAGTGGACTCTTCACTTTCGATGTCCTCTAACGCCTATTTTGTCATGACGTGGTGTGACACTGCTAGGACAAGCAAATGCTGCTCATGAAGACAGGGATCAGTATGAAGCAGCTTACGAACTGGTTCACGAACGCACGCAAGCGCATCTGGAAACCTATGATGCGACGCGAACATTCGCGCCAGATGCAGTCGATCATGGAGTACGATCACACAGCAGTGCGCGAGTTTCCAGGTGCTGGCCTCAGTCAGCAGTACGCGGAGAGTAGTTATGCTCCTCGCGCGTCCGTTCGGCACTCGTTCGACGCTGGGAGTCTGGGTGCGCCTCCTCACGCGGCAGCTGCTTTCGACAGGTATGCACGACCGCAGGCTGTACCTGTAAATGCACCAATGTATCCGACACGTGCCATACGCTCCATGTCGGAGACCCCAGCAAGGATTGATGTTGACGAGTATTTGGACGCGGAACGGATTCGAGAACATGGATTGGAGCGAAGCCACGATAGCCATACCCCGCACAATAGTTTATCGTCTCCTGGGCATAAGATTTTGCAAGAGTGGGTAATCGCGAACGCGCGACGCGAATATCCGTACCCAAGCGATACCGAGCGACTGCAACTCGCAAGAGACACGGGGCTTGATGTATCACAAGTGGACGGATGGGTCACGCGTCTTCGCGAGCAGATGGACGGTGCCCCTGTCCATGTCACTTCCATTCCGTCTGATGGAAACCCGGTGTTCCCACCTCGGCCTGCGTATAGGGAGCGTCGATCTATTCCGACCAATGGAAATCTCATATTTCCTCCGCGGCCAACCGCTTCTGGCGTGTTGCGACCATCTATTCCGTCTGTCGGGAACTCGCAGTTCCCTCCACCCCCTGCGCGTCGGGATGCTAGCGACAGTCGATTCACGACGTTTCTCTCTGCTGCCTTGCATTATCAGGGTCACGAGCCGACGCGAATGCGCTCGATAACGATCAGTTCGAGCCCATATTTGTCTCAACCTTTGTCGTCCATCTCAGCAGGTAACAACTCTCAGGCCCAGAATGCTGCCGGTGCTTTGCCATCGCTATCCAGTCGGAGCTTATTGAGTCGACCTCCACCTATTGTCACTACCAATGGTCCCACTATGGGCCAGCCGCGTGACAGTCGATCGCGTACACTTGACATGGGCCAGTTTGCTGAGGCGCGGCGACGAAAGATGACTTTTCAGGACATTCTGGCGTCAACGGGCAAGCCCACCGTTCGTGCCGCACCAGCAGCTGCCACATCTAGTCTTTCCGCTGCAAGCGGCAATTATATGGAAAACGTATACCCAGCTAGCGATTTGTCGGCGTCGAGAGTGTACCCAGCCGCCGCACCCGGTGTGTTCCAGCAGAAGAATTCGTCAGTGCAGTCTGAGCAGCAGTCTGGCCGATTAGTATGATGATGCATTGATTCGTGAGTCCAAGCCTGTGGGGGGCTTCTTCCTCAGTCCTCACTTTTTTGGTTTGTTGCGTTTTTTATAAAATAAACGCTAAGTACCTTGGTTGATAGAACTCTTTGTGTCTACTCTAAGTCCTTCCAAATCAGCCCAAAGGTCTGAGATGCACTGTTCCTGCAGGTCATCAAGCAGTTTGTGCTTGATCCGGAAGTAGACTTGGTACCGAATGTCGGGAGAGAAGTTGAGACCACCACGGTGTGCAAGGTTGGGGTGTGCCAGCACTAAATCGCCGCGTGCAGCTAGGACCTGTACAGGTGTACCCAGGTCAGGAAGTGTGCCATCTCCCCATACACTATTTGGTTTGTAGCACTCGTTGTCATAACCATGCAGTTTACCACCGGCAGTCAGACGGCTTTGAAGTGTTAGGTGCGACCCAGGGAAAACAGTCAAGTTGCCGCACAACGGCTCAGGTACATTCGAGAGAGCGATACCTGCCAGTAAAGTAAATGGGTGCAGTCGACCCTGCCGCATCCCGTCCGTGTGCCATTCTGTTCCTAAAGGTTCCCGTGCCTCACCAAGTTCCGGAAACCGTAAAGCGATCTGTGCTCCTTGAGGAGGCACCACTTGGTCAGCGCCGACAAGCGCTTCCACGTACTTGATCACGTCCGAGAGGTAGTAGAGATTCAGAACAGCGTCACTGTTAGATGTGTTTCCTGCCAACTTGATGTTTTCTTCTACTCCACCATGAATCATATTTCCAGGAATACCAAGATCATGATTGATACGCCGCAGTGCAGCATTAGCTAAAGGTAGTGCGACAGCGCCTCGGATCTGTAGATATCCATTTTGCATGAACGATAGTCGCTGAGACTTGCTTAGTATCGACAAGTGTCTTGACTGTGGCATCAATGAGCGAGTAGTATCCAGTAAAAAAGATGCACGAGGTGATACAATCTCCAAGCGAAACAAACTACCGTCTCCTTTGCCTTCGTTACCAATAAGTCGTGATCCTGCTATACCCAAGTACCATCCCGTCAACTGCAAGCGATTGACTTTCTTTTGATGCAGTACCGCCTTCAAATGCACAAAGTAAATTCCGTCTGTCGTCTCGTTAGTAGTTTCAAATTCGACGACGAAGGCGGTGAGCTTTGTGGCTGCCAATGCCCAAGTCACTTGGCCATTCAGGGCTACCTTTAGCTTTTCGTAAGGCTTTTCAGTGCTGCAGAAACTCAGTGTCAATGGTCCAGAAGAAGAAGAAGAAGAAGAAGAAGAAGAAGAAGAAGAAGAAGAAGAAGAACGCTCGACAAGTGCCCGGAACGAGTAGCTGCTTGATACATGTATGGCCTGAACCACGGCTCCAGTCTCCAACGGCATATTATTAATCATTATGGAGTGTGAAGAACTACTACTTTACGCTATTAATACACAAAAGTATGAATTATGCTTTTGCGAGATTGTCATATTATGCATGAAGCGAAGTACTACACAAGAATAGTGCTAAAGTATTATTTGAAGTAGTATAGAGCTCTAGCTAATATGATAAAAATAGTACTATTGTTGTTGAAGTAAGAGGTATTAAAAGAACAAATTGCCATGTGATTGGTCAAAATAGTCGATTACTATCACTTCAAAGAAACTGACGCGCCATTGACGATGACACTCCACGTCTTGCAACATGACCAAGAAATTGCACGTCTACAGCCTCTTCTTGACTGTTCAGACAGTAAAGAAACATCTCAAGACGACTATCATATGCATACGAAGAAAAAGAAGAAAATTCCAAGCTGGATGGTGGTGCTGGGCGTCGTCACTGTCCTGTTACTATTCCTCCACCTTATATTTGTAGCTTTATTAAGGAAGACGCAAGTGACGCTGGACCAATTGACCCTGCCAGATTTATGCCATTGTAAATCAGAGGGTGAAGTGATTATAACGTTCCAGAATCCGTCGTATTGTTCACCAGTCGTGGGGCCATTGAGCATCACTTTTGCAAAGAAGAACACGCCTTTTCTGCACATTCAAATTGCTGCATTTGAGCTTCAATCAGGTGTAACAACAATGATATCGTCGGTAAAGTTAGAGCTATTGACGTCACCTGAAGTGCTCTATAGCCTCGTGTTTGCTAATGGAGAAAATATCGACGTTTATGGACAAGTTCCTGTACTAATTTCGTGCATGTTGGTCCCGTTTACGATTCATTTGGACGTTTCGAACCTTCTGAGAAAGAACTCACGACCACCTGCTGCTATGTTTGTCCCATTCAAATGGCCCTATGTATTGGATCCACCGTTGTATGGTGCTGACGCATGGGGATCAGATGTCGTGAACGGGATCAAAACTGAGCTGCAGCGTGTCGTCAAGCAGGTGTTGGAAACGATTGCACTTTCCCATATTCACACGGAGACAGATGAGCAAGAGGTGTTTGCTTTTACGGACGTGTCGTTCGAGTATGTCTCGAGGGTGCTCTGGAATCTCCCCTCGCTTTCAGTAGAAGTTCAATCTGCAGAAAGACAAACCATTCTCGTGGCAGGATTCAAACGATTTCTCTTGGGGAGCGGCCAGACGTTCATTTCTGCCTACACGGAGGTCTTTAAAAGCCAGTCGGAGCCACTTCAGTCGATGCTGCAATCGTACTTGACAGGAAATGACGTTGTACTTCATGTAGGCGGAGGCAATCGTGGTACTGAGTGCTACTTGTTGCAAGTGCTTGACCATATAGACGTCAAGGTCAACGTCCCTGCCAAGATAGACAACAAACCAGCGCTACTCCGTAAGTACTTTATCACGCCGTCATTGAAGGAATTGGATTTGAAGACGCACAAGTGTTTGCTGGAGTTAAAAGTGGCTATCAAGATCAACAATCCGCTACCTATTCGCTTTGACTTTTACGGGATCGAGCTGGATCTCTTGTACGAGATGGTTGTATCAACCGACAGACCGAGGCCGACATTCCTCCGACACATTAAGGACATTAAGCATGTGTCGTGGGCGCCGCACGAAGAGAACAGTATCGTGCTGAACACAGCTGTTGACAACTTTGATACGTGCATGGAAGTAGTGGGGTTGTACTTGCACAATCAGCTGACATTCGACATCCAGCATGGCCACATTTCAATTGGTGCTGGCAGTGGCAACTTTAGTATTCCATTTTCAACCAAGGGCATCCACATCCATCCTCAATCTGCGACGAGTCAAGTGTGACGCTTAGCAACTTAGGGTCTTCGTGCAACATACCATTCGACGACTGGCTAACAATCCTCTATTTGAATTGTACCGAATATGGGTGCCTCGTTCTCGCGCTGCTTCTGTCTGGCCGTGGGCGTCGCGTATCCGGCGTACGCGAGCTTTAAGGCTATGGAGCGATCTGAAAGTGGTCACGACAACAAGCGGTGGCTTACATATTGGGTTGTTTACGGTGCCACAACGTCCGTCGAGTCGGTGGCATCGCCTCTCATGTGTCTCGTACCTGGATACAACATTACGAAGACACTGTTTCTCATCTGGATGATGTCTCCACATACACGGGTACATACTATCAATTGTATGAGTATATGGCAATGAAGTGATCACATCATTTGTTGATAGGGAGCGACGATCGTGTACGAGAAGCTGTTGTGCCCATTCCTGAAGGAAAAGGAGCCATATGTGGATCGTAAGCTGCAAGAAGCTCAAGAAGCTGCAGAGAGTGTTTTATCCTCCTTCATACGATCGTGGGGACAGACAATTGTGGATCAAGTTGTTGCGATTCAGAAGAGCGACGAGTTTAAACACATTTGCCTGATGATCAGAGAACTGGCGTCGCACGATCCGCCCAAGAAGAAGAAGAAGAAGAGGAACACAAGTATTGATATGAGCAAGGAGTCGACGAATGAAGAATAATTGAATAATACATGATGTATGTATGAGTATGCTATTATGCATTGGTGGGCTTCACACACAGCCAGAAGAGAGACGTGCCTCCGACTGGATCAACCGATCGACATCTTTTTTGCTGCCTCTCCAGCCACAACTACCTCAAACTTTGACACGCTTACATTGGCAATTGAATCGCGTACAGATTAATAGTGATGCACGTACTTAAAGTCTTCGCGTGAATTCACCTTGTCAATGTACGAGTGTGCCTTGAAGTGCTCGGCCTGGATCAGCTCTGCCAGCATAGGCGCGACCGAGAGACGTTTGAGCTTGTTAGTATGAAAAGCCTTCGGATCCGCCGGGATAGTGTCCATGACAACCACCTGTGACACGTTTGATTCTTCAATCAAACGCTCGGCATCGCCGTTCAGCAATGGGTGCGACGCAAAGCAGTATACTTTACGGGCGCCTCTGCTCAGTGCAAGGTTTGTGAGCTTGGACAGCGTTCCGCTCGTGTCAATCAGGTCGTCCACGACAATCACGTCAGCACCCTTAACGTCGCCCACAATATCAGCGTGGGACTCTTCCCCCGTTTCTTTCTTGCCGGTACCATGAAAGAAGACAGCAAACTGCGCAGGTGAGTCCGGTAGCCACTTGTTGAGACCTTTCTGGAATATACGCGCACGACGCAAGCATTCTGGATTTGGTGCCATCACTACGAGCGGACGACGTAAATACACCTGCGTTGCAAAGTATTCCACTCCAGCCATAATAGTCTCAATGGTCTCGACAGGGACATCCGAGCTAAAGAAACATGCTTCATGTCCTTCTACACGCATCTGCATATCCACAGCAATAACACGATCGACACCCATGACCTCCAACATCTTGGCAATATCAGCAGCAGGACTTTGAATAAACTTGGAGTTTAAACTTGTTGCAGCTGGATTAGCACGACGATGGTGCTTGTATGCATAGTATCTACAGCCACACGAAACCAATCACAAGTTTATTTCCCGTGTCTAGTTGCAAGCAATCATCATCATCATCTATACAATGGCAGCACTTACGGCAGTACGACAGTCACCTTTTTAGCACTAGCACGACGCATGGTACTAACCATAAGCAATAATTCAATGATATTGTCATTCACAGGACTTGCTAGACTTTGTACCAAGTACACGTCTTTCCCACGAACACTCTCGCCTACTTGCACCTGCACTTCCCCATCAGCAAACCGACCTAATGTGATCTTGCCCACCCGCGTGCCCAGTCGTCGTGCAATGTCATCAGCCAATTCAAAGTGCGAAGAACCAGAGAAGATTTTAAGCTCATGACACCCAGGAATAAACATGCCTGCGTGTGTACACGGGTGCTTGTCAGATGGAAAAAAAGGTGAGAACGGATCCACGCGTTTGCGGTCATGAGGCACGCCAAACTCCAGATCACGCAGATCACGCTTTTCTTCAGCACGGGCGATACTTGAATGTGTCATGCCCAACGTTGTACCGCCAAGGAATACAGCAAGACTCGGCGTGAAGCGTGAGAAGACGGCAGAACGGAAGGCAAACACCATGTTATCGGACTATTCGTGACTGAGGGATGAATGGAGGTGAGCGCAAACTCCAGTATTGCAAGGTTTTTTTCTTCACTTTTCAGACATGTAAAATTCGGGTATCAATTGCGTGTCCCTGTAGACGACTTGGGTTTAACGACCAAGTGATTGAGAGTAACAGGTTCAAGTGGTCACTGGTACTAATGAACGGCATTTCGAGTTGTCGAGTGCTAAGTGGGAAATGATTATCGTAGCATTCTTATCTCTCTCTACCTCTCAGTGGATCTAGTTGGAGGCTGGACGATTAATTGTCCTTCTTGTGCAAGCTGTGCTCCAAAAGCTCAGCGAGAATCTCATTCAGGTCACCGAGAATGGTGCGACCGTCTTCCACAAGACCAGCAGCTACGGTTGCATTCGTGTAGACCTATTGCGTTGGTAAAAGAACAACACACAGTGAGCGGGAAGTTGGTGAAGTAAACTTATCATATAGCAGCTTCACGAACCTGACGGGCCACCTTCTTTGCAAGAGCATCATTAACTTCACGAAGTGCATTCAAGTCCACAACAATGCTGTGGTTCGGATTCACCTCCATCACATTCTTGGACAGACCACTCTTATCTTGGCCAGCGCGATCATTCACCATCTGCATCATCCTGTACAGACAATCATACATTTCTCTGTTACTACGAACTCAAGTCTCATCTACATCGCGCCTACGACGTACCTGCGAATGGAGGCAGATTCGTGGTCCACGATAATTGCCGGCGAGTCAGTCAAGCGAGATGTGAACTGCACAGCTAGATCAGTAATTGTTGACCTCATACATGACACATGCATGCCAACAACATACCTTGACTTCCTTCACGTTGTCCTCCAGCGTCAGCTTCAACCAAGCTCCAAATAGATCCTGCTCGTCCTTTGACAGCTTCTTTCCGGAAGCACTGTCAGTGTCGCTGTCAACGTCCACCTTCGCGTGCTCGGCTGAAATCACCTTACGGCCGTTAAACTCGGCAACATTCGTCATCACAAAGTCGTCAATGGGACTGTAGACGAACAACACCTCCTTGTTCATTTTTCTAGTACAACAGAAAGCAGATCGATTAACAACTAGACATAAATGATAGCCAGCAAACTCAAGGCGGGCACACTTACTTAAATGCCTCAAAATATGGTGATGACTCGGCGATGGCTCGCGTAGGGGCGCACAAGTAGTAGATCTCGTTCTGGTCTGGTGGGCACCGTGACACATACTCATCGAGAGTAGTCAACTTGCCTCCATCCACTTGGCTCGATTCGTAGCGTAGCAGCTTCGCCAAGGCATCCTTGTTCGCAAAATCCGTGCAGATGCCTTCCTTAATGAATTGGCCGAACTCCGTAAAGAATTTTTCGAACTTTTCCGGTTCCTTGGTGGACTAATTTCACAAAACGATGTCGTTAAGATGGATAATGTGTTAGTCAATTAGCAAATAAACAACTCTGAAAAAACAAGTGAGCACAAATTCACGGTACCTGGCGCTCCAAGAAGCGAACAATTCTTCGCGTCAGAACGTCACGGATCTTATGAATCAAACGGCTGTCCTGCATCTTTTCACGAGAAAGACTGAGCGGAAGGTCTTCACTATCAACGACACCACGCACGAAGCGCATCCAGTCCGGTAGAATGTCAGGCGAGTTGCGCTCAATAAGAACCTTTCGTGAGTAAAGGCTTACACCCGGCTCTAGGCGAGCATAGCCGAACTTCTCAGTGTGGGAAGAACCGATAAAGAAAAGAGTCTTCAGCTCAATCGGCGCATCAGCTTTAAAGATTAGACGGAACGCCGGCTCATCATACGCATTAGCAATAAACTTGTAGAATTCAGTGTACTCCTCGTCGGTAACATCATTCTCGCTCTTGGTCCAAAGTGCCTGAACCGTGTTGACCGTGTTACCATCAAGAACAATCGGAAATGACACGAAGTTCGAGTAGCGCCTAATGATAGACTCGACCTTGGCCTTCGTACCGAATTCCTTGCAGGAATCCTTCAAGTGGATTACGATCTTGCTGCCACGCGTTACCTCGTTTGCCTCAGTGACCTCGTACGATCCACTGCCGTCCGAGCACCACAAGTGGCTCTGGCAATCAGATACTGCTGACTGCGAGAAGACCTCTACCTTCTCGGCAACCATGAAAGCGGAGTAGAAGCCAACGCCAAACTTCCCGATAATGCCGCTAAGGGCATCGCCCGACTCCCCGGGAGAATCATCCTTTAGCTGCTCCAAGAACACCTTGGATCCCGAGCGTGCAATCGTGCCCAGATTATTAATAAGTTCTTTCTTTGACATACCCACTCCCGTATCAGCAATGGTCAGCGTGCCAGCCTTTTCGTCCGTAGTAATCACAATATGTGGTTCCAGCTCAGCGTTCCGGATATCAGCTCCCGTGGACTGCAAGTGACGCAGCTTTTCAAGCGCATCAGATGCATTAGAGATAAGTTCACGGATAAATACGTCCTTGTCCGTGTAAATAGAGTGCGTCACAATATCCAAAAGTTGACGCGTCTCAGCCTGGAATTCATGGCGATTAGCTGGCAGCAATACAATAGTAACAAGCAGTACAATACCGTCAAATACATTATCACATTACAACACGTTCCAATTTGATTAGTGCATTACAAAACGCTACCTTTGTCGTCCGAGGCGCTGGTACTAAAACAGGCATTAAACTGCTGGAAAGACGGCAACAACGTGGTACCACGTGGTACCAATTGCGCATTTAAAGGCATTTTACATATAGATGTCACACGTTGCATCGCACGACGTCCATGGATTCTACTCGAGACATTTGCGCGGCGAACGACGCGCTGTACAGTCGATTGCATCCTTATCTCCACAGCCACAAAATCTGTCAAATGACATGATGTGTAACACACCAGAAACAATGACAGAAAAACTGCCGACTTTCATATCTGCTGCTTTATGTTGCTACAAAAAAACACAGTACGTACTTTGCAAGATTCGTTGAACAAATAATCAGTTGCTGCTTGGGGGTACCTTTCTCACCGATTCTTAATCATGATGAAGATGTATCGCCGTCTTGTTGTCAATTCCTTGCGCCTAAACGCTGCGCCCTCGTCCCTCGTACGATATCAGCAGAGCCGTCTCATAAGTGCACGTCGTGTGCCGTCAGAAGAGACACTTGCAGCACTTAAGGCATTGCTGGGTACTCGTCTCTCGACGGCCTCATCCGTTTTGGAGGTGCGTTCAAGTACAAACTCCATTCATGTTTCTCTTGGCTTTATTAAGTCACTCTACTGTAATCTCTTTCTCTTAGCAACACGGAACCGATGAGTCGTACCACGCGGTGGCTCCTCCTGATGCTGTAGCCTTTGTACAATCCACTAATGAAGTTTCAGAGGTTGTCAAGATCTGCGCTGCTGGTAACACGCCCGTGATCGCTTTTGGTGCAGGATCTTCTCTGGAGGGACATATCTCTGCTACTGAAGGCGGTGTCTCGATCGACCTCACAGGCATGAACGAGATTCTGAGTGTTGAGCCAGAGAATATGAGTTGCAAGGTGCAGGCTGGTGTCACACGCGAGCAGCTCAATGTCGATCTACGTGCTACAGGCCTCATGTTCCCCGTGGATCCTGGTGCCAATGCAACTCTTGGTGGCATGATCTCGACTAACGCGTCGGGCACTACTACCGTGCGTTATGGCAACATGAAGACCAACGTCATGTCATTGACGGCTGTCATGGCCGACGGACGCATCATCAAGACGGGTTCCAAGACCCGCAAGTCTTCTGCTGGCTACGATCTCACTCGCATGCTTATCGGATCGGAGGGTACACTCGGTATTGTTACGGAAGCTGAGCTGCGTCTTTTTGGAGTTCCCGAAGTCGAGAAGACGATGATTTGCCAGTTTGACTCGATTCAAAATGCTGTTGACATGTGTGCAACTGTGATGCAGATGGGCATCCCAGTGGCGCGTATGGAGTTGATGGACGAAAATGCTGTGGACGCTATTAACAAGTACTCGAAGATGGAGACTCCTGTGCGGCCATCGCTTATCATTGAACACCACGGCTCGCCTGGTGAGGTGGAAGAGCAGAGCTCCGTTGTGGTAGAGATTGCCAACGACTTTGAGGCGAAGGACATTGAACTGGCAACGAGTCTTGAGGAGCGCAAGAAATTGTGGAGCGGTCGTCACGCTGCCTGGTACGCTACACTGAGTCAAATGCCTGGTAGTCGTGGGCTGTGCACCGATGTCGCCGTGCCATTTGCCAAGTTGACGGACGTCATTGTGGAGACACAGGCTGACTTAAAGGAGTGTGGGCTGTTTGGCGCAATTGTGGGACACGTCGGCGACGGCAACTTCCACGTCATGCTGCCGTTTTATCAGGATGATGCGAAGCTGATGCAAAAGGTGCGCGACTTCTCCGACCGTTTGGTAAACCGCGCTCTCGAGTGTGAGGGTACGTGCACGGGTGAGCACGGCATTGGCAACGGCAAGATGAGTTATCTGTCCAAGGAGCATAGCAATGGTGTGGAGGTGATGTATATGATTAAAAAGGCGCTGGACCCTAAGGATATCATGAATCCTGGCAAGATTTTTTACAGTGACAAGAAACACTAAGTGGTGAAGCACAGTATACTATTATCTTGAGGTAGAATGAAGTATCGTAGTGCTTATGTCACTATGAACTGGTCAGCAAGACCCGGAAGTATTCGAGAAAGATAAAGTATATGTGGTAACATCAAAAAGGGTCTGGAACTGTGTCAAGTGAATAACAGTTGATGTTCCCAATAGAGACTAAAATGAGTGAATCTGGACTATTTTCGTATCAAAACTTATACAAAACTCGATACAATCGGACGAAATGCCGACGATAGAAGTGGCCACGTTCATGGAGCTATCAGATAGCGTAAAGGAGATGCAGGGAGCTTCTACGCTTGTAAATATTCCGTTAGAGCTCAAACTATTGATCGCCTTGGTGGCACTTTTCCTCGTTCTACTGATTCTCATTATGGTGCTATGGGATCGCTATGGTAAAGAGATTGGGGAGCTCTACACATCGCCCATGGGCACCATTGCCCGAAGACAAAATACAAACGGTACGACACAAAAAAATGTACTTTGATACTCTATTTTGTGAAAAAAGTACTTATTTCAATTTTTTTATCTGGACCATTTTAGATGTTAAAGTGCACGATGTCGCGGACGAGTTTTCAATTTACCAAAAATTGCCGACCTTTTTTTACGAGTACGTGCCAAGACGGAAGACAACGACACAAAATAAGGACAAACTAAGGGAATGCAAGACATAAAGGTGTCTTCATCTGAAGTAAGAATGCTGGTTTAACTATCACCAATGGCATCTACGTTGACGCTACTTTAGTGTATTGGGGCAATCCTGTCACACTTGTAGATTCCACTGGTAGCGAGTAAATGTAAACTCCAAAGCCCACAAAGCACACGGCAGCTACCGTGTATAGTGTGATTGGTTGGCTGAAAAACACAGCGCTCAGGAGCGGCAGAAACACGAGTTCCAGTGCACTGGCAATAGCTTTACGGATAGAGTCCAATTGCTTGAGAAAAAGACTCGTGACTACGCCAATGCCCGACATCATGAGCACCATTGGCAGCACATAAGGTGTCAAAAGTACACTAAAGTTAGCAGTTGTCAGAGCTTCTTGAGCTGTCTGCCCGGTCAATCCGAGCACGAGCATGACCAGTGTACACACGATGGAATCCATGTACATGAAGACGTTCTGTAAATTCACTGGAATCGAAGCTTGTTTCTTGAGAAGAACTTCATTGTACACGCCAGCAAACGTACTGCTGAGGATTTGCACCATTAACAATCCGTAAGCTGTAGACGTCGGACCATTGCCATGGATTCTCAACTTGGTGGAACCGTTCGGATCTTGTGAGCCCAATGTCTTGATGGCACATCCTATTGTAGTAACACCCAAGGAGACCCACTGATTCCGGTTTAGTCTCTTGGAGAACATTGCTTGGTGTAATACGCCCGTCACTACGAGTCGGAATTGAAGAAGCAGGAAGTACGTCGCAGCATCGAACGCACGCAGATTAATGTATGACAAGACATCGTAGATAACGTAAAGTCCCGATGGAATAAAGTAGAGCAGGAGGAGATTGCGATGCTCAAGGCCTTGTCTTATCATGTAACGAAAGCGACTGATCAGTGGCTCTGTCGCTTGAGTGTCCGACGTCAAATACATGTAACTCGCTAGGAAGAACTTGAGCAGCGACTGGAGCACTACAGCGCAAGCAGAGTTGAAATGCACATCCTGTCGCTTAGCCACCTCATTAAGCATCCCGTAGCCAACCCAAAGGCCCATGTACATGACGAAGATACCACGTTGGGCCTTAGTCTCCAATCCAAGTGGTGCCGCCATTGTCACACGAAAAAGAAGACAAATGAATGTCGATGAGGGAGGTTTTCCGATTCTCTTTTTGTATGACAACGGTACTCCAGTGAATGGTGTACAAGTGCCCAACGACAATCTGCTATCTATCTCTGCTACGTATGCCAAGTGTATCATTTATAGCATCATGATTATGCCGGAAGAGACCACGATTGTCATTGCAATAAGTGAATGAAGTAAGCACTGCAATACAATCTCCTCTCCAATTCTAGCTCACTGCTTGTATGTCTCTTTATATGTCCATTGTCGTCACCACTACATCATCATCTACTCTTCATCACCAATCACTCCCATTTAGCTAAATCTGGGTCGACTAAAGAAGACTAGAGAATAATAGAAGCGATATCACTAAATGAGTCCTCCTCAACGTCGTGGTGGACGCGTGCATGGGGCTGAAGGTTACCACAAAGAAGACACATTGGCACTACTTAAATGTGTAAGAAACGTCGTGCCAACAACCACTGAAGAATGGGATCAAGTGCTGGTTTTATACCGCAAGACGCACGCGATCCCAAATACTCGGTCACGACGTGACACGAATTCGCTTAAGGTCAAATTCAAGCAATTGGCACGACATTTTCGACCTGGACAGAGTGTGCACCCGGAATTACTGGAAGCTGGAAGTATTTTAGAGCTGATTGAAGCCAAGATGGCGGGTAGTCAGTGTCTCCAGAGACGTGGAGGTCGTGCACGAGGTGCTGAAGGATTTTCAGCTGCCGACTCACAGGCAATTCTAACGATTGTACGAGAAGTTTTACCTGTAACGAGGTCAGATTGGGAACAAGTTGCACAGGAATATTGCAAAGTGTATGCAGTGCCTAATGATAGACTTAGTAGAGATGGAATCTCACTTAAAAGCAAGTTTCGGAACTGGCTAAAGAGTGAGGTCGGGGTCGTGCCACGCGCTGAAGTGAGTGAAGCGCTGGCGATTCGTATGGAAATAACTGCTAAAATGAGTCAGGGGAAGAACGTGGAATTGATGGAAGATACGAGACAGGAAGTAGTCGGAGTGAGTAGAAGTGCTGAAGAGGTGGAAGGGAGAGATACGTATACGACCAAAGTAATTGCTCTGGAGGCAGCGGACGGACATGAGGACAGTACTACGAGCTGCGAAAGTAGAGAGAAGAGATTCGGTGATGAGCCCCGACGTGGTGGAAGGACTGTTGGATCGGAAGGGTATTCTCAAGCGGACAAATGGGCACTAATTTCGTCAGTCAAGGAGGTTTTGCCATCAGGACCGACCAGCTGGGAGCGGGTGCTACAATTGTACCGTATGAACCACGCTATCCCGAACGATCGTGCGCAAAGGAATCTGACAGGAATCAAGAGCAAGTTTCGACAATTGGTTAATTGGAAGCATGGTACCGGCATGGAAAAGACGGTACCCGAAGAAACACTCGAAGCCCGTGCCGTACAACGAGATATTGATTTTCGTTTGGCTCAGGGAAAGCGTCAACGTTCTGAAAGCGAATCAATCGTTTCTACTTCTCGTGCACCTGAGGAAGTATCTCCAGATAGATGCGAGGAGCATACTCTTCATTTGACACACGCCGAGACACGAAAAAGTGACAACGTTGAGCGGCAAGTCATGGTAGCTGATGCGACGGAACGGTCAGTGAGTGCTCACGTCCCAGTTCCTGAACCTGTGGTGAAACGTCGAAAAGGAAGCATCGGCACCATCGAAATACCAAAGGATTGTACTGACGATTCAGTTAGCTCCAAAATTGCCAATCGAGAACTCGAACTACTGCGGCAGCGCGAACAACGCGAAGCTGAGCAGGCAACATGGGAAAAAGAGCGGACCATGCGCGAGAAGCAACGCATGGATATGGAGGCCTGGACGATTGTGTGTGATCGTTTGCGTTTGCTCTATCGAGAACGAGCATCGGAAAATAACCCGGACATAGTGAACGAGTTTGACGATGAGATTGCCGTCCTCAAGAAAAAAAGCAGCGGCTTGCAGGTTTGATGATATAAAGTATTGGGCAGGTCTCCATCCCGCGTTAGCGTTAACAATTTCGATTCGGACTACTAGAGAAGCCACGCAAAAGTACAAAAGCTGTTGGATGTTGTTCTACATAAACCGAGGCCGATGACAGTACTGCTTCAGTTTTCTTCTGTCTGTCTTCTTTGCAATATTTGACTGACAACGAAAAGCTTCTGTCTAGCACCCCCTTCATCCAGTCAACTGCAAGCGGTGAAAAAGACAGCTTTTGCCTCTTCATAAGTCTTCAAGGGAATTTTTTACGATTGGGTGTCGCAAGTGTCTTGTCTGGTATTGTATCAATTGCTGCATTGTCTTCGGCAGTGTCATCGTCCGGACCATTAAAGGAATCAGTGGCAATGCACGAGACGGGGGATGTCGTAAAGTTTCCAGAGTCAATCAAGTTGACAACGTTTCGTTGTGGCTTTCTGGGCTTCGCAGATACTGGAGACGGTAGATCCATTGTGTAGCCAGCAAGAGCATCCACGTTTCTTGCACCATCCTTATTATCGGTTGAAGACGCTATCCCTTTATCTGTAAGAAAGCTCTCATCAGACAATACCAACTCGCAATCTTGGACCAACGACGACGTCGACGAAGGTAGCCATACCGGGGACGAGAGAGTTACAATCGAGTGGTGAACGAGGTTTTCACGGGAAGGTAAACTACTCGTGGATCTTTTCCGAGCCGATGAAGATGGAGCAGGGTCATCACTTGGCACCATCACTTCGTTATAGCTTTCTTTCCTCTTCTTCATGCCACCTCCAATCTGCATAGCCACGCCTTCATTCTTGCGCTGTAGGCGTTCATGAACTTGACGTTGTATTGCTGTAGCGCCATGTGTGATTCCGACTGTCGAGTTCAATGATCCGGCTCGTTTAAGCTTTGCCCGAGGAGGAGCTGTCCCAGAGCTTTTCATCGTAGGTCCATCACGGGAGCCTCCTGACTGCGTAAGCGAAGGAACATTGCTCCGAATTTCGTGGTGTGATGGAGATAGTGTGCGAACTGGCAACGACGTTCGCCCATGCGATTCCGAGGATGAGTCCACGTACATGTGCACCCGATGTTTTGGTCGCACTTTCACGTGCAATACTTCGCCCGCCAAAATGTGAAGTGGAGACAACACCTCAACGTTATCTGCGGTGCTGATACCTACACAAATTACAACATATTAAGAATCAATTGCGGTAGTCAACATGAGCGTGATGAAGAAGCTTAATCGTACATTCGACACTGTGAACGTGGAGCATTCGACGGATGTTATCGTAGAGTGCTTTCTGAGTCCACGACTTGTTCACTACGAAGCGGACTTTTCGGATCATTTTCATGCCCTCGACAACTAAAGTCACGCACACAGACCCTTCGGTGGCTAGATCAATTGAAAGACGGCGGCGAACACGATCCACCAGCGGTCCTGAAATGACACGATAAACTGCATTCGAAAAAATGTTGGTTTTCGCTACTTGATCAGCACCATCCTCCAGCTGATTGTTAAAACTTTTGTCTTTTTCATGGTCCCACAGTCGAAAGAGGATGTTGTGCTGCGCGATTCCTCCTCATCGCTGCCATCCAACAAAGAATCTTGTTTTACTTCGTCAGATTTGCCGAATTCATCTTGTGCAGCTTGAATGCCGTGGTTTGACACGTCGTATGCAAACGTCACTCCGCACACGATTAATGGTCCAAAGATGACGCCCTTTAATACACGAAAGCAACGATGTTAGTGCTCTATACAGTGTCGTGTTGGTACAAACAGATTGAAAAACATAGATACTGTCTGAGCTCACCTCAAAGCCAAACACATATACGCCGAACACCACACTCAATGCGGAGACGTAAGAATTGAGTGCCACGATGCTCTTTTCATACAGCATTTCATCCAATACAGTAAAAGCCACATACTGCACCGCAAAGAGAGCAAGCGCTCTCACGATTGAAGTCGTGAGCCCGATCGAGATGACCCACGGCACACAGACTAAATACGGGGGAATGATTGGCACGATCGAAATAAAAAAGGTGACTGTCGTGGCGAGGTACATGAAGTCAGCATCCTATTCACGACACAAAAACGAAAAGTAGTGTACATTTAGTACGCGGAACGATAATCGAGCAAGTTGCACGGGAATATACGCACGACTATCGTGAAAGAAACCATCGTCACAATTGCGTGGATACTCGCCATCTTCAGCGGCAGAAAGAAAACGCCCTCAATCACTTTCCGCAGAGATCGAACAACTTCCGGCCGTTTGTTGACTTGTATCGGGAGTAAATCTTGAACAAACCTTTCGATAGGATCCCAATTCGTACACAGCAGATAAAATAGCGACGAAACGAAGAAAAAGGATCGGATGCCGAGACTTACAAACGCAATCACCAGTGTGAACACGAGAAACACCAATTGTGCCACCGACCCCACGGCAATGCTGCTAACCTCTAATCCTTTCGACGTCCAGTCGGTGAGCTGTACCGACGTCAAATTCACAGAGTCCAAATTTGAGTAAGCAAATGACACTGCTTGTACAAACGTCATATTGTCGGGAAGACTTAGTCTGGAGAAGAGCGATACTTGGGAAGTAGAATTCCCGTCACTGGACTTTGCATCCACGTAGTACGTCTTTACCAAGCTTTTAAGAGGTGGCCACCACATTGTGTCGTTGTAGTTGTTCTCGACGCCACTAATAGCTTGCGAGATCATTGCGCGGCTATTCTGAACCTGTTCACTCCACACCTGTCGTGTGCGTTCATCATTGATAAAATTGTCCTGCACCCATTCCGACAAATCAGTAGCTGCACGACTTCCTTCCAGATAACTCTCAGTGCCGAGAAATAAAATGACAAATGCCCCCTGTCCAAACAAAAGTGCATAAATTGTACATATACGCTGCGTAAGACCATTGCCAAAAAAAGACAACAATCAATCAAGATTCGTACCGTGATGAAAAAACCAAGGATAAGTAATGCTGACACGAGCACCTCGTCCGAGAAAAAGTATCGGTAGTAAAATATACGTCGATCCAAAATCTTAATGAGACTCAGTGCCACGATCCAAAAGCCAATGATAATGTTCAAAAAGGACACCCACGAATACATTCGCATCCAGATAGAAATCGCACCAATGAGTGAGAATAGAAAAATGCCGTAGTTTAAAAACATCTCATTGGCAGTACGACGTGATCCATTATGTGGATGGCTAATGATAATCTCAGCCGACTTGCAAAATACACATGTTAAAAATCCCTAGAGATATACAAATGTAGCCATTAGTTACAAAAACACATTGTTAAGTAAATTTTGGATAACAAGCCTATCAATGTGGTGTAAAGTTACTTCATACATAACGATTGATGTCGGCGTCATCACTGAGGTACTGAAGTACTGAGATAACATTATTTTTTGCTTGTCGTAGAGCTTGACTGCACATAATTGCCCATACAATTAGACGCAAATAATTTTCAAATAATAAAAAATTAAAGTAAATGAGAACAAGGATTAATGCTGTTGAAATGTTGCCAATTAGCTGAAAATATGGCAGAATGGAGGTCGAAGAAACGTCAATATGATATGGTAATATACATACGGGAGCATGTAAGAAGTGACAGAGAGAGTTTGCAACGTACTTGGGCGAGAATCATCTCGACAAACTCGGCCATGATGGCGATGATTTTCTCTCTATAGCAATAATTTTAATCTTTTGTGAAGTGTCAATAGTCATATTCGATTCGACAGGTGTTTCTAAATTTGAGATGACTCAGATTTGACTGGATTGTAATAAGTTAATTCAAATTGCATGTTTCGAGTACTTATAGTGTTTGCGTCTCTTGGAGTCATTCGTACTAGGTACGAACTCGTCTTGCAGATTGTCCATCCATCATGTCGTCGTAAGATGGTCGCTTTCATGACAAAGCAGGGCAACGGCGTTCGACTTTGTAATCATGTCGTTGGCTTGGGTCTGTGACTTACAGTAGGAAAGACACAAGACATGTTGCTGAAAGGTGCCAAGTTCTTGTCGTCGTATTGCAATCGTAGAAAAAAGTGATGTCCTAGAGACACTGCTCAAGCTCACAAGAGGAACAAGTTGATGATACTGTGGGCGAAGCTGCATAATGGACAGGAGAGGGCACTACTCCGTCTTCACTTGATCGTACAATCTTAATCTAGCCGTCTTTGTTTAGACTGTAAAACAATGTAACATTTTTTCGGGGGTGAACCGTGGTCGGGCAGAGCAGCAGCTGCAAAGTGGCAGTACCACCACCGAAAGATGTTGTTAGACACGGGACAGACTTATCTGTTGTACAATGCAAGACTCTGTAAACAAGCTGAATGCACGCTAGAAATCCATCTACCATTTGCTACATCTAGTCCTCCGCCTTGTAGTAAGAGCTGCTGTGACCTACACCTTATGCTTGACTTCCTGCAACAAATGCTGTATCCCTTCAATAAGCTGTTCCATCATGGCTACATAAGATTCTCATTAAGTACGATTGTTGTTGCCACGTATCATGTACTGATTGGGTGTTTCGTGTTTCGTGTTTTTGTAACGATCGGATGTTACCAATTTTATTGTGCAAGCAACTTTGGTCTTTTTAACAACATTGTCCGCAACAAATTGTACTACAATGTAATATAATGACATACAGTCTAGCTTATTGTGAAAAAGTCAACATAGTAAACTTGTACAAGATCCATAAAATTAGTAGTCATTGTAATCGATCAGTCAAGTCACTCGCCGCTATTTGACCAATCAGTTCACGACCAGACGACGAGGTGTCCACGGTTGTATGTTGCTTACATATTCTTATACCCTATTCACTCATCCTCTCCCGCCTCTTTTTCCGCGCTCGACCGACCTGTCATAATACATGATCTGGTAGAAAGACGTTTGACGTGTACTAGTCATTAGTATAAAAACCACCTGCGTCGTTTAATACCCTACAGTCAGTTCCTTTACCGCATTCTGATTGGCCATTGATACACAGGACAGTGATGTAGCTTGGCTCGCAGCCGTCCACGTTTATTATTCCCCATCAATCTTGAATTCCCCTCGAGCTTAACAGGCGCCACTACTTTTGAATCCTCACTAAGAGATAAGAAGAAATACATTGACAATGCGTATCTCACGAGTGGTTCGTGTGACTGTGGCTGCAGCCGCAATCTTTGCTTTCTCGCTGCCGTCATCAACCGAGGCGAATACGCTTGATATCAATACTGAACGCAACGTGGCAACGTTTGGTGCGTCTATGATTGATTCGAATCATGAGACGCGTATGCTCGGTACATCCCCGAAAGACGAAGACGATGAAGATGTCGAAGTTCCGGCACCTAAGAAGAAGAAGCTCACAGACAGTGATTATTCGACAGAAGATTCGAAAAAGAAGACGACCAAGGAGAAGGATACCAAGGCGAAGGATGTTAAGGAGAAGGATACCAAGGCAAAGGATACTAAGGCAAAGGATACCAAGACAAAGTATACCAAGACAAAGTATACCAAGGAGAAGGATACCAAGGCGAAGAAGGAAAAAGCGGCTAGAGAAGCCAAGGAGGAGGAAGATGACGAAAAGCTGATTGAAGCTGTCTTAAAGGATGCAGAGAAGGAGGCAGAGCAGGAAGAGGCACAGACGGAAGCATTAAAGAAGAAAAAGAAAGTGACAGATGACACTCCTGCTTCGGATAAGAAGAAGAAGAGTGTTGAAGAAAAGTCTCAAAAGTCTGAGGAGAAGTCTACGAAGAAGGAAACGAAAGAAGAAAAAAAGGGCAATGACGATGACGACAACAACGTGAAACAGAAAGACAACGACAACACTGTCAATGATAAGAAGATTAAGGGAAACAAGAGAGAAGGTGTGATTGATGAATCGTCGGAAGGTAACTCTGAAATTGACAAGATTGATCTGCGGAATAATGATGGCTGGGTCAGTGTTTACGACGACCCTCCACTGCTTGTCATCAAGGCTTCACTGTACGCTTTCATCTCGTATAACGACACGGAGGTGTGTGACACTTTTAACATGACCATGAACGCCGTGGAGCAAAAGGCGGAGGAAGAGGGACGTTTTTCGTACCACGTTGTGGCTTACATTAACTGTACGAAGAATAACCAAGACGAGACCCAGGGCCGCTTCATTTTGAACTTTATTCCGGAGGGAAAGAGGTTGCTTTTGACCGAGTGTGGTCACCGTGAGGAGGGTGAGATTGTCAACTGGCTTCGCATTGACGATGAGGTGCCCGAGTGCATGACCCCTAAGGAGCGAAAGGAGTTCCTTTCTCAGCCTATGAAACACATTCACGTTAGCAACGGAACTAATTCGGATGTGGAGGCTGTGCAGACTGATTTCTTGACTCGACTTGAGGATTTCGACCCGGAAGAGGTTGCCATATTTGGCGCTGCGACGGTGGCGTTCATGGCGGTATTTGTCGTGCTAATTGTGTTCATCATTCGCAAACGCAAGGCTCAAAAGGACCTGGAGCGTACTATTGCTGGTGCCAAGGCCGAGCATGCTGTCGAGGACGATGATTTGCAGATTGAGGCAGAGGAGAAGGCCACCAGGGAGCGCAAGGGTCTAATGGACAGCGCCAAGGCAAAGACTGACGATCCTGACATGGAGGAGGGATCATTTGTGAACTCTCCCGCCGTGCGCGTGTAGACCTAGCTGCGCTTCGACTAAGTGGTTAACTTCTTGAGACGTGCAAAATTGATTAGATTTGAACTGGAGACAGAAATTGTGGAGGTCCTTGCCGGCTTCTGTCTGCGAGACGTCTGCGATTGCCCACTGGCACTGCGGTGCACGTGGTTCCAATGGGTTCTAATGCATTTTTTGTTGAAATATATCCGCGCAGTTTAATCCTGTTTGTTCAATGAGTTTTAGCCAGCGATGGTGCTGCTGTAGAAGTCAACAGTGTCAGCTTAAGCTACAACACTAGTCATACACCTACTTCACTGTGGCCTTTAAGCTTTTAAGTAACCAACCTGTGTGAATGTCATCCAAAGACAACGCGCGTGCACTCGGTAAACATGCTCACAGAGGTGCAATTTTATCGATTCGAATGTTCACCAGTGTGTGGTGGTGTCTGGTGCCCAGCAAGAGGTCGTGAAACTTGCGACGGAGATAGTGCTACCATAAGTATAGCGTGGCTGTATGTGTCATGTCATGCACTACGCTCACGATGCGCCCTTCACCACAGAGATACCACCTATAGTGTGTCGCCAACGGTCCAGCCCTGCAAATACCACAACGGAGAAAGACAAAGACTCGCGCATTATTGTGGCCGATTTGTCACGCTGAATACCATCTTCACTTGTCACAAATCGCTTGGCATCGCTAAGTATCCGATGGGCGCAAAACCGACTACCAGATTCTATCTCTTGAAAGCAGTACGACAATAACGAATGGTTATCCATGCATTTCACGAGACCCACCGCAGGATAGTTCATTGCTTATGCCTTAAAAAGTGTAAAACGTTCGAACAAACGTCGCATTTTACACTCTTTTTGCTACTTAATTCGTAGTGTTTGGACTAATATTACGGCGCATTGAAGAGCATTGTTAGGCAGTGTATAGAAAGGGCTTGCAGGCAATTGCATTGTCGCAGCAAAAAGTGTCCGACCGTACACCTCAACAAAAATGCGTTGACAAAGCAATTAACTTGGCTCCTGGTTTTGCAAGCGTCGTTTTAAGATCACGATTACATGATTTGGATTGGTTTATATTGAATTGATACCTCCTGCTTTTCAACCAATACGAATTAAGGTGTTGACCACATAAAGCTAAAAGTGCTCTTAACATGAAAGCCAAGGCCACGACTGGCGACGTGTCTGCGCTCTTGCTGTACGTATAGTACATTAACGTCTAGCTATTATATCAATCAATATATAGGAGTATTTATTGTCATTGTTATGTATCTACTCACTACTGAAATGCATTTGTCAAAATGATAGGGAAAAGAATCAGGAAAAAACATTCCGTAAGAGTCGCGTCACGGGGACACGCACAATTGAAGTGGCGCTCGCAGAGATTCAGATTATCAAGCACAATGTATACGTTCAGCGTAAAGAAAGGTCGCTGCCAGAGGTATTTGCATGACGTCTGGGAATTGCCAGTTGATAGTACTGTCTCTGGCTTCATTCGAGTTTACTGACAGGCTGCAATTTTGTCCATGGAATGGGAAATATCGTGTCAATTGGACGATTTTTTTGCTAGGACGAGATTTCTATTTGCTCTTGTAAGCCACCAAGGAACGAGCATGAGATGGGATGTCTTGATGACTGTTTGAATCGAGCGGTGGGGTGCTGAGGAGCTTGTTTTTTTGAAGCAGAAAAATGTGTTGAAAGCGATTTGGGCTGACGCATTCAGTGTGCATGTGGTTGCAGGCTTTGGTGGAATGCATAGCAGGGTATTGCAAGAGTGGCGACCAATGTGATAATATGAGGATACAGCGTGGTGTCATGCCTTCTACTCAGCTTATCAACTGCGGGAACAAAGGTCTTGGAATGAAGTTGCTGGAAGACATCAAAGCAGGCTCGTTCGTAAGCGAGTATATGGGTGAGATCGTGACAGAGCAAGAGTACCACATGCGACGAGTGGTAGGTTCTTATATGATGTTTCGGATTGTGGTGTTTAAAGTAATTTTTATGTTGCCAATGCTTCGATAGCTTTACCATAATGAGAAACACCGCTACATGATGGTGTTAAGCGGCGGTGAAGTCATTGATGCTACGCGCATGGGCGGGTGGGCACGCTTCATTAACCACAGCTGTGACCCAAACTGCAGAGTAGAGAAATGGGACGTTAATGGTGAAGAAAGATGCGCTATTTTCGCTCTACGTGATATCGTTGCTGGCGAGGAGCTGACGTTCGATTATAAATTCGAGTCTTTTAGCAAAGCCGTACGTTTCCCAGCATTCAATACGTGTTTCGATTGCTAACAAACTATTGTTGGTATGTACAGGAAATAACAGAGTGTCTTTGTGGAGCACCGACTTGCCGGAAGGTGATTGGAATGAACAATCGAGTAGCAAAGGTGAACAAGACGTTCAACAACAAAAAGATGCAGGGTACGGCGTCGCCTATTGTAGGCTCGAAATCGCTTGACCCCGTTATTGGATCGAAATCAAGATCAGCTCAAGGAGTAAAGGTTTGTCATGTGTTATCATGTGAGTGTCCATTGAAGTGTTTTCATGAATGCTTCATCTTCATTTTTGTTCCAGAAAGCAGAAGCTCTGATGCAACGAATGGCGCGGCAGCGTCTGTTGAGCAGCAGTGACATCCGCGTACTGCGTCGGTCGCACGTAATGCTCGAACGCAACTTGACGCAGCACATGGAAAACGATTTTGATCATTTGGCACTATTGCCATACTTTATCACCAAGCATTCGTCCATGATGAAGCACGCACCGGAATTGAAACATGTGCCCGATTTTTTTAGCTGGAGAGATTTGCCTCATTTTCCAAAAAAGGCTCGTCTTCTACCTCGAAAGGCCAAAGTTGCTCGACTGTGTAAAATCGCCGAGACATTGCAAGCTCGTCAGAAACAGCAGCAATAAAGTATTTTCGCGCAAGAAATATTTTACTGCTGGCTGCCCTATTATAAAGTCTGTAGCCATGTTGATCGAAATATATTGCTGCCAAGTCATATGGTTTCAGTTGTGACTTTTCTATTGGTTAATAACAATCAGGGGCAGGGTTCATACAGAGCGAGCCGTCATATTCGCCGTCGGCAGAGCGAGCACCGAAAAAGACCTTGAGTAAGTGTGTTGTCACGCGATCTGAAGGCCTCATAGCTAGCTAGAATGTATCCGAATAGCTGCATATACGTCTTATCTATCCATCTCAAGTGTTTGAATTTGTTTTACTGCAAGATTAACTTTGAATTGTGATAATTTGTCACGTGATCTTCAGATTAATAAAGTGTCCAAGTTGATGGCTATGGAACGCAAGCTGAGTCTACATTCAGGCTTAAAACAGTTGAATGAAGGCCGCATTAAGTGTGATTTCAACTTGAATTGTGCGTGTCAGCCCAGTGCCACAGAGACGCGTGAATTCCGAAAGGTGAACGACAATAGCGACCAATTGAGAGACAAAGAGCTCGAATTAATGCTAATGTGATTATGCTGGTGCTCGTATATGACAGCGATGGTTGTTATTGACAGATCGTGAACGTGTTACGGCACTAAGTGGAGATGCAAATCAGTTTTTGAAGACAGCAACGGACCTGTTGCTGTGTCCTGGCTGTCGTAACAGTGCAGAAGCGCTTTTCTATAAACTAGTGGACGGTATTGTCCGATTGCCACAAATTGTCAGTCGATCGGGTCTTTGTTTTGACAAAGACAATCACTTTCGACTTAGCGAGTCGTGTGTGAACAGTCCGGATAAATTATTCTCGCTTTTCTACCATCAAGAACAATGGGCTAATACGACGTTGATGAAACCCACCAAGTCAAGCAGTAAAGCTGGTACCTCACGTGCAAGATGTCAGCTACACTCGCAGCGGGTACGGGGTCGCCCGCGTCCTGCGGCATTTGAGGCACTGTGGCATAAGCTACCGGAAGATCACCAGCGGCATCTCTCTCATATTGACTCGGATCAATTCTTGACCGATCTGGAGAATTATCTGCGACGTCATCGTTTTTGTTGTCGATGTAAGGAGAAGGTATTAGAGGCATATGATTTGCTTGTTGGGTCGAGTTGTAGTGAGGATGACTGCGAGGATTGTGGGGGCTTCGAATGCGCGGAGAAACATCACGAACACAGCGATTATGGCGATGATTTGCACTACACGTCGTACTTGTTCGATGAACTTGCATTTTCGCGCGCTACGAATCAGATTATCGTGCCTTGTAATATTGAGTTTATGTTGCAGTTGATGTCTCGAGCAGACCAGGAGGTTGCAGGTGATTATTGGGGCGATCGTCATGCACGTACAATCGCCGAAGCACAGGACGAAGTTCTAATGTGTCTGGGCATGGTAATTTGGGACAAGATGCAGAGCCTATGGACCAAGACTCGAACAGAAAAGCGCTCAGAAGAATTAGTGGTGCACTGCGCTTTGTCTACACTACGTCGTAACTTTGACGTGGCCTTGGAGGCGCTGCATGGCGAGGCGATGATCGAACAGCTGCTGGCAGAGGAAGATGATGAGTCTCGGAGAATGGCAAAGAAAAAGGAGAAGCGAAAGGAGAAAAAGAAAAAGCGCAAGTCAGTAACAAAACTGAAGCAAAGGAGTCGATCAGAGTCGGAGAAGAGTTGTCAGTGCGAGAAACAAAAGCCCAAGCCGACCAAAGCGCGTAAGCAATCTGATAGCAGCAAGACCATGACGTCCCAATCGTCCACCAACTCACTAAGTAGTCAAGAGGACGATGACGATCTCACCAGTTGCAGTAGATCCACAGATGTGATGGGAACGCATCAGTGTGACTCGACTTGTGATGAGCCGTGTGAGCGTGGAACGTTGACATACGACGAGCGTATGGAATGGCAACTACTGTCGTCTATGGGATGGAATGCGTCTAACCAAATTACACCATCCTTGCCGGAGTTGGATGTGGATACGGATGACGAAAACCATGGTATTCCTGAAGATGAAATTCGTTTCTGGAAACAGAACCGCTCGAGTCTTGTTCGGCGACGAATGGCTCAACGGCAGGAACTCCAGGAACGTTTCGACCAGTTTGTTTTGCGCACGACATCTCTCGACGGGTAGCAATCGTTGAAGCCAGAACCGGTTCACTGCATCAGAGGACATGTGTGCCATCGAGAGGGACATACGAAGCCTGCACTTGGTCAGTTCTAATATGCTGAGCACTACTAAGCTGCCAGTAGCTTCGAGGAAAAAGTGGCGAATCTGCACGATCAATCGCTTTTCTTTTCCATTAGTCCTCCTAATCAATACACTCAGTTGGAAGCCTTCCTCGTTGTCGGGATGGCTAAGCAGGACAGGATAAGGTTCGCAGTTAGCTACAGTCTCAACTGCTTTGCATCAAAGCTCTACTTTGCTAAGCTCGGCTTCCAAGGACGAAATGATACGATCGACCATGTCCTTGTGATTTGTACATGCCATGAGAACGTTTGTAACAGCATGCCGATTCTTGTCGAGCAATGCTTGATAGCTCTCCATTATTTCCACGGATCTGTGGGACATTACAAACACATCAGTCTTTGTATAACCCAAGTTGACCATAAGGGAGACAAAGAACGATACATACGCTTTTCTGACATCCAGCAGATGCTGTTGGGAGCTAATTGCCTCTTCCTCGACTAGGCTGTCTTCATTCGAGATATTTGTGATCTTGATCTCGACTTCTTCAATCGCGGCTTGCTTTCGACTCAGACTCTCGGCTCGTTTTTCACGCTCTTTGGTCATCTGGTCGGCGTATTTTTTCACTTCAGATTCCCATCTCTTCTCAGTTTGTTTCTCAATGCTCAGCTGGTTCTCGCTTTGCTCCAGCTCCTCAGTCAGCACTAGTGCCAAGTCCAGACCCTCGTTGGCGCGTGCATTACGATTTTGCTTGAGCTTTAGTGCTGTTTGCCGCACATTTGTCTTCAAATGATGCGACAACTTTTGAACTGCTTCAAGTTCTTCAAGGTCTGGATCCAATTCGAGAGTATAATCAAAATTACGAGCATACTTCGCAGTTGCAGGAATGATCTTCAGCCCTTTACAAATGTTCCAGTATTCGTGAATTTGGTTGTCAAGCTATGAGAACATGCACAACATGCGGCAAATTTTAGTGCCACGCACGAGGACTGCTACGCATAACAGTACTAGACGAACTGAGCACAAAGGTACGTACATTGTCCCGAATACTAGCGGCACGGTTCTCATAACTTTTGATTTGTGTTTGAAGCTCATCTTGACGAGCAAGATTATGATGGAGTTGGTCTGTCAGTCGCGCCCTTTCTAGGGATATTTGCTCGATGTCGTGTGCAGACAATTCCTGATTTTCAATACGCGTGTGGAACTTCTGAATTTCTTCTTGAAGGGTACGGACATCATTCTCTGTAAAACACAAAATACAGTAAATACAGCAAAACTAAAGGAAGTTTTGAACGTCGACCGCGCCGTACCCAAAGATTGTTGGACTTCAACAAGAGCCTCCACCTTCTTGTCCAGTTTGCCGTTAAGTGTCTCATATCGACCCACTAACTCCTTGAATTTAACAAGGTCGCTCTGACAGTCAGCTTTCTTTTGTTTCAGCTCCGAAAGTGCGTTCTGAACACCCATCGATGACATCGTGCCGTCAGTCCATTCAACCGATACTTGCAGCTGATAGAAACGCTACAAAAACGCACCTTATCTGCTTTTGCCTGCTCAATTCGCTTCCTAAACTCTTCCTGCTGCAGCTCCTGCTGACTCATTTCCTGCTTGACCGTCTCGTCTCGCTTGACTGCAATAGCCACGTCAGTCTACCAGCCAAACCGGCTGTAAAAGAGATACAAGTCCGTACTCAATTTTTCTTTCTCCTGTTTCTCCCACTCTGCAAACTTGTCGTCTTCGCCGGCCAAAAAGACGCGGTACGATGCATCAAGATACTTGAAAAACTGTTTGTCTCCATTTTCTTCATCCTTCTCGTCATTCAACTCGATCTCTTCGGCTTCCTGTCTAGCCTCATCATACTAAAAATAACACAATAAAATAAAACACAGCACACAATCCAAAAATAAATTACCTCTTAGCAACAGCAATAAACAGCAAATAAACATTTAGAATTTACATACACTGAGCAATTCAATCAGCCATGAAATCGACAGTAACAATGTAGGCCACGTATGAGGCGTGCCCACTGCAGCCAATGATGTCTTGCTTATAGGAAAAGGGTACCGTAAATTCCGGAATTGAAGCACAATATCTTCTTCAAATTTGACGCCAAACTCAAAATTGGAGTCAATCTGTTTAAACAGGAATAAAACCACATTGCAAAAGTCCTTTTTCGATAAACCACGTTTTAAAAGTTTCGGTGTCAACGATTGGTCAAACATTCGGTCCGTTAGAAATTCGACCAAAGTACGGACGCAATTATTTAGATACACCCGGTCGGTCACAGGTCGAGGATCAAGTACACGTGCGCCATTACGACCAGAGATCGAAGCTCGTGCTCTGTATGAGCTACTACGACGAGCAGCAGCTGCACTTCCTGCGGAGTTACGCGAGTTTATAGAGATTCGTGGACCTGTAGGAGGTCGACGCGCTGTATGATTAGTAGCGGTTGAGACACGACGACGAGGAAGAGTCCCGAAGGATTGACGATCTGTAGTTGCAGTACTTTTACTCGGTACTGACACCCGTGTAGAAGGATGTCGGAGAGCAGACGGACGAGCGTTTAACTGCGAAGAAGACGCAGGACCGAGGGTCGTACGTCGCATTTTGGATGGAATTATGGGTAAATCTTTAGAAATGATGCAAATTACTGTATTTCTAAATACTTGTGATTGGGAAAAAGTAGTGTAAGATAGTATGTGGACCACCTTATTTAGACCATTGCACCTTAGTCCATATCATATTTCGTCTTTTTTTATTGTTTTTGAAATGAATACCTAGGATTACTGTATCAGCAGTCAGTGTCACAAAAGTCAATAGACCAGATTTCGTTGGGCGTTCATAAAAATGCTTTTTTTGTGAATAAGGTACAGTACTGTTTTAAGACGATTCATTGTCGTGGTGCTTTTTGTATTGATATACAGTAGTAGCTCACGATCAGTCTGGGAATGACAAGAATAGAGTCGCCATCTGTGTCTGTCTATACAGAACCTTCGTGCCCCCGATCGGGTCACATCCGCCAAGAATTTTCATAGTCAGAACGAACGAAGTGTCTCCCTCTACAAGTGAGTGGTTGATTAAGTATCACAACCAATCCACAATGACAATAGAAGCGATAGATAAAGGTCTGCGATCTTTACGTCGAGCACAGCAAGTCCCCGATGGTACTAACAACAACAACCCCGGGGCTGCTTCCGGCCCTGTCAACATGTCAGTCATCTCACCTGCGATTAATTACGTTGATGATCGCGGCATTGGACATGTCAAAGTGAATGATAATCTGGATTGGTCGGACCGTTTGTCCAATGATTCCACTGCACAAGTTGTCTATACAGGGTCCGGGTCGAATACCGAGATTCTCATTATTCCCGCTAAGCGGAATACGTCCGGGTCCAACTCTGAGATGTTTATGATTCCTGCTAAGCGGAATACATCGGACTCTACAGATTCCTCACTCAGTAGCAGCCACAAGAGATCAGGAGACGGCTCTACTAATCCCGTATACAATTTACCGACAGGATCCAGGGATAATGTCAAACCTGTGGACAGTGCAGGATTAGCATATACAGGATCAGACCCGGTTGTCCTCGTAATTGTTGGCACTGTTCTGGCCCTCATTGCCATCGCGTCAGCGCTTGCTGTGGCGGTGTACAGCAGGAGAAACCGTGAACGAGCGTGCTCCGAAGACCCAAGCACCCCAAGTGAGCCTTTCATCGTAGGCTCGTTGCCCGAGCATCCCGTTCCGGACCTCAGCTTGCTGGACACGGACATGTCACCGGACCTTTGGCTTGAAGGCCAATATCAGTACTCACCCAACATGAGCCAGGTGATGAATTCGTTTAACGGCACTGCTATTCTGTCCGATAACAAGACGACTCCAATGCATCACCGACTCACAGTTGACGCCTTCCCATCCAGTCGTCGAGGCCGCCGTGGTGGGCGAGGTGATGCTGGACGCGGCCAGCGTCGAAATGCTCGACATGGTCTTGCTGATTATGGCAATAGTATGCTTGGCTATAGTGTGCGTTATAATTGTGCGCGTGGCAATTTGTCTGGTAGCCGTGGTAGCTGGCGTGACAAGAGTGTGCGACGTGAAGGCAGTATTTTGGAGGATATCTCGGATCGAGGCCGTTGTCGAAAAGGAATAACAACACCTATCGTGTTATACGACGAAAATTCAACCGAGGAGGAGCACAAGTCCAATTCAAGCAAAATACAGAACCGTTCACGACCAGCACAATCATCATCTCAACGTCAACAGTACCAAGAACAGCAACAACAACGTCGTCGTGATAAGGTTGCTACCAGACGAGATAGATAGGGTACTCTAATATAAAAATACTGCTTTCTTTGTCCATCATAACATGAAACAGTACATTGCAATGGTTACCCAATTGTACCACTTATGTGGTACCTCTCTTTATCACTGGAGCTCAGTAGTTATTCCATTTTGTAGCCATGACTCGACAGTATTCCGTGGCCGAGTTAGTGACCAAGGCAGAGGCGTTAGTGGATCAATGTCAACCGGAATTGGCCGTGCAATTCTATGAGAAAGCGTTGCTACAGGAGCCAACGAAGACGTCGCTGTTGGATTCAATTGGGGAGCTCAGTACGGAACTTGATAATCCCGAACGGGCATTATCTGCTTTTCAACAGAGTGTTTCGTTAGCTCCGACTCAGAATCCAGCCAAATATTTCTATCTATCACAGCTGGTTCTAGGTGAACAAGCAGAGTATTATACAAAGCAAGGCATTATGTATTTACAAGAGGAATTGCAGCAACATATGGACCTGATGACGCCGGAGGCGCTCACTATTAAGAAACAAATCTGTGATGCTTTATGCTCGTTGGGGGAGCTCTATATGACGGATTTATGTGACCATGAGGAAGCAGAGAGTCGATGTGAGAAGTATTTTCACGACGCCATGACGTTTGATGTTGGATTGCCGGAACCGACACAAGCTTTGGCGAATTTACGACTCGTGCAACAGAATAAGAACGCAGCTGATGAGCTACTAGAGGAGACGTGTCGTCGTTTAAATGAGAATTGTACAGAGGAAAGTTTACCGTCATTGGAGTTCCGGACTGCAACGGGCAAAATGCTTATTGAGGTGGAGAGGTACGAACAAGCGTGTGATGTGCTGGAAGGAGTGATGCAAGAGGACGATGAGAATGCCGAGCTCTGGTTTCTTGTGGGCACGTGTTATCGTGCGATGGATGACTTGCCGAACGCACTCGAGTTCTTTGAAAAATGCCAGACGATGCTTAATAAATTGAAGAAGGACTTGCGCGACGACTTTTATCTGCAGGACCAGCTTGAGAGCGTTGTTGAAACCATCGCAGAACTCAAGACCTCTATTGCTAACCGACCACCGGAGCTTGACGAGGAGAGTGGCAGTGATGAGGACGAAAGTGCCGTTGGAGAGACGGAAGTAGGAAAGCAGGATGTGGCGATGGAGGAATGAACAAGGTGCATGTTAGTGCACCATAGATTTCGCACATAATGTATCTCGATAACTTGTCTTACAGTGCACTCTCTACATCTTGGTCCGAGTGCGAGTGGGGTGACAGGAGCGGAACACAAACGATCTTGCCACTGCCCACGCCAAATACCACATGCATTTCATTAGGTGCCAATTCTTGTGCCGAAATTTCGCCATAGTCATCTCGATCAAGCAAAACACAATGGTCATCAAGCGAGTGCGCAGTCATGACAAGCGCCTTTGTGTTGTTGCTTACAACAAGCTTTGAGTAGCGTGCACTTATACTCAGAGACGTCATAGGTTTTTCGGCCAACACAAGCTGCGCCAGCAATGTGCCGTTCAAGTGAAACGAATACAGCGTCGGAGACCCCGTGCCCATAGACTGGAGCACAACGTGACCCACATTCGACAAAGCAAGCGAAATTACCCCTGGCTCGAGATGACCAGGCACTTTGTAGGAGTGAAAAATTGACCCGTCTTCGAGGTTGTGAGCTAAGCACTCATTTGACGCTGATCCACTGACGCAAATTCCCAATTCATCAGACACGCTGACACAGTTAATTTGTGCATTGTGTCCCAACAACACTTGGTCTGCCGAGTAATCGTTGGCATGAACAGGCTTCGAGCTCACACTTGGTCCGCGAAAGATCTTGAATGAGCTCAATAATTTCAAATTCATGCTTGCGACTTTCCACACAGAGATTGTGCCATCGGTACAACCAAGGGCAAGCACTGTGCCCAAGTTACTCGTACTCGCGCTGGTAACTACAGATTGGTGCTGTAGAAGCCGATACAGCAGCGCCCCATCCGTTGTGGAGTAAAAACGAGCTGAAAAGTCGTGATGGCCTACGGTGCATATTACCATGCCACTATGAAGAAATGCGACCATGTTGGAGACACCTGGCTGAGCTGACAAGAAGCGTCTCTCGCCAAGCACCTTTCGGCTCTTGCGGTCTTGAAGCTCAACAAACTCGCTCGATGGGTCCCCACTTGAGGTAAAACTAGATACTGTTCCCTTTGACTTGCTAGACGCGTGGTGGGGATGCTGCTGTTTCAATGACCTCCGTCCGAATCGATGAGAAGAAAGCATACCTTTATTATCCACGCAGACGAGTAGCGATGTGTCAGGGAACACTTTGAGCAGCACGATGGGAGCCTCATGCGGGACATTGAACACAGCGCGACTGCGGTCAGCCGATGGTAATGAAAACGGTTCTGGATACGCAGGGTCTCCAGCAACTGCGGCACTTCCAAGCGAGTGTCGTTGAGGATGAGGTTCGCGAAGCACTTGAGTAGGCGTTTGCCCAAAGTGTGCGATTTGAGACCGCATCGAAGACTTCACAATTGGATCAGCGATGGAGTCAACGTCAACCATGCCCTCATATGTGAGGTAGAAAAACACGTTGTTAGCCTCCACAGCTGCTGCCCCACGCTGCTTGTAGCCAAACACTAAGTCAATCCAGTGATGGATATTGGCCGACACGTATTCACTTTCCAGCGCCTGAATGATGAGAGAGAAGTCAAAAATCAGGCCTCAATGTCACATGAATTACATCAGAATAAGATGCACGTACCACGAAGTTTTTCATTATGAAGTCCTCTGGCGAGCGTGCCCAAGGAGGAAGTACGACGTCATTGACGTTCGTGCCGTTTTGCCTCGTACCTAATTCTAACCCGTTGCAATTCACTAAGAATTCCGGCAGGTAAAACCACTCAGGAGTCAGCTCTTTCAAGTCGCTGTAGTCTGTCAGGCAATTGTGCCAGGTTTCTTCAATCGAGTGGAACAAGCGGTCTGCATGATCAAACTTGCCTCCCTGAATGCTCAGTGCATAAGACGTAAAAGGTTCCAAGCGGATGAGATAGTAGAGCACAGCACCAATGTTCGAGTAGTGAGTTCCATACCTGCATTCAAAAAGACAATTTCATAGATTAGCCGTATGACAATAGATCACTGCAAAAATCACACGATTGTCGAGCTTACATAAACTTAGGAATGTCAGGGTCTTCAAACGAATTGTAACGATCCACAGAAAATTTGAGGCGAGTCGGCTCCAAAGCTCCCATTGGTTTGGTGAGGTCCCTATAAGTCCCTTTTCGGCCAAGGTCCAGTGTTGCCGACTCATAATCAGAAATAACCCACGGGAAAACGGGATATTGCGTGAGATCATTGTAGGTTCGACCAGCGATAGTGTTCAGCCACATGAGATATTCAAAAGTGGAAATGTCGTGGCAAACCCAGCGGTGGCTCAATGGAGAATTGCGAAATAAACTGCTTGGATGACGTAGCCTTCGAACACTTGGATCTCGCTTCAGCAAAAGCGGTTTACGCACCATAAGTGCCTCGTGGAATAATACAATAGTGTCCGATGTCAGATTAAAAAAGTAGTTTTTCCTAGTGGACTGAATAAATAGTTCCAGTGCCGTTGGCTTCAGCAAATATCGCCGCCGGTAGAGATTCACAATGTCATCAATTTTCCATCGACGCCGTTTAAACAGAAGTCGCCATGCTTGGTTCACTGGCACACCAGCTTTTTTCTCGACAATCACAGATCCGTGTTCGTCAATCACTCGCTCAGCTACGAATCGAACGGAAGAAGTAGACAAGATAAGTTTGCCTTCGATGATTTGCAAATGCCGCACAAGCTGAGCTTTGACTTGCAAGTCTATCTCTGGTCGTGCGTTCGCACGCTTTACTATACTTCCGTATCCTTGCTGACCATCTCGGGTGGATGGAGATGACAAAAGCAACTCTGGGACTCGATCTTCCAGTTCATCAGAAGTAGGCTTAACCTTCATCCTTTCAAGCGACGATGAAGTGAGATCGAAGGATGAAATATCCGGTTGTAAGCTCTCAGTGGACAACACGTTACCTTCTTGAGTGTACAGCGAAACCTCTTGCATCAATGATTGGGCTTCTTCAGACGCTGCATCCTTCGTCGTGTAAAGAGTATCAGCACCATATTCGACGGCGTCTTTTGCATCTTTCACGGAGTTGTGAAAATAATCAGCAACTCCACCAACCATGTTCAAAACAGATGCCCCCAAAGAATAACCACTTAGAGACGGCGAAGCCATGGGCGATGGTGAGCATGCAGACGCAGATGCAACCACCGCCTTTTCGGTCTTTCCAACGCTATCGATTGGTGTGGCAAGAGCAGACAATTGATCTGGAGTGGCCGTATTATCACTAGATAGCGTTACTTTTGCCAAGTGATCGTGTGCAGCCACTACAACTTCTGTGTCCTCCAGCTGTGACTCATGGGAGAGTTGAACGCGATCGTCTTCTTCCTGGGCATCATAAAGGCCGGTATCTCCTTCCAGATCGTCGTCGTCAAAGACTCCACCATATGCGCTTCCCCCTTCTCCGGAGTTAGATAGTGACTGATTTATTGCTGCTCGCATTTGAGCGTCTGCAAGAAAGTCATTGTAATCTGATCCAGCATCGCTCCGTCGACTGCTCTCCAAGTCGACCAAGCCTCCTTCAGTTGACCCACAGTAGCGTCGATCAAGTCTTCTGCCACTCTCTTTGCTTTCCGCATCGGTAAGAGACGATGCAGGATACTCGCAGCTCAAATTTCGCGTGCGGTAATCTTCGGGTACCTTCTTCAAGCGAATGCGCATGCGAAAGTTGTTCTCTCTGAAGTCAATTTTGCATACAATCCCGTTCCTGCTATCTGCGTGATGCAGAGTATCGCACTCTTCGGCCACGAGTACGGAGGTCACTCCACCTTTACTTTTACTGAAAAGTGATGGCGACTCGGACTTGCGGCTTGACCGAGCAAGGAGCTTGTGCACACTACTCGCAAAGTTTTCTGCGCTGCGTTTCAATTCCACAAGCCGCGACTTATCTGCCATTCCTTGTTCACTAGCTCCGACAACCTCAGCAACTTCATTTTCATCGGCAATGTCTTTCCACATATTTTCGCACTGCTGGAGTTCTTCTCCAAGCAGTTTCGCTTGTGATGTGGCGTGCTGCTGAATAAGGTATGGGTTGAATTCCATGGTATGGTGCTCCATGGTGTATATCCAATTTTGAATGAACTCAGCATTCAGGTGATCAGCAAAAACTTCAAACATAAGCGAGTCACAGCAAGTGCGGTGATTTTCGCGATGAAGTTTCCACAACATGAAAAGCTCGCGAAATTGCGACAGCTCGTTAAAAAATGTTAGGTCAGTTGAAGACATGATTTGCAATGTTTTCGTAAGTGCCGGTTTCGCGTTTGGGTCGCGTAAATGCAACGCTGTGTTTGCGAGTGCCACCATTACCTTGACGAGCAAACAAACCGTCTCAATGTCACTTTTTTCCAGTGAAGCTTCCAAAATGATGAAGCAATAATCCAGCGAATACATGTGAATGAGATCCCGATCAGGTTCTATATCTGACCCTGGTATTGTAGCGAAAAACATCGATACATCCGTCAATCTAGCCAGCGACAGCTCCATATCCGATAGTACCGATCCAGAGGTTGGCAATGACAATGTCCTGGATGATGACGATCCCGATAAAGGTAATATCGATCCGCTAGAACGTTGAGACGTAGTAGCCACCTGCACAGAGCCAATAAGCTGTAAGCGTTCCAGTACATTGCAAAACTTCCGAGTTAGTTCCACATCGTTCGTGTTGCTCGTTTGAGCAAGCACCATATGCTGGATGGTCGTCTGTAGAGCCAAGAAAAGTGATCGTGATCGTGGAGCCACCAAGTGTGTAAGAATCGCTGTTTCTTCAGATGAATCTCCTGATCCGTAGTCAACAGTTTGAATCAGGCCAACCACTAGATCATCCCAGTTGATTCGGCTTAGATGAGGTAGCACCAGTTGCCAAAGCTCAAATGCGTTACGAGTAAGACTACTTTGCTGGCCCTGTGAGAGAACTACATCATTGATCTTTAGAGTCTCCGCCGTCTTCGTGGCCACCAGCGAGCTCTGAGAAACAATTGCAGCGACTTGACACACATTCTCCTGAATAATCTCAGAGCGAGCCACCGAGGGTTTTTGGTTTGCTTGCCGCACCAATTGCTCGCATATTACAGCCGTCAAGCTGCAAACATCGGGTGGGGCTTGGCAATGATGGAAATAAAACTCGAGAAAATGCATCCACCCATTTTTTACGTGGAGGATACAGTAGACAATGATATCCACAATGATCTGGTTGGCAAGCTTGCCCACTAACTCACACCAGCGCTGCGGGAAATACTTGATGACCATAGCAATAACGGCAGTAGTAACAGCCTCGCCTTGACTACGGTTCTGTAAAAGAGACAACGCAAAGTCGCATCCTGACACATCTCTAGAGTCTGCAATCACTTGTAATGCTTCAAGCTTTTCAAATGCAGAAACGAAATCACCACTAAGAATACTACATGCTTCATTGAGCCCTGCTGACTCTTTTGGACTATTTCCACGTGTCGTTTCAATGTCAGAGCTCACATCTGCTGCTGCTACTGACGCTCCACGCGCTAGTGCCCGTAATCGACTCAACCAGGACGGCCATGACCGAATAGCTTCTTTTACGCTGTCTCCCATCGTAGGTGAGGCAAGTTGGATTCTAATTTCAGTGAGGATGACAGCTTGGACATCGAAATTGGCATTATGAATCAAGCCCAGCAAAACTAGTGGAATGAAAATCATCCGTGCGAAACTTCCTGTTCGCACCTCTGTGGAAGTTCTTGATTTACCGTGCGGCAAGCTTTTTCGCCCAATTACAATATCCAGCAGAAGATCCGCAATATCACCAGTGAGGGTATGTGCTTGAAAGGACGCGTACAGCATAAGCATGTCACTTTTGTGTAATACCACCTTCTCGGATGTGTATGACTCAAACAACCGAAGTGCAGCAACGCGCACATTATAGTTTGCCGATAGCATTGGTCTCCATAGGATACGCACTGTCCCCATTGAAAGTTTGGAAATATTCGTAGTCACTTGCAATTGGCGAGTGGGCAAACCAACCGCATCTTTGCGAGGCTCGGTCGATGCTAGATTTGATGTGAGATATCGTAATATTTCCACGATGACTGCATTGTCGCCATCATACGAGTAGTCTGTTGTGCGTATGTCGCACTGTCGAAACAAAAAAGCTACGAGCTGCCGCCATTGGTCGGACGTCCCAACGTGCTGAACTAAGGGAAAGAGCAAGAGATCAACCAACTTGTACAGAACTAGCTCGCGCAACTGAGCCAGCTGCAGCAAATCCATTCGGCCAGTCGTGCGTTCGTTTTTATCCGATGAGGCACACAGCACGTATACCTGTGAGAGTAACCGGCAGAAAAAGCTCACATCGACTTGATCCTTAGAATCTAAAGAAGAAGAAAAGTCCGACAATGATGTGGCGCGTGAGGCCACAAATTTCCCAGCACTGCTCAAGGGTGATGCCATGTCAGATACGCGGCCGCGTTTTCGTAAACTTGGGTTTTGAAGCATCTGCAAATATGTAGGTAGCACCTCACCCAGCAGCTTCACTTGTGTATCAAATGGCGCAAGAAACCAGCTCGTGTTGAAAAAGAGCAGACGGTAGATGTACTCCATAACCTCTTCATCGCTCACCAAGAAATCTATCATGGTTTCTAAAATTGAAACCACACTATTTAGCAAAGACACGGATAAATAGCTCGGTGAGATTGACTGGAGGAAAAACTCAACCACCCTCACGCCCTGTAAACGAACAAAGTGTGACCTACACACATTGCTATGACTTAGTCCGGCGCCAATAAATGCAAGAAGATCAGAGATTTCTGCCATTCCGAACTCGTGCACTGGGTGAAAATCCACCATTTCTGGTATCTGGTCTAGTAGAAGTAAAAGAAAGCAGGTACATCCACCAACAGAATCCATTGCATGAACGAACGTCTGAGTGACAAATGCACTAGTGCCAGGCCCCAGCGATCCGTCACAGTCGTTACCGCTGACATCGTAACAAATACGCTCCTTCAAGTCACAACTCCGAGCGTCGTAGCAAAAGGAAAGCTTGGACTTGTCGGTAAGCCCTGCGTTTTCAGCCACAACTGAGTTCAGATCATTTTTCCAATGGGTCTCCCAATGCATTCTTTGCACTTCTGCCTCGGACAATGCTACACCAACAAGGGCTGGACTCCATAGTTTTCCGTTCAGTCCATCGACAAGAGGATCGATTCCAATGCTGTTTTGTCCACCCACCATCAAAAGTGGGTCCGGATACCCTAAATTCCCGTTAAATACACTCTTACCGTCCACATACACCGTCAGTTTATCCTTAAACACCATCCTCTTTGCGTGCACAATGCACAAATGCACCCACTGTCTCTTCATTTTGTCCACATAGGCCACAAAGGGCACTTCAATTTGCTGAGCAACACCTTGTCCGGCCATCATCTTGACCAATAATTTGTTGTCTCGTAACATCGCTGATACACCGTGTCCATTTCGTCCACAAAAGCTGTAAAGTGCTGCATTCGATGCAGATGCATCCAAATAGATACCAAAGGTGCAGCTATAACCTCGTTTAGTAAAGAACGGATGCTCTGAAGGTAAACTCAGCCCTGCATTGGATCCTCTCATGGCAAAAATTGCACGTGGCAAAGTATCCATTTCCACCAACGTTTTCAGCATTTGCAACATCCAACGACGAGCTGGTGGACGACCAAGACGTAAGAAATCAAATATATTCACTACGTCCGTCGTGTTCATATGATGTGAACACAATGTCTCTATCATTTCCACAAGAGCTTTTCCAGTCTCTTCGTCCACTTCATCTTGACGGCTTAATGTCTCGAGCGTACGTAGTAACGCACTAAGTACGATATTGCCAGCCCTTGTACCATTACTATGAGTTTCAGTAGGAACCTCCAGGAAGGCCTCAGTATCGTAAAAATACGTGGAACAAGCGACAAATACTTGACGTAACACTTGAAGCGTCTCTTTTCGTGATTCTGTTGTCTCACATTGGCTTAATACATCCAGGAGAAGCAGTATAGGGTCCTTTAGATAAGAAATCTGCTGTCGGTTGTTTACTATTGCCTGTAACGTCTGAACTTGAGCCTCTACAGCGTCTTGTAGCAGCGTCCGTAGCTCCTCCATGTAGACACTCTATCGTAAAATTTGATTCATAGAAAAATGACGATAATTTGTTTTAACTACTACTTGTAGATTTGTTTTTGTTTAGAATTGGTTTTATATATACTTGTTTTTACAAAAGGCGGTACGTTACGAAGTGTACAACAATTTATACATGACATGGTGTACCATGTGACAGTCACGAGTGCGAAGGGGCGATGGCGGCTTGTTATCGTTGATTGGACTCCATTTAGTCGCCCTTCTGCTGCACGGTCTTTTCGTACGTTCGATTGATATGCACAAGAAGGCTTCGGCATGTCTGCTTTGATCTTCTTTGGTCCATTAGATGCCGAGCCCGCTTTTCGTACTAAATGTGCTCGTTGTTGCCATGATAAGCCTACAATAGCGTTTAAGAAACGACCACAAGACTAAGCAGACTTTAAAACTTATACGTCATACTACCAGTGACGGGACGAAATTGACAGAGGATAGTATCTCTACTATTCGAATCAATGAGAACTCTTTCAGTTCGTGGCTGACCAAAGCAATCGTTTCTTCGTTTACTTCGAAATGCGCTCCATGTAAGTTGTTCAATGTGAGGTGGAGTGCCTCCAATTGGATGACTGATTACACCTGTTGAGACTCGGATTCCACTCATCTACTTGACAACTATCCTGACTTGCACAGGCAACAACCTTTAAAACACAGAGTTGATATGTTAGGCTGGTGTTTACGCAATTCCAGCATTCGTCTGTTGCCAAAGTATTCTTTCATGCATCGTCAAAGTTTAGTCATGATAAACAATTAAAGAAGAACGTATATATAGAAGCGTTCTTGCTCCTACTCACCACTGCTACACATCAGGTTGTTGCCTTCGACGCATCCTTCATTGTAAGTTTGTGTTTGCTTTACTTGTCGTCATGGCCAAGTTTTGAAAATCATCTAGGCCCAGATTTTAAGTAGTGTATCCCAGCTGCCTGTGCACAGTGCCTGCCCTGTCGGGTTAACACCGAGACAAGATACACGGTCCTCGTGACCCGCAAGTTGGTAGATGTGTGAGCCTGTGGCGCTGAGAACGTCCCAGCAGTAGCAGTTGTAATCGTCGTATCCTGCAAAAAGAAAGCGTCCCGACTTGGAGAAACCCAGGGATGTGATGCCGCACAGAATTTTGTCGCTACTAAAGTTGTTCAATTCCCCATATGCACGCAAGTCAAAAAGACGGCAGCTTGAATCGTCCGACCCCGTACCCAGAGCGTTGCCACTGGGGAAGAAATCCACCGAGTTAATATCTGACTCGTGTCCCTGGAACGTGTGCGTCGTCTTGCCCATCCGGACATCCCAGACTTTGGCCGTGGAGTCACACGACCCCGAAACAAACAGGTTTGGGTTATGTGGATTAATACTGACGGACATGACGTCTCCTGAGTGTTCACGAAACGTGGTCTTAACTTCTCCACTCTCGATATCCCAGAGGATACAATTGGAGTCTCCAGAGCTAGTGACAATGTTGGCCTCATCAATGAACCTACAGCAACTCAAGTAGCCATCATGAGCTGCTAGTTCTTGGGTTGCTCGCACGACTTGCGCCTGCGACAAGTGAAAGATGCTGCAGAGGTTGTCAAGCCCTCCACAAGCCACCATATTGCGCTGCTTCTGCTCAAAAGCACAAGTCATGACCCAACTAGACCGCAGTGGAATTGCCTGGACCTTGCTGGTCGTTTGAGCATTCCAGACGATAAGTTTACCGTCTTGAGAAGCTGAGACAAGGCTGGAACTGTCGCCACCCCACTGCATGGCGTATATCTTGCCAAAATGACCTTTTAGTAGTCGTCTGCACTTGGGAGGAGCTGGGATCAGCTTGGCACCTGCACTGGCATTGACGCACTGGAATCCACCGTCCGATTTGGCCTCTCGTTTCTTTTCAATTGTCTGTTTAAGGTTTTCGCACTTCTTCTTGAGGTCGACGGCGTCGACCATTGTTAGAAAAGTTTTAAGAGACGCGATAGGAGATAAGTCAGGGCCGAAAAGATAGCAGAGATACTAAAGCAGATCTGGGAAAACGTCTTGTAGGTAAAGGAGATACAAATCGATGCAATAGACGCGTTGGGGATGAATGGTACAACGTCGCACACGCGACGGTAGAAATTATTTTTTATCGCTATCACACCGCTTTGAAAAGACGTAGAATTGTTTCTAGGGAATGCGGATTTATATCTCGACGACTGGAAGAAAATTGGATTGAAAACAAATCCTTACGCATATTCTCAAGATACTTTTCAAATAGATCAGTCAATTTTGTGCAAATGAAGTTCATAGAGAAGTGCATTGGCTTAGATTTTTTTCTATACATGGACAGTGAGAGTAAGCACAAAGCTTAGACAACAGATATCTACTGATGTACATCATCCTCTCGTAAGCTACACTGCAAGAAGTCTCCGTCCGCTAGTTGTACCAATAGGGCCTCAATCTCACACCGCTTACCGGACGTCATTCACGCTAAAGAGAATTTCTTGGCCAAGGTCGTTCGAGAACTTGTTCTAGCTGATCACAACGACGTGGTCGTTCGAAGAGAGCTACCTTATCTTCTTGGCGTGAGCAATAGCCTCGGCAGTAGTTGGCGCCTGGTCAAGGGAGTCGGGGACGACTGGGTACAGACCACGGTGGATCTGAAGCTGACGGTCGACCTTCATATCAGTGGTGAAGAAGCGCATGACCGGCACGGTGGGCTTGTACTTGGCGATCTTGCGAGTCGTGTAATCCGTGCCGGTCAGCACAATCATGAGCTGCGCGTGTATCGCGTTAGGAGTCTTGACAGCCGACGCGACGTCCGAGGTCGGTGGGTCAAAGTGAAACTTGGCCCAGTAGGTCGGCTGCAACAGCAGCTCATCGGCTTGCTTGTTCACCGTGTTCATGGTACTCACAGATTCGATCGGGTTGTTGCCCTGAGCCAGTTTCACCGCTGAGCATGAACGTCCAGGACGGCATTGCCAACATCCGAGACCTTGGCGTGGAGCAACAACTTGTATCTGCAGCTATTACTGGAACTATAATGGTATACTGATACATTGCCGGATGATCGAGTGTTGCTTCACCGACACGTCCTGTGGTTCCATCATCATTACCGCTGCAACTCCTGCGACTTGATCCCAATGTACTTTTTTCATCTACATCGGTCTGTCTGCCCCGACTACTTTCATACTCGTCACTACTCGCTGCTCTCACTGCGCAAAGAGCTCGATGGTGCTTTATTTTCCAACGAGTTGTACAGGATCTCTGCAGTAAATGCTTGGATTCACTGCGCTCTGCTTCGTCTTTTCGAAACGGTACGCTTGTGATGTGACCTGTACTACCACATCCAGGATCTCATTTGCCGTACCTTGCTGCTTATGAACGAAGGCGATGCTTTAAGACAACCACTTCGGAAAAGCAGAAGTGCAAGCGCAAGCAGATCTAAGGAGAGCGCATTGTAAGGAGATATGTGCCTCCCTATAATGGGCTTTTCTTAGATTTGCTGGAAGTTCTTGTTTTTAAGCACATTATAATAAGCAACAGGAACGCAGATGTAGACAGAGCTGTGTGATCTGTTAAAGGCATACAAGTGAAGAGACAAGAGTCTCCCTATCGTCGCTAGTGACGGAGCTTTAATGATGAAGCTAACCGAAGCAGATCTCTAGTGTATGAACAGCGGTGATTAACATGAAGTATAGCATTGAGAATGTTGGACAAGTCTTTGCTGTCAATGCAATAGTTCTCTACTTCATCGACTTCACCTTCACACACTAGACTAGTTTTCGTGCTTTGAGCTTAAAAGGTTCATTCGAAACACATGGAACGCGATCATCTAGATGAAGAAAGTGCCAGTTGCAGACGTAAGCAATGAAGGTTAAGATTAAACGAGAGCTACAGTCACCCCAAGCCTCACGTGACAGCTGTTGCTGGCTCAGTCCTTGCGGCTTCTCATCAAATAAGTGTCACTCTGGAATCCGTTGCAGTAATGGATTTACTAGAGAGTCTGAGGCGCGTCACAAGATTTACACGATGCTAAACGCCAGAAATGGCGAGCCAAGGTGGTCACATGCAATATATCGGCACTACTAAAGTGGATCACGGCATCTTTTCTGCTTCGTTGTATCCCTAAAGCTATCAAGCCAAAATTATAAGCACCGGTCCATCCCCCGAATCTCTGGGGACAGTGTTGCCTTGACGAAAACGGACTTCTTTGAAGCTGAAAGTCATTCAATGAATCCTAACAGATAACGTGTATACATGTAATAGATTTTCCACGTATCAGCCACGCGGAACGATACGCTTTTGCGTGTCAGACGCTGAACAAGGTGCGAAGTGACCCGTCCGGCTGTACAAGTCGCGTGACTGCTTTAATAACATGTACTGTATACAAATATACATGAGGCATAAAGTATCATGGCTGCTCCACGTGTTGGTCTGTTCACATGGGTACAGACCAGACGAGGCGATACGAATCATCGACTTATTCTTATTAATAAACACGATTGTCGGAATCGCGAGGTTGTATCTGCCAAAGTCATCATTACATATGCTTGTACTTTCTGTTTGAAGATCGATTAGGTGAATGTCGTCACTTTTCCGTGAGTCCCCATGTCCGTCCTTCACTTCCCAGTACTTGGTTTCTTTATCACGTTCCCAGCTGATGAATTTAATACTTATTCAGGTCTATTCCGCATTTGGATCATGTCCTACGCTCATATGAATACCAGCATTCCAACAGCACTAGCATTCCAACAGCACTAGCATTCATCACTCACAATTTCTTTCGCCTCGGAGGCCACAAGCATCCAAACGATGAACGTCCACCTCACCGTCTTCATTGCTGCACTCGCCAGCCTCTCCACTAGCGTCAACGCCGGCAGCTGCCCATTTGGCTATGACTCGATCGCCGCTGTGCACCAGCAAGACCGTCAGATCTCCACCGAGCTCTACGGCCCAAACGATTGCGACGTGATCGATTATGAGCTCGTGAAGCAAGACCTGCTGCATCTGATGACAGACTCGCAGGACTTTTGGCCGGCCGACTTTGGTCACTACGGTGGTCTCTTCATCCGTCTAGCGTGGCACTGCAACGGCTCCTATCGCCGTTCCGACGGTCGCGGAGGCTGCGACGGTGGCCGCATTCGGTTCACTCCAGAGTACAGCTGGAAAGACAATGCCAATTTGGACAAAGCGCTCAAATTACTCGAGCCCATCAAGCTCAGGTATGGCGACGCACTGTCATGGGGTGACCTCATTGTATTGTCTGGTGACGTGGCTATCCATAGCATGGGTGGCCCCGTGCTGGGATTCTGCGGCGGTCGTCGTGATGACGCCGATGGTACAGCAAGCTTGCAGTTGGGCCCGTCACCCGAGCAGGAAAGTGTGGCTCCGTGTGCTGTGGACGGTCAATGCCAGGAGCCGCTGGGCGCCACGGAATTGGAACTCATTTACGTAAACCCAGAGGGTCCAATGGGCGTGCCAGACCCGGCGTTGTCGGTGCGCGACATACGCGACACGTTCAAGCGCATGGGTATGAACGACCGTGAGACGGTTGCGTTGATTGGTGGGGGTCACGCTTTCGGCAAGACGCACGGTGCTTGTCCAACGGGCCCTGGCCCCAATCCAACGGAGAGCCCTTTGAACCCCTGGCCGGGAACCTGTGGCGAAGGTGTGCTCAAAGGTAAAGGCAACAACACGTTTACAAGTGGCTTTGAAGGTTCGTGGACCTTCACGCCTACGAAATGGGGCAATGGCTACTTCAAAGGCCTCACCAGGTTTGAGTGGGAAAAGTTCGATGGCCCTGGCGGTCGCGTCCAGTGGCGCCCTGTACCCGACACGACGCCGCCCGTGCGTATGCTGACGATTGACATCGCGTTGCTTTACGACCCGAGCTACCGCAACATCTCGCTCGAGTTTGCGGCCAATCAGGCCGCCCTAGACGAGGCGTTTTCGCACGCCTGGTACAAGCTCATGTCACGTGATCTTGGCCCCGTAGCTCGTTGCCGTGGTAACGACGTGCCACCTGCTCAGCCGTTCCAGATGCCACTACCGCCGACTCCCGCAACGCTACCGAACTTTAATGACGTACGCTCGGATATCCACTCGCTGTTAAGAAAATCAGTGGACGGTTTGGAGAGTGACTCGAGCAGCGATGCTACGCCGTATAACGGCGCTCTGTTTGTACACGCTGCGTGGCAGTGCGCGTCAACGTTCCGCATGACGGACTACGCTGGCGGTTGTAACGGTGCTCGGATTCGTTTCTCGCCACAAAAGGACTGGGCCGTGAATGCTGGTGTGGACACGATCATTGGTGCACTTGAGAGTGTCAAGAAGTCGTATCCAGCTCTGTCAATGGCCGATCTGATCGTGTTGGCGGGCCAAGTGGCTCTGGAGGACGTAGGCAACGTGACTATTGACTTTCTGGGTGGTCGCACGGATGCTGAAAATGGCAACGGCACGGAGATTTTGTCGCCACGTGAGTATTACAACACGACGCTGATCGCCGTGCGCGACAGCATTAAAATCCTGGGCGTATCCCCGTACGAAGCAGTGGCTTTGGCTGGTCGTCCACGCAGTTTGATTCAGCAGAAGATGCTGGGTTACAGCGGCTCGTACAGTAATGACTCGTTGATGCTGTCGAACAAGTACTTCCAGGTGCTTTTGAATGAGACGTGGACGCAGATGTCGGAGAAGGAGTACAAAGCGGAGGGCAAGGACGTGTACATGATGGACACGGACTTGGCGCTGCTAGCGGCGCCTGAGTTGAAAGAGGCGGTGCAATTGTTTGCGTCGGAGAAAGGTGTTTTCAAAAACACGTTTGCTTTGGCTTGGGCCAAGGTCATGATGGCTGACCACTTTAATGCGAGCAGCTACTAAGCCGTATACAATCAGTGTTGTTTGACCGTAACTCGAATGTAGCCGTTAATGCTTCATTTGTACTCAATACTGGAATATTAAAATCTTGATGATACAACTTTATCTCTCGCTACACTACGATGTATCAATGAGTGAAATCAAACGAGGCTAACACGCAGTGCAAAAACAACTATTGTTGCAAAAACTGATTAGCTCAGGCATCGCTGCGATACTGCTTGAAGCATTAAAGCTGGTCAACTTTAACAATGTAGTGTGAGATTGAAGTATGTTGTAGCATGAAGACCATTGTACTATTGTATGCATGTAAACGCGTTATGCACTCAGTCTTGCCACCACAGTGGCTCATTTCCGCATGTGTCGTATTATCTTTCATTCTCTACATTTCTCTCTACTCGGCAGGGTCCATTAAGCAGCGCACGCTATAAGCGCCGCGCTGAGGATCTTCCAGGCTGCACGATCATGTGCAAACAGGCGAAGCAAGTACATATCTGGAGTCAGTCGACGGCGGTGTCTAGCGGTAAGTTTCTTGCTTGGATCCCTTGGATGTCTACCTTGTCAACAAGTCCTACCCAGGGAGGGTCTCTTGTTGCTTGCACCGGAAACAAAGGATTACGCGAGCGTACCTAAGCGAAGACGCCGGGACTTCGGGCATGGCGGCGTACATCATGGCGGCTTGGCTGGCGGCTGGGGGTGAAAGCGGAAAGAGAGAGGTATAATAAGGGAGAGTCCCGTCAAAAATTGACGGATGCTAGCTCAAGCTTTCCGGGAGGCGTCACCCCAACCCGACTAGGATCCATTGTACTTACCTCAACTGAATACCAAACGGAACTCTGTCCTAATGAGCACCTGCTAGGCCTTCGACCAGCACTGTCAGCTTTAGCGTTTTCATGGTGATCACTCGCAACAGTACCATATATATTAAGGAGATGATTAAATGGAAGCAGATCATGGTAAAAATTGCTCACTATACTGCTTAGATCGCAAGGCCCTTTATGATGAATCGAATATAGCTCTAGATGTTGTTACGTTCTTTTACCCGGATGATCGAAAAGCTGGTAAATAATAGCTTACTAGACCGCTCTCATTTGAACAGCTTTACCAGATGAGTGCATTCTACACTAAGGTTTATCGCTTCACAAGTGCTAAGGAGCTCCTAGACTTCTTAACGAACACTTCGATTCCGTGTGGATATAAAATGTCTTGACTCCAGGAGAGCGAGCTGATTGTTAGCGCTTAATTAAACAACTCTGAAGAGTTTAGCACGCAATTCTGTTGTCTAGATAAATAACCAGATGAGCGTATTGGCGAGCGTGACGTCGCCTTGATATAAAGAGAACAAGATTTGTTATGGTCGTGGAATGACGTTGCAGCTTGAGTTTCTGGTCTGCCGAATTACCCAACAAACAATTCCATTTCAGACATGTAAAGGCAAAGACTTCTCGACAACAAGCCAATCTTTAGTGTTTCACTCTCGCGTAATTTATGTTGACTACAGATTGGTAAAAGCGAAGATCAGCCTGCCATTTTGCAACCCGACGTAGTCTCGTCGGTATTGGTGTTACCCGTTGGTGGTGTTGCTTTTGATAGTGTAGCCGTTCGTCTTGGCCGAATTAATGCTTCACTTTATTAGTCGAGCTCTTGTAGCGTGTAGCTCTAGAAGCTGGAATAAACATACACAAGCAAACAAGAACTTCCACGACCCATGAGCCATGAAGAACACGTGTGCACCTTAAAGCGTTGTATATTATTTGCACGTGCCTGATTCTCAATATTGTGAGGTGCACAAGTATAACTCAACACCAAAAGGGATAATAATGCAAGTAGACGGTATCACATTAATTATCTGAATGTGTGTTTACCCATTGTGTGTATCAGGCAAGAGTATGCAAGCATTTCTCAAACATCACTTGGTTTGCCACGTCGGCTGTCTATTTCTTGGACAGATAAGCGGCAACCTTGGGATCCGCCTTGACGTTAGCCAGCACCGACGCGAGTTTGGGGAACTTGTCCATGTCAAAATCCGGGAACGCCCCCTTCACCTTGTTTTCGACGTCGTCGAGAAGATTAAAGTCAGCAAACGAAAGGTTGTCGCCGGTAACAAACTTGCCAGTTACCCTCTTCTCAAGGGCGGCAAAGAGCGTGGGCACCTGCTCTTCAATAAAGACCTTCTTTTTCTTAGCCTTCTCGGTCTCATCCGGCGTCTTGAATAAGAAGTCTACAAGAGGGGCATCTAGCTCAGCCAGTGCGTAAGAAAACATGTCGGCCTTGAGCGCTTCGACCGCATCATTCGGGTACAGGCCCGTGATATTGGCTGCGTAACGGACGATGGCCATGCTTTGAGCGTAGATCGTGCCGTTGACTTCCAGAACAGGCAACTGTTTCAATGGTAGCGTCGGCTTAAGCGTTGCAAAGTCGTCTCTGCTGATACGTTCGTCCGTGAACGCAATGCCGCCATAGTTGAAGATCATGCGCGCGAGCTCTGCGCGGCCCTTGATATCAAAGTAGGTAAGTTTAATCTGGGGTTGAGCCATTGTGGTTGGTTCGGGAGGCTGGAAAGACACTTGAGAAGGGCAGAGCAAATTCAAGAATGAGTAAGAAGTGAAGGAGCGATCATCCAGAATGCATGATTACGGGTGGTAGATATGTTACTGGGTGATGATTGCGTGTTCAAGAAATGCCACGTGTTTCCAAGCCCTGATTTTTTAGATACAACCCCCCCCCCATATCCATCCACAGACATGAACCAATATGGACTCGTAGCGGTAATTGCCGTGTTAGTGACGGTTTACCACAACCTCTTCGCCCCGGTGCCTGGAAACGAGACAGCGCCTTTGCACCTTAAGCTCACGTACTTTGCAGGCCCTGGTCGTGCAGAACTATCGCGTTTGATTCTATCGGTCGGCAACGTGTCTTTCGAGGACGAGCGTTTGGATCGCGATGCCTTCCTGGCCACTAAGCCAACGCTACCCCTCGGTCAGGTGCCAGTACTGGAAGTGGGTGGCACCACTTATAGTCAAAGCATGGCCATAGCTCGATACGCCGCTAAGCTTAGCGGTTTATACCCGCAAGATCCTCTCGAGTGTCTGCGGGTGGATATGGTGTCCGAGTCGCTTATCGACATCAAGACGCTCATCTCGGATATTACGTACCGCACGCTGGATGAGACCGCCAAGGCTGAGAAGATTGAAAAGCTGCTGAAGGAGAGCGTGCCGAAGACTTTTAACCTTCTCGAAGGGTTCGTGCAGGACTTCTTCTTTTTGGGTGAAACGATGACGTATGCAGATTTGCAACTGTTCGACGTAGTGAAGAATGGACTCAGCAACTACGCGGCTTTCTCTTTGGAAATGTTTCCGAAGCTCACGGCGCTCGTGGCCAAAGTGGAGACCAATGCTAACGTGGCAGCCTATTTGGCCAAGCACTTAAAAGAGTAAAAAGGAGACGATAAAAAGGTTGATAAAGGTTATCACGTTGGAATTTATTTTCTCGCTTCTAATTCCCGTGTCGATGTTACACTGAGCAGTAGAGCGGACCTAGGACACTTTTAGACTTTTACAAAGTGCTAATACAGGTAGTCTCTCAAATCCCAGTAAGGAAAGCTAGCTTGCATTAGGCCTGTTTGTGAAAGAAAACCATTCTTATGTTCAGAAAGGAGCAGTTCGTAAAAAGAAATGATCTTTTCTTGATCGTCTTCAGAGACACCACCGCGCTGTAACAAGATTTTAATGTGCTTAGAATCAGCCAATGTGCTAAGCAACAGTTGAAACTCATCCATTCTATGCTTATTTTTCGGCTTGAGTCGTTCGATCCAGTCGGAGATGGAGATTACTTCATCCTTCCGCTGCGTAATTTTTTTTCCAATTCGTCTATCGTCTGAGGTTCAGCAGCCGTGATGCCAGCATTTGCAGCTTCGGCAGCCGTGATGCCAGCATTTGCAGCTTCGGCAGCCTCGTCGGCAGCTGACACTGGAAGATTCGCTGCCATTGACTCAAAACTGAAAGATGGACCCCTTTCTTCTTGAGGATGGCTTTCATCGCCAACACGCAAAGCTCGGATGATGTCGTTCGTGCCTTCACTGATGAGCGAGTGTAAATTCGAAGTCGAGGATGCGCCACTTTGAAGAAAAAATTTGGTTACAACAACTACTGACAGGATATCAAACGCACGCATGAATGACCCGTGGTCAAAGAAGAGCGTCAAAATTCCACTTTAGCGCTTCAGAGAGAGTTCAAGAACGAGTCCAAAGGAGTGAACGAAAGACGCGGATATAAAGCAAGTCAGCGAATAATGCCAGCTGATGAGGGGTGGCAGGCAAATATTGAAATGTCATAGGTTTAGGTAGGTTTAGAAAAAAAACCTATTTTTTCAACCAGCGCCAACAAAAAATAACAATTTAACCAAGTGACATAAGAGATACGTATCTTTATACAAAACTAGAGAGAGATTCAGATTGTCTATTAACACGGTGTTAATTATGTGCAAGATCTCTAGAAAGTCCTGAGCCAGGATATCAGCGCCGGATGGCCCAACGGTATATCGTGGCTGGCCGCCGTAGAACTCGGTGACCCTCTAGGGTCGCACTCAAGCAATTAAAATGCAAGCATAAAGCAAGGCACCACGTGTGGCTGACGCAATTTTTCGATGCTCCCTCTTTGCGATTGCTTGGAGCTGATAAAGGCACGAGGCCCAAAAACTGGCGATGCTGCTGGGAATGTGGAGTGTGACATCCTTGAAGACGGCTGCATTCCTGTCAATCCAAATTCGTGTTTGGCATATACATGCCAAATTTGTGTCCAGACGCGTTCGGCTTCATTGGCGTCATCCTGAAATCGGTCCGCTAGGATTTTTGTGCGGTATTCGGATATGCTGTCAGCACGTCGACTTGCACAGGCCCCTAGAAAGTTTTGTGTCATTTGGCGGGTGACGATTTGCTCGGTCCAGTGCCCAATGAGCTTTTTCCAAAGCGCTGCAGCGCAATCACATTCCCAAAACAGATGGACAATGGTCTCCTTCCTTCTTCTGCAATCCGGCGTCTTTTTGCAACTATTGTGGTCAACTCTTTCGGCGTGATACATATTTAATTGTCGTGTCGCCACCCGGTACCCTGTCCAGACTTGATATGGAGTAAGACCATTACTATGATCCCACACTTGCGTCGGCGTTTGCTGGAGCGCTGCGCGTTGCCATTCATCCGTCGTTGTCGATTATGAAAGGCGATCAACGAGGGCCGAAAGTTGACAAGCGAGAACCTTTTTGTAGAACCGGAAGGCTTGCTTGCCTAAGGCCTTCGTGATGAAATGATTCGACGTTGTGTCCGGAACAGACCAAGGGAACCGATGAAGCTGTGGGTGTGCCTCGAATACGAGACCCCTTCTTCGAACATCGCGACCAATCGCCTGTCGGTCAGATGGCGAATCGTCAGTAATTCATGACAAAACCAGTGGATCCCATTATCAGCTTCATGCAAAGTGACGGGGCGGGTTTGGCCGTGTTCGATTTCCGTTAAGTGGCCTACGATAATGCCTTCACCAAAAATCCTCCAGCGATAACTTTTCAATTTCGGTGGTGCCTGTCGGAGGTCTTTCTTTATACAGTACTACAGCTATGCTACAAAGAGCAGTTGGCTGCACTGAGCCTACTGATGACGTAAACATCTGGAATGTTTATAGCTTTAGTAGTATCAATTGGCTAGACCTCCTATTCAAATCATTTTTACATGAAAATCACGCCTGATTCATGATTCGTTTTCCCGGGGCTGATTCATAATTCAGATTCATGATTCATGAATCAGATATTCAGTTCTTAACTGGATAATATATTTATAGAAAACAACTTATTGAGATGAACGAACGTGGGCTCTCGTGTTGGAAAATGCAAGTTGCACTTGGTATTGACTCCAGAACTTCAGCCTACTGCTGCCCATCTCTTTTCACATACTCCCAAAACTCAATATTAAATGGTTTTGAGGACTCTGCGGCATGGCCCCGAAAGTTTTGGACGCTTGGCCATGCCCCGAAGCCATTGAGCTTTTTTTCGGTAATGAGGCAACGAAATTTCAAGGCCAGGTAGAAAATGAAGATGCAGATGACCCTAATTTTGGCGGATCTTTAATCGCCGACACACAGCCGCTGGACCCAATGGAAGGCTTTTCTTTGTCTGCAACAGAGCAAGAGGAAGGTGAGAGCAGTAACCGGCTGGAGGAGGAAATCGATTCCTTAGTTTTTTTTCAAAAAAGGCCACAAAAAGATTGAACCCGCTGAAATGGTGGAAGGTCCACTAGTTTCAGTTTCCGACATTAGCTCGGATAGCACGCTATCATCTTGTGGTCCTGATCCTGCAACCAGCGCCCCATCTGAGCGGATGTTCTCGCAGGGCAGACGGGTTCTCGGATGGGACGGAAGTGTCCATTTACCGGGAATTCAAGATGTCTTAAGGAATAGAACAGGAATCTCGAGAATAGCAAGTTAAGGAAAGGCAACAGTTTCTCTACGCATTATCGAGGCTTTCATCCGAGCCTTCCCCACACTTAGATTCTTAGTTAGCTGTTATTGTAATCAGAAATAAACAACATTATGTCAACAACTATTACGATGATTTGCCGGTTGCCAGATTTCGTATGTGGACGTATGGATATGAACACTGATCACTTGGAATCAGTAGATAATGAATATGAACTGAACCCGTTATCCAAATCAAGATCCATGGCTAGGGGCTATGTTCAAGTGTTTGCCATTTATAAATTAACAAAGCCAGTGAGGAGGCCACGGGGGTCATGCGCTAATATACAAGCCAATTACTTTCACTTTATTCCTACTTTGAACAGCTTGTACTATCCAAAGGCACCTTTTTAGCTGGAAGTCGCTGTGTCGCTGTGTCGCTGTGTCGCCTGATTCTCGTCGTCGTTGCTTCCGTTTAGCTGCTATTGCGGCTGCTGTAGTGTTGCATTAGGCACTACAAGGATTTCGTATGCAAAAGTTTGGTTGCTTAGTGTCCAGCATCTTGGTTTACATTAGAAGCAAGTAAGCGTTATTGTACCTGTAGTAGCTTCATGATCACCCTGTGACTCCTGGCTAGATGCATCTTCATCATATCTGCAGCACCGAAACCCCTTCAATAGTCCCATTACTGGTACTCATCATTGTCATTGCTGTCAAAATTATGGCATGGTGGATGCGTTGGACGAGGCTCAGACTCGTCACTCAACGTTTCATGATCTGTATGAAATTGCATGGAATTTCAGTCCCTCCACCAGGGATCGAGCAGTATGAAAGTACGCACAAGCGGAGGTAGACACCAAATATCCGGTACAATTTGTTGCAACACTTGCTTATTGTAATGCGCAAGAATTTCCCATTCGTCGAGCACATATGTCTTCGACTACCTCTTGCAGCTCAGATAGATAACGAGCTGTTTCCAATACACCTCCAGATAGCTGTATTGCATACTCTTCACATGAGCGTGGATTGTCATCCTGAGAGTGTTCCGCCTGAAACCGGCTCCCTTCATCGAGGATACTGATGTCAATGGAATTCGTTTCCTCATACGTTTTTACAAGCTTTTTCAGTGTGCTTAGCTTACATTTGATAAATCGAACCTGTTTCCATTCGAGCGAAAAGTGAAAGTTAGTGCTACTTCGGGGTGCAAAACCAGCATACACTGTCGCAAAGTGTTACTATATACACTGTCAAGTACTGAGAGACAAAACACACCTGAACGAGCACTCGATTGAGCGTATCATGAGCTACACAAGTAGCAATACGCTCTTCGAAGGGCTTGCTTTCATTTTTCGTAGCGAGCTGTTCACGTAAGATACCATTTTCTGCTGAAATCGTGCTGAGGTATTTTTTTGTTTCGTCAGAGGCTGCTCTTTCCACACTGATAATGTGCTTTAATCGCGCGATCTGAGGAAGATGTTAACAACAAGCATCAGTTACGTACTTCCTGCAAACATGTAGATATCCAGCATTGCAGAAGTAAATGTAATTATTACCTCTTCATAGTCGTCTTCTTGCGAGTGCACAGCTTGATGATTTCCGAACTTCAAGTCAGCTTTCAAGTTATCGATCGTTAGCTGGTGTTCACAAATTTGATCTCGTGATTGCTGTAGCTTTTCGTTTTTCCTAGCGACAATGCCTATAAGATCGTATTAGGAAAGTAATGGTACAAATCAGAGGCTAAACTTTGTTTACCTTCCCATTTTGTAAACTGGAAACGCAAATCTTCAAGCTGCTTAGCGAGGATGTCTTTTTCAGCTTCCTGTTTTTCGCGCTATTGTAGGTAATACAAAAAATGTCAAATGTCATGTCTGAGATACTGACGGTAAATGTATATCGTACCAGAGAGCGTTCAACCAATAGTTCATTTGCAATTCGAGCATTCTCCTTCTCTAAAGCATCACATCTGGCCTCGATATCCGCCAGCATTTGGCTTAGCCCGCTATCTTTCACTACTTGAAGTTCCTGCTTTGCGCGTTTACACGCCTTTATCAATTTTGCCTTAGCGTGCTTTTGATCACGTAGACACGTGCTCAGCATCTCATTCTTCAGTTTCTCCTGCTGATGCTCCTCATACAGCTCTGCAATCTAAAGAGATTCAACAAGTCTTTATAGTTACGAGTTTCTGTAGCTCTACATCCAAGTATCGAATCCAACAAACTCACCTGTTGCTCGTATTCATGAATGTGAACATCAGCATCTCGTCTTTCATGAGCCATGCCACTTATTACAGAATGCGAAAGCGGCTACATAAGACCCACCAGGGCAATAAAATCAACATCATACCATGTCTACAAAACATGGTATCACTTACCCAATCATTTGCTGTTTGATCCGATTGCTGATCCTCCAGCAAACGTAAACTACGCATCGTCTCATGCATCAATAGCGGGAATTGCAATTGGTGCTGATCTTCCATCGACTGAATTTTTTTTCCTTCTCCTGCAGCTTCCGCTCCAATTTGGCACATCGTCGCTTCAGACGACGTACTTGATCTTGTATTAATTTAGTCTCATCATAACTAATGGAGTTGTCTTGAGTCACGCTGCGAAGCTCCTTTGACGATAACGATGAGGTGCTAAAGATTTACAAAATGGAAGAGCAATTGTAGACGAAAAGTAAGAAAAGTGTGACGTATTTAATCGCAAATTATGCATGCGCAACCTACGAGCGAAACAACGGTTCACTCGGCACTGCATTTGACATACTTTTTCATATATATATATTTAGAGCTGCTCCATAATAACAAGTGCAGAACTATTTAGAATTGCAATTTTTCTCTTTTTTTGACAATTAGTACATACTACATACTACTACTACTACAGTAACAACTACTACTACTACATTTTGTAGATTAATATTACTATAGATTACTACTACTATGGATTACTACGATCCCCCGTAACTACTACGAGTATCTCGGCCAAAAAAGTGAATATGGCAATTACAGTGGTCTTTATGCTACAACATGCTTCAATCGACCACCACATCGTTAATACTGACCACCTGTAATGCTTCAAGCAGTACCGCAGCGATGTCCGGGCCCATCAGTTTTAGTAACAATAGCCTTTTTGTGCCGCGTGTTAGGCTCGCGTGGATATAGTGTCCGAGTCGCTTATCGACATCAAGACACTCATCTCGGACATTACGTACCGCACGCTGGATGAGACCGCCAAGGCTGAGAAGATTGAAAAGCTGCTGAAGGAGAGCGTGCCGAAGACTTTTAACCTTCTCGAAGGGTTCGTGCAGGACTCCTTCTTTTTGGGTGAAAAGATAACGTATGCAGATTTGCAACTGTTCGACGTAGTGAAGAATGGACTCAGCAACTACGCGGCTTTCTCTTTGGAAATGTTTCCGAAGCTCACGGCGCTCGTGGCCAAAGTGGAGACCAATGCTAACGTGGCATCCTCTTTGGCCAAGCACTTAAAAGAGTAAAAAGGAGACGATAAAAAGGTTGACAAAGGTTATCACGTTGGAATTTATTTTCTCGCTTCTACTTCCCGTATCGATGTTACAGTTGTCTCTTCATCCAACTGCCACAAGGGATGCATTACTTGAAATGCGCAATCATCACCCAGTAACATATCTACCACCCGTAATCATGCATTCTGGATGATCGCTCCTTCACTTCTTACTCATTCTTGAATTTGCTCTGCCCTTCTCAAGTGTCTTTCCAGCCTCCCGAACCAACCACAATGGCTCAACCCCAGATTAAACTTACCTACTTTGATATCAAGGGCCGCGCAGAGCTCGCGCGCATGATCTTCAACTATGGCGGCATTGCGTTCACGGACGAACGTATCAGCAGAGACGACTTTGCAACGCTTAAGCCGACGCTACCATTGAAACAGTTGCCTGTTCTGGAAGTCAACGGCACGATCTACGCTCAAAGCATGGCCATCGTCCGTTACGCAGCCAATATCACGGGCCTGTACCCGAATGATGCGGTCGAAGCGCTCAAGGCCGACATGTTTTCTTACGCACTGGCTGAGCTAGATGCCCCTCTTGTAGACTTCTTATTCAAGACGCTGGATGAGACCGAGAAGGCTAAGAAAAAGAAGGTCTTTATTGAAGAGCAGGTGCCCACGCTCTTTGCCGCCCTTGAGAAGAGGGTAACTGGCAAGTTTGTTACCGGCGACAACCTTTCGTTTGCTGACTTTAATCTTCTCGACGACGTCGAAAACAAGGTGAAGGGGGCGTTCCCGGATTTTGACATGGACAAGTTTCCCAAACTCGCGTCGGTGCTGGCTAATGTCAAGGCGGATCCCAAGGTTGCCGCTTATCTGTCCAAGCAATAGACAGCCGACGTGGCAAACCAAGTGATGCTTGAGAAATGCTTGCATACTCTTGCCTAATACACACAATGGGTAAACACACATTCAGATAATTAATGTGATACCGTCTACTTGCATTATTATCCCTTTTGGTGTTGAGTTATACTTGTGCACCTCACAATATTGAGAATCAGGCACGTGCAAATAATATACAACGCTTCAAGGTGCACACGTGTTCTTCATGGCTCATGGGTCACTTCGCAGTCCGCGCCTTCGACAACAACGGCCTAGAGACAAAGACCTCCAAAAAGCCGGTCAACCGGCCCCCTCTGACCTGGGCGGAAAGTATCTCCAACGGAAGGCCAAGGATTCAGAGGGGTGTTCTCTCTGCTGGGTGCGCTATGGGGGACAAGCGCGGCGTGTGAACCGTAAGGGGAGCACCAACTCTATCACCCCCGGGGAGAGAGGAACGACAAACGCGGTTATCACCCCCCCCCCCAATAATTCCAGCTATTCTACGTCAGCCTTTTAAGCTGCCGACCCAATCGCCAAGCGCGAATCTCGATTCCACGAGGCGAGTTTGTCAAGGACGTGAATTGGTCGGCCCCGTTCAGGTGCATCAGCGGCCGATCGGGACTGGTCGGTATGGTGCCCGGCGCTTGTTGCGTTCATTGAGCCACTGTCTACACTTCGGGTTCCATAATAGATTCCACGTGCCTTTTTCAGCCCGTCTCCCGTGACGCCCGACGTCTCGAGCCAGCAGATCGAGCGAGCGAGGAGAAGAATGACGACATCCTGGTAGAAGCACTCTAGATATCTTGCTAATCCCTAATGTTTGAAATAGACGGTCTTTAATTCTTTCCTCATGGCTCACAAGTCACGGAAGTTTTCAGTTGCCAGCGTATTTGTATTCCAGCTACAATAGCTACAAGCTACAAGAGCTCGGTCTATAAATGAAGTTTTAATACCGCCAAGACAGTTTACCTTGAAACAATAGCCCATGTCCATCTAAAATGAACCTCTAGATGCGCTTGATCTCGACGATCGTTCGGTCTGGGACAAAATGGCTACACTCGTCATCAGTCGCACTCTCAATCTTGTCGTTGGGTAACGGGAAAATGGTGATATCCGCAAAGGTGCCACCGGATTCGCCCTTGCACAGTTGACCAGGATTAATGCAAATGGAATCTTTCACTCGCTGCAGTAACAAGAAAAAGTTGGCATTGTTGCACTCAAAAACTCAAAATTTTGAAGCGACGTACTCCACAAAAGCGATTGAGGATCGAAGGGAGTATAAGAATATCCGGTGTCTGCTCGAACTGGAATTGCTTCATATACCGCAGGTCAATGGGTGCATTACTGCCCGACGGTGGAGGAAATATTGGGTAGTAGCTGTCAAAGTGTGAAGAATGAATTATAAGCGTTAGCAGCTCATAACTGTATACGTTCAAGTATCAATAACGAACCTTCGCTGGTCGATAACCTGCTCACACAGTCGAAGCAATCGATTCGGGTCGCGAGTCTGGGCTCTATAATATGAAACGATGGGTTAGCATTAGTGACAATCTACAAAGCTGCAACTTGTGTCCACACACAAGCTCACCTGTAGAGCTCATTTGAACTCAATTGCACAACCACATCCAAGGCAGATATTCCAAACACAATCCCGTTGATCGAGAATGTGCTCGGATTCGACATGAAATGGACACGCTAAATCAAAAATTCGTGATTAGATTCACCACCCACCACAGCTTTCACGAAGCGAACATGTATACGAACCTTGGAATATTCAGGCGCCTCGAACGCTTCACATGCTTTCTTTTTGTTAAGCGGATGCTGGGGGTACACGTATTGATGGTTGGCATCTCTTAAGGATGGAACGATTACAATCTGGATCCGTTCGTCTTGTGCCAGCACGTTGTTGAGCAATGTCATTACTACCACGAACAACAGCAAACATCCACAGAGTTGCAGTTAGTGAGAAGTTCTACCTGTTCTACCAGCTCGTATATGTGAACAGAGCTACCTTTGAACAAAAAAATCTCTTCGAAACTAAGCATCATGCCATCGTACTTGACCAACCCATCTTGGAACATTGGGTGCATAAAATCAATGAACGGACCAACCTGCAGAACCGGAAAGTTAGTAAGCTACCTATTGCACTATGTGTCTCGCCAGTTACTACACCAAGACTTACTAGAACAAGTACGTCTGGCTTTTGGTCAACGACGATTTGGAGCAGATCACTCAGCGGCAAGTAGTCAACATTGCTGGAAGTTGTGAAAGGACCACACGCAGTAAGCACTCGGACTGGCTTCCCGTGCTCCATTTGAATTTCTTTGATACGTGATGCAGATGTCGTAGAAGGGGGTGCAGGAATTGGCTATGAATGTAATGCATAGTCACCGACAATGAGATTTTTACGTTCCAGCAATAACAAGAGATAGTCGCACCTCGAGGAACCTCTTGACTGTCATTGGGGACCGCGTATCTGGGAAAACGCCTTCCAGCGCAACAATCTATGATGCAACACACACACACGGCTAAAGTTACTATGATACAGAAGGGTGCATTGCTCCTTATAGTTGCAACGAACCTTGCCAGGGAAGATCTGGAAGTTAGGTACTCCGCTCAAGTCGAGGAGCACGCGTTGACCACCGCAAGTTTTTCTGGACCCTTCAATTTGAACGACGCTCGGGTTCAGCTTGCCCTCAGCTGCCTCACACACGATTCTTCCCACGACCGTCACTTGTGCGGGTGAAGGGTCTCCAACTGGTTTGAGCTCATCCAGTTTGAACCTGTCCTTCACCAGTTCCTCGTACTCGACGAGTTGTTCATCCAGGGCAATGGCCCGTTGAAACAACGGTGTGTACATGTACGAAGCATCGACAGCTTGGTTTCGTGACGGAAATGGTATTGCAACTTTGATCCGACGTTCCGTGGTAGCTCCCAGTCCTTCGCTCAGCTTTTTTAAGTGTGAATTGAACTCCGACACGGTCTTGCCAGCGTCCGTGCGCTTCTCGTAGCTATTCCCAGGCGGAGACTGGAGCGATACAGGTGAAAACATGCCATTTGTTCGTTGCACTTTGTTGCTAGTTGAGGGACTGGAGAAGGAGCGTGTGTGCTTTTTCTCGGGCGACTTCATGTTGTAGAGTGACTCGAGTTTATCCTGACTCTCTGCCTCACGCTTGATCACAGGCGTCTTAACATGGCGGCTCTTCTGTGATGAAGAAGTAAATGCTGATGATTTTGTTTTCGTCTTCTCCTGATTGAGGTACGAGCGGAAGGCCACGAGGCCGTCAGCGTTGGCTGCACCAGAAAGCTGTTGATTCATCGAGTAGGCGTCCCACTGAGCCGCCATATCGTCCGAGCTCAAGCCAAATTCCGTACAGATGGATACACATGTACTAGCTGCATCTTCCTCTAGATCCAAGTCGCAGGATGCAAAGGCTGCGCGGATATCAGCAATGTCAATACTCATAGATGCCAACCTTACTGTTTCTGTGGAGGATACTGCGCTCGGAACCGAAAAACGGCGCCAAACATTGTGATTGGTTGAAAAGGAGAAATGGAAGACTGTTTTAACTTTTTTCGTTCGTTTCATCAGATGGTTTAAACAAGTATATATTAAAAACAAATGAAGCGAATGCTGCGACTTGTGACCTGGAATGTTAATGGACTGCGTGCCATATTACAGCGTCTAGGGCAGAATCTACAGCAGTTTTTAGAAAGCCTTGATGCTGAAATCATTTGTTTACAAGAGACAAAATTAACTCGCTCCGAGCTTGATCAGGAATTGGTCCGACCTTTAGGTGAGTCTAGAATGTATCAGAAGCGGGTCCTAGTCATGTTGAAGCTACAACGTTATGGATGTGTTGGTATTGCTCATAGGTTTTGATGCCTTTTACTCGTTCTGTCGACAACGAGGTGGATATTCCGGTGTAGTGACGTTCGTCAAGAATGATGTACCAACTGTAGCAGCTGAGGAAGGACTGACAGGTCTTTGGCAGACGAAAGATAGTGTGGGGCACATTGGATCCCTGCATCACGAGGTTGTGGTGGATTTTTGAAGCTCTGTTGTGTCCTCCAATGATTATTGCAATTGACAAGTGTGTTGTTGTGGAAATGACTGTGGATTTTATCAGCTTTCGATGAAACTGGTGCACAAATTAGAGTCCGAGGGACGTTGTGTCATAACCGACCACCAAGCATTTGTGCTCGTTAACACTTACTGTCCAGCTTTAGCATCTGCAGATCGGTTGGAATACAAACTTCAATTTCATGCATTGCTGGAAGATAGGGTGAAGGCTTTGCGTAAAGCGAACAAGCGTGTCGTCGTCGTGGTTCGATACTGCGCTAGATGAATGATTTGAACGATGGAGTTTTGACCTTGACTCTGTGTTTGAATGCAGGGTGACATCAATGTTTCGCACCGGGAGATTGATCATTGTGATCCTGATGGTGGTCGATCTGATGGTAATTCTTTTGCCGATCATCCGTTTAGAAGGTGGATGGACTCTTTCCTCGGACTGTCAGAAGAGATGGAGAAGTTAGCTCCTTGCGAACGAAATCGTGACAGATTGACAAGTGAAACATCCACTGGTGAAATGGTCGACACTTTTCGGCATCTGCACCCTGATCATACCAAAGCTTTTACGGTATGTATCTTAATATTGAAGGAGATGCACAGGAGCTATATAGTAACAGATTTTATATGTGTTGCATTTCTAGTGCTGGAGCACAGTAACAGGAGCACGCCAAACAAATTACGGAACCCGGATCGACTATATTTTGGTAGATGCCGTATTTCTTGCTTGTGTATCCTCTTGCAGGTAAACTAAAGTGCAATTGAGAATAGATCTGGAAAGAATGATTGATTTACTTGTCATCGTTGCATGCTCAGAATCGAAGCAGAACGCCTTGGATCTGATCATTGCCCAGTGATTATGTCTTGCACCGTAGAGCTCGAATCTGATTCAGGCACGAACTTTGCTGCTCCTGCACTTTGTGCCAAGAATTTTGTGGACTTCTCAGGCACGCAGCAGAGTATCAAGGCGTTTGTCGTACGGAGTCAACCTGCAACTGATAACCAAGATGTTGTAAAAGGCTCAGCATATTCGGTAGCATCTTCAGGATCCTTGGGTGAACATCGGCCCAAAACGAGAACAAGTCGCGGCCAACAGTCTATTACTTCGTACTTCAGTAATGGAGCAGCGAAACGAAAGGCGGCTTCACCTGGTAAATATTCCTGGACAGATGATGAAGACTCACGTGTATACCAAATGCTTTCAGAGAAATCAGCAAAGGGCAAACTTGCTGAAGAAGGGAAACTAAAATGGCAGCAGGTGCTTAGTGGCCGACCGCCACCAACTCCTATGTGCTATTGCGGCCAGCCCACTGTACTTCGATCAGTGATGAAGGCAAACGACAATAGGGGCCGCAAGTTTTACGTCTGTACTAAACCTGCGGTAAGCTGAGCTGTCGATGCAAGCGATGCACATCATGCTGACCGAATTGTGTCACGAACAGGGTGAGAAGGGCCATCCCGACGCTAGGTGTGATTTCTTCAAGTGGGCTGATAGTAGAGGCGCCAAGAAGCCGAAGGTCCAGTAGCCTAACAATATTACAACACTATGAATCTCAAAAATATGACAATGTGTCTGCTCTCGCGATATATTCTTCTTTTGTACTTGTGCAATAAACAAACGTATACTCTCCATACGCGGCAGTTCGGTGAGTTAGCACATCTAAATTGCAAACATAGCCGACTCAAACCAGGTGTGTGCTAATGCCTCAGCAGCGGTAAGTCGCTTTGTAGGGTCACGCTCCAACAAGCGCTGCACCAAGTCCTTCGCATCAGCACTGATCGTCTTCCACACACGGTCTGAAAAGTCAGCGTCTTCCTCGATGCACGCATGCGGCGGGTAGAATGGCTGGTACCCCGTCAACATTTCAAAAATAATAATTCCCACCGACCACATGTCCACTGGCTTGCCGTACGACTGCTGCTGTAGCAGCTCAGGAGCAATGTAGCCTGAGGTGCCCGTAACTCCGGTGAACGGGACCTTGTGAACATCACCGGTCAGTTTAAAGAAGCGAACATCAGGCACCTTCACCGACAGTCCGAAATCACACAACTCGACGTTGTAGTCGTTGACCATAACGACAGCATGAGGGTCTTGACTTGACTTAGGAGGACTTGCGCGACGCATGACCGGCGAGTTTTCGCCGTTATCATTTGTCGTCTTAGCATCGCTCAATAAAATGTTGTCAGGCTTCAGATCGCAATGCAGCACGCCCATATCATGCAGGAACAGAACAGCACGGGCAATTTGCTGTGACAGCTTTCCAGCAAGTGCCTCAGGGAGCATACGCTTTCGTTGCATCAAAGCCTTCAAATTACCCTTCGTTGCCTTCGCCATGACCAGGTAAAGGAAATCAGGAGTCTCATAAACTTCATACAGCCTCACAATATGTTTGTGCCGCAAGCGCAGGTGGATCTCGATTTCTCGGCTCACAGCATTCTTCGCTGCTTCATCACGCAGGAAACGCTTGTGAATCTGTTTAATTGCAACTTGCTTCCCGTTGACACGATGAATAGCAGGTTTCACCACAGCGTAGGAGCCATCGCCCAGCTGGTCTACACCAACCAGTTCATACTGCTCTGTGACAGCCTTCTCGTGAATAAAGTAAGGTTTCGGGTAGCTACACTCGTCCTCGCTGTCGCTACCATGATCGTCATTTTTGATAACCTGGGCCGACGCGTCACGTCTTCCTGTGCGGTGGATTGCCATGATACGGAGCTCATCTCCATCGTTCAAACGCCTTGCCACAAACGGATTCGCAGGAATTCGAGGTGCTGCTTGGGTGTACTCGTCGTTGATATCGTCGTCTGAACTTCCCTCACTGATAGAGCGCTGAAGCTTCAGTTTAGCAGATGTCTTGAGTCTACCTCTGCCCTTATCATTTGGACGCTCATTCAGTGGTGAACGGAAACCGACCTTCCTGAAAATGCCTTTACCCGTCGAGATGAAACCGTCCGTCAACTCCAAGCAACCCGTCGACATACCAAGCTCAGCGCGTTCATAGCTTGAAGCAATAAACGATCGACCAGAAGACGATCCATTGTTTTCCATGATAGTAGAAGACGTGCCAGATGATTTTCGTGGCTTCTTGTATGGCGTACGACGAGGGGGTAAAGCACCCACCGGCGGTGGAACATCATATTTGTCCGTGATCGACAGAATGTTCAAAGGTAACGACCGAGGCAGTTGTCGCACCAATGCCGCAAGATCGTCGTCCACGTCGCTGTCTGTGGTTTCATCACAGTAGTCGACTCCGCTATCATTCTTATTGGGTGAACCAGCTTTATTGCCATTGAAAAACGGATCAGCATCACCGTCACTAAAGCGACGAGGTCGCGTCATAAGGTCTGCATTGGGAATACATCGAGAGTCACTGTACATGCGATTCATCTGCGAAGGTTGCTGAAGACATGCAAAGTCTTCACTATCCGTAATGTCCATAGCCACGAAGGAACGTAACGATTCCGTGTCAGAGTAAATGCCTTCAGCTGTCATGACACGACGACAAGCAGCAAGCTTGTGTAATGGATCGTAATAGCCCGGCAGTGAGTGGAAAATGCCCGTCAGCGGATGGTGCCGGAACTTTTTGCGTTCCTCAAGCTCTGCCATGTCAACAATGTCGCTCGAGAAGTAGACGGCACCACGGTTTCCAGCACTAGACAAAAAAGTAAAAGTATCCGTCAGCAAAGAAAAATCCAGTGCCTCCAAAGGAGGGCAGAAGTAGAGCAGCAAAACGAGTTAACACTCACCTTGGTGCATGATGGAACGTGCCCACAAAGGGGTTGTACGAGGGCAACTTTGCAAACACATTATGTGTCACAACCACGACTCCATCACCTGACATTGTAAGTCGGGCGTTTGTTCCTGATCTCTCTCGTCCAAAAGTGCGGAGTTACGTGTCGGCAACAGTCTTAACTTGAGACGCTTCTTCGGCTTGTGTGATTCCAGGTTTTTTAGGCTTGGGCGCCGACTCGACAACAGCTGATTGGTACGCCACATCATTACGGAAAAAAAGGGACTATGGAAAAAGAGCCGGCGGTTTCTCTCGCCCCCCCCCCCCCTCCAACTGGAATCCAATCAGATTTACCGATTTTTTTTGACATGGCTACATATGAATGAAGAAATAATGAACATTCTTTATGATTTCGACCACAAGTTGCGTAAAATTACACCTGAAAAAAGTCTACAAGTTTGCAAGCAGTATTATATAAACATCTGCATTGAATATACTGTATGTATGGCATGAACAGGCTCAGTCTTGACAACGTTGATTGACAGAATGAAAGTGTTTCAAAACAGTCAAAAATGAATTTTCTCATTGCAGCGATACTGATAAGCATGGATTTGCAGGAAGACACTGCATTAATTTGTTACTGTAGTATAGTGGTAGTTAATAATGCGGCTAAGGTCGTTACGACATTGCGCCGGTTCATGAATTGAGTACCGTGTCAATAAATTAGGACTTTTGATCCACGCTTTTACCCATTTAAGCAAATCTCTGTCACGTATCAATGTCACATTTCCGCACACGTTTTACGGCAGAGCGCGCGGTTGATTTTGGTAGCGAGTTTCTTCCCAAAACACGGTGTCATTGTGGCCTCAATACACATATATGTATATAAATCTGCACAGGCGTTCAGACTTGGAGTCCAGCGTAGTGACGGCTCGTCAGGCAAGTTTGAGCTTTTTCCCAGCAATTCCTTCAAATGTAAAATTTACGCAAAAGTTTATGCGCTGAAGTTTAGAGGTCTTATAACTGATATGTGCAAAAACATAATTGCTCAGACTATCTGGTTACGTACGTATTTATTTGCTCAGAATAGATCGTAAGATGAACATGTCTCTTCGACTCTTGTCCCATAACACCATTCTGATTCGCTTAGGCTGCCTCAAAAAATGGATATTTTCATGACAAAGCCTTGTTGTGATTTACGATTGGCATAGCCACCGTATTGGTCACATCGTGGACAGAAAGTACTTCAACTCGACCAAACTGGTATCTGATTTATGTTTGCACACGCTGCGCGCGACGAGAAGTTGCGTAGACCGTGCAGCTTGAATTTCACGGCTAAGCTCAAGACCGCCTTTCCTCCCGTCTGTCACATGAAGGTATCTTTAGTCTGTGTGAGGCAATCGCCAGAGACGATTCGCTACCGTGTCGTTGATCGGAACCAACCTGAATTTACGAATAATTGGCGTTTCTCCGGGCACTGAAAACCCGCCTGTTGGCGTGATGCCGTCCTTACGGAGTAGCCGGTGACTGGCGCGCGCTTCTACTGTAAAGCGCCGGTGATGGTTTTGGCGCAGCGCGATGCTTACCGCAAGATAATTTGCAACACGAAGCGGGTATTTTGTTTCATGACTGTGTGCTTCTCTTCGTAGGTTGCTCGTGATAGCCTGCTGCAAAGTTCCTCCCGTTGATTGATAAATTAACGATACATGCGGCCTAGTAAGATTCATGTTGAGGTTCAACTTTACGAACAGTACATCAATCTGGTCTAACGAAGCCATCCTTTAGCAAGACAATGGAGGCTGGGACTCTTCCTTCTTTGCAAGTGCTACTGCTGCATTGATGAAAAGGTAACTAAGAAAGTTCAAGGACTCAAAATCACGGTTTACAAGGTGGGTGTAAGACCATTAAGTTTGGAAATATCACGAGCTCGGTGACGACTTCGTCTGGAAAGATATGAGCTCTATGAATCTGCCCTCTGAAGCTAAGCAAGCAGACAATCGTACCTGGAATATGAATGCAAACCTTCAAGATTGACTATAAAAATAGTGGCAAAAATGCTATGCCGAGTACGGACTTTTGAGAATGGACCCGAAACACGACGTAAAAAGTCATCTCGCTGCGTCGCAACGAATGCAAACTTAAGCAGATGTTGCCACATGAGCAATTCGAACAAGTAGCAGCGACGACATTCATCACCACCTTCACAGATCAGGTTTGGTATGGCTGTTCGGCATGGTGTGGAAAACGCAAGCCAACCATGAATACCTAAAAGCTTCATTTTTGGAAGGCATATAAGCTCAAGCAAATTTTCTTTGTGCTGTGAGCTCATAAAAGGGATGTTATCCATCTAAGGAGGTCTCTAAAAACGTACAAGGCGGTGTACCCCACCAATGGCGACGGCTACACGAGGAAACGACAATACTGTGGAGGAGCCAGATTGAGGCGATGCAGGTCTTGATCGCATTTGATCACGGAGGATTTGTGCCGTAAATGCTGATGAGTCTGCCAAGCGGAATCTCCGGTTGTGACTTTGTCGATCACTCGAAGTTTAGCTCGAAGCTGACGTACGCATTGTATCAGGAACAATATATCTGGCTTGGAAGGCTGCGCCAACACGACAGAATATAAAGCCAGAATGAGTAAATTGTAAAATTAGTTGATATAAGACTATAAATTTACGTAGGGAGGCTGCTTGTGATCCTTAAATCACATACTCCTGGACATTCTATTATATTAGGTTAAACAGCTCTCTCTATATTAAAAATCAAAGTGGCTCACAGTTAAATTGTACGGACAAAGATTCATCTTAAACAATGGTATTGACTCGAGTATTAACACTGCTGTGTGTGGCGGCTGCGGTTGTTCGATCGGAAGAAATGGGCGTGGGCGTCAGTGCAGAGGTAGTATCGTCTCCTTTGCGGAAGCTAATGCAGGACGTGGTAAAGATTCACGTCATGGTCCATGGGAAGGAGGTCGCTCCTGTCACAGAACACGAACATTACAAGAAGGAAGAAGAGGAGAAGAAAGGAGCTCCAAGAAGCAGTGAGGCTGGAGAGAAGCACGGAAAGGTTCACCACGAGAAAAATACCGCCAAGCAGACTCAGGATGATGAGACTGTGGTTGAATACAAGCACGGAAGCGTTAAGATTTTCGGTAAAAAGGACAGCGTGGCAGTGGATAACGAGGCCGAAAGAAAAGCTGGCATTGTTAAGAAGGTTGTTATGGAAAAGGAGCAGGAGGTCCCTAGTACGGCGAACGAGGTCCATGAGGTCGCGACAAAGCTTAGCAGCACGTCTTCGGCTGACAAGAAGTCGTTCCATGACATTTTCGGCCCTATGGTGATCATTTGCGGCATCATTGGTGGTCTAGCAGCGATCATTGGCGTTGTTGGTCTGGTAATGGACCGTTCTCAGTCGAAGAAGGATATTCCGGATCCAGATGACTCTACCGAACTCGATGTCGACGTGGATATTGAGGCAAACATCGTACCTGTTGGAGTGCAGGACGTCGATTCCGACTCAGATCCCAGCAACGACAAGGATGAAGAGGAAGGCTCCTTCGCCAGCCGTACAACTCGTGTGTCTATGTAATTGAAGGTAATCGCCTACCAGCTAGGCATGCACAGATGTGCATTATTTGCTGATAAATGGGCCACTTTTTGTTTTATGATAATTGTTGGTCTGCGCTACGACTAGGAAACGCCTTGTTAAGAGTACTGTAAAACGCAGAGCGACCTGTTCAGCTCTTTATTCTGATACATGAGGCCCACTACTTTAATTGCAAGTACAACTTTGACTGGCATTTATAGCCTGATTAGCAACGCCGATTTTAGCGTCTCCAACGTTGTGTCAGCGTACTTTCCAAACCTTTGTACCGTCAAAACCTTTTTTTCAAGGCCATTAATTAGTACGTGTTTGTTCGCAATAGTGTCTGCACGCTTCATAAAAAACCTGTAAAAGAGCAGATCTGCATACTCCCTGCATGCTTTCCCTTTTGAAGCCTCTTGGCAGTCGGCAACCATTCGCTGATCCTTGATGTGGTACGCGGCACTTTTCCAGTAAATATCATCGCTGTCCTGCTCCAGGGCGATGATACTTCGCTGACCTAATTCAGAGTCCACCATGATGCCGCTGACGGCAGCCTATCTTGGTGTATTCCCATGTATATCCCCACGTTAAGAAAACGGAATTATTGCCCGACAAGAATCGTCTTACCCATCGATGATATCGGCTTGGCCAACGTCGAAATATCCGAGTGAAATGAACTTGATTTTACATTAGGATGATCGTGTTACATGTCATCAAATGCAAATTTTGCTGTGCGATATAGGATAATGTGATTGGCAGAATCCGCGATATTCGTATACCCCTGACTCCGTAAACGTCACTTCGTGCTGGTCGTCACCATCTGTCTTTGAACACATCTGCCTTTTATGTGTTGTCGACCCGTAGACTGCGGTATTCATTTTTGATTGTTAGAAGCAGACATGGGATCACAGCTTTGGGTGTTCGGTGTGATGTTGTCGCTTACCGCAACATTATTCGGTACATTGGGCAAGGTGCTACTCAAGCTGTCGCACACATCGTCACAAGCGCTGTCGATCAAGGCGGCGGCCACTGTGTGCGTGTTTCTGCTCAATCCTGTCTTCGACGCAATAAGTTACGTGTACGCAGCGCAGGTGAAAAGACATTGCTTTGCTTATATTGCTGCGTCTTGTACGCTTATGTGACGTGCTAACAGACCATTGTGCAATTGTGATCATTAGTCCATCTTGGCGCCCATGGCCGGCTTTAGTGTGCTGTGGAACATCCTGCTGTCACCTTATCTGCTCAATGAAAAGCTGTCTACACAGGATTTGAGAGGATCGGCGATCATTTTGCTAGGCTGCCTGCTTGTCGGCATTTCCGGAAGTCACGACACGCCGACGCATCACAGTACCGAGCTATATGCACTCTTTCAGAGCCGCATTTTTGTCGAGTTCGCTGCTCTCGTAGTGTGCACTGCTGTGGTGGTAAGATTCAGATGTTCTGTTGTTGTTGTTGTGTAATATGATGTGCTAATCGGAACGATTTAATGTCGTCATTGTTATCCTGATACGTGCAGCTGGTGTGGGTAATTTTCAGCTACGAGAAAAAGAGCGGCTGGAGGAGGTTTGCATTTGGTGCTCTATCTGGCCTCATTGGTGGCAATCTCTTTTTCCTCAAGGTGCGTGCGCAATGCTGCTATTCCTTACTGACTTTACTAGAAATTAATTGACTTGACTTGTTGTAGGCTTCGGTTGAGCTGATTGCTGAAGGTGGAGCTATTTGGTCCAACCCACACACTTACGTCATTTTTTTGGCAGCCTTGTTGTCAGCAGGAGGTGGTATCTACGTCCTGGACCAAGGCCTTCGCGAGTACGATGCGCTTTACCTCGTCGCTATCTACCAGGCTTTTCTGATCGTGATTGGTTCCGTTTCGGGCGTGATCTTCTTCCATGAGATTTCCGGAATGAATTCATGTTGGCAGCTCATAATGTATCCCTCCAGCATCGCCACGACGGTGGGTGGCATTATCGTCTTGTCAGAAAAGCACGCGGAGCACTGTGACCTGGTATATCTCAACGGCGCTATCCATGGAAACAATCAAGGTGAGATGTTGCCGCTCATCGTTTCACAGAACGATGACGTTAAGAAAGGATCGCAACACGGCTCCATCGAGTTTGTTTAATAGCATAGCAACTTGTAGGTTTTGTAGACAAGAAAACAAATATCTATAAAAAACCATAGACGCCAGGTTTTTAGCGAACGTCACAAATGCCAACAAATGCGTTTTAACACAAGTCTTTGCTATTGAAATATGATGGTCAATCACTTTGTGACACTAGTTGCAGCACGTCGCCTTAGTGTCGGGGTCAGGGAAGTACATTCCAGCATCCTTGAGCTTGCGGTTGATGAAGAACATGGCACTGGCAATGACGACCACAAGTGTTACAACAAAGCCAACAATGGTCTGCAGCGTCTTCTGGTACTCTTCCTCCTTCTTCTGCTTCGCCGCAGCTTTACGTTGAGCACGTGTTTGCTTCTTGCTCTTGCGGCTACGATGTTTCTTCGTCTTCTTCGTCGGGGTTTCATTCTTCTTCTTCTCTTCCGTCTCGCCATTCTCCTCCTTATCCAAACGTGCCAGGTATCGCTGGACGCGACTCGATATCTCTGCACGACAGCGATCGGACACTTTGGAAGTATCCATCGGGTTCTCCTGAATCTGTTTGCGGCATTTAGCCGAGCTTTTGGACAAGATCTTTTCAATGGCATCAGGTGTCAGACGCGGGTCCATCTCTTGCACCGGTTTGGCATCCGTCTCGTCCGTCGTTTCCAGCGTCTCTTCTTCCTCAACCAATAAATCGTCGTCCACGTCCTCCGGCTTCATTTCTGCCAGACCCGCAGCAGCCAGCATCGCCAGCACTACCAGCAGCAGAGACAGCAATCCACGACGCATGCTTCGCTAACTTTTACTTCCTAGTGTTGATCGTTACGTAAAAGCTCGTTGCAATTTGTAAACAAATTACAAAATGACAGACACGCGGCATCGAATTATTTAATTGTGGTCATCACGTGCGTATGTGCACCACACTACAAACGAAAAGAAAAAAGTGCAAATATTTCATTCTCTAAAATTTAAACAAAAAAAGAGTTTTAAAGAGTTATTTTCTTTGTCTTTGTGCGTGTGTTTGTATTGAAAACTCGGCCGAGAATTCAAGCACAATGACTACGATCTTTGACGGTTACGATGAGGAATACCGTGCATTGACCAGTGATATCTCTAAAAAGCTCAGTGAGGTCGCGTTGTACGAGGATCAGAAAGGTGCGACCGTTCCTTTTTTTCAGAGTCGGCCTGTTTCAACTGATGACGTTGTTTTGATGGTGCTACAGACAAGAAAAAGTCAAGTATTGTGCATATAGGCGATCTGCTGACTCAAGCCACCCAGCTGGTAGGTTAATAATTGCTGTGGAGAATTTGGTGCTGGCACGGGGAGCTGACGTTATTGTGCTTCGTCTTGACTGTGCGCTATAGATCCAGCAGATGGAGCTTGAGGTGAGGAGCCTTGATAAATCCACTCGACCTGAACTCTCGAAGAAAGTGGACCAATACAAGAAGAGCTTGGCGTCGTTATCAGCGGACCACAAGAAAATTCGCGGAAAGGAAGAGCGAGAAGGATTATTTGGTGACCGTGATGGCGTCGAGGTAAGATTGTGATGCTCATATGAGTGCTTTTCTTACGTGTGAAGCTGAAAGAAAAGGTGCTTGGTTGTTGATGATGTAGGCTTCGGCGGAGCACCGCAGTCGCATGGCTGCTGTTACAACTAAGTACGCTTATGTTAGAAGTAATAGGTGGTTTGCGAAGGTAGTCGTGATAACTGAGATGGTATTGGTGCTGTTGCTTCTGTACAGGATGAAGGGAACAACGGACAAACTGACAGCTGCACGAAAAGAAATGTCAGACACCGAGGAAGTTGGTACGCATCATTGATTATGAATATGTGTGTGTGCTTTAGAATGTTAGAAGTAAAGGTGCCTTATTTTCTACAATTTATGCTGCTATGACGATAGCGCTTGCCATTAGCGACGAGCTAGGCAGAAATCGTGAGAAGATCAAAGCCACACATGAAAAAGTGAAGGGAGTGAACGAGATGGCTCGCCGTGGAGGAAATATTGTCGGTCGTATGTCTGCTCGCGACAAGCGACAACGAATAGCGTTGGCCATTGCCGCGGGGTTCATCATTATCGCAATTTTGCTGCTGATTTACTTTGGCATGTTTAAGAAGAAGTAGTCACAGACTTTTGTTGCACGTGGTAGTAAACAGGTATATGTGACTTGCATTCTTTTATAGTACATCAAAATTGAAGCCATTTTTCTTGCAATTCTTTGTATCATTTTTCAGCTTGACTTTATTAGCAAAATCTGGCTTTCTATTGGTCAAAATCCATTATTGCCCATGCGATATCACTTTCAATTAATTTATGACTCCACCCATGCGGAAGGACGGTGATGTGCTGGCCATGGGCATCGAGGGAAGCGCCAATAAACTTGCTGTAGGTATCATTCGCTACTTTGCTGATGGTGAGACAGAGATCCTGTCAAATCCTCGCAAAACGTACATTACGCCTCCAGGCCAAGGATTTTTACCTCGTGAGACAGCGTGGCATCATCAGAACCACGTGGTGGGCATCGTGCGAGCGGCGTTGATTGAAGCGAACGTATCTCCGCAACAATTAGATTGTATTTGCTACACTAAAGGTCCAGGAATGGGCGGTCCACTGCGTTCAGCTGCTGTATTCGCCCGCATGCTGTCACTACTATGGAACAAACCACTCGTGGGCGTCAATCATTGCGTCGGGCGTACGTTACTATCCATTTGGCAGCAATTATTGTAGTTCTCTCTGGATTATTGATTAATGTTGCAGCAATTATTGTTGATCTCGTTTGAATAATGAAATGATGTGCCATTTGTTTGTTTGTGCAGATATTGAGATGGGGAGAACCGTGACCAAGGCCGCCGACCCCGTCGTGTTGTATGTCAGTGGCGGCAATACTCAAGTTATTGCCTATTCAATGCAGTGGTGCGGGCTTTATGTTTATCGGAGCATCTCTTACAATATTACTAATGAGTTTATGTAATATTGCGATGTACAGCTATCGCATTTTTGGAGAGACGATCGACATCGCCGTTGGAAATTGTTTGGACCGCTTTGCGCGAGTGCTGGAGCTTTCCAATGACCCGAGTCCCGGTTATAACATTGAAGTGCTGGCGAGAGAGTACGCAGACGTGCGATATTGTTATAGTAGCTTGTCGGATTCGCTTCTGATCGAATGTTGGCTCGACTTCTGTGGCTTTGTTCAGAGGCAAGAAATACATTGAGCTCCCATATACTGTGAAGGGTACGGACGTGTCCTTTTCGGGTATCTCGACCTTCATTGAGAAGGAGGCCAAGTATGTTATGTTGTTATGACTAGTGTTTTCTGTGTACAAGTCTGAATCTTGTGTCTCTCTCTGCAGCGACAAGATTAAATCGGGTGAATGTACCAAGGCGGACTTGTGCTACTCGTTGCAAGAAACGATTTTCGCGATGCTTGTGCGTTCTTTCATCAGCTGAATGTGCAGCTTGCTTGTAAATCTGAGGATCTATGGTCGTGCATTTTTTAACCTCTCTGTTAGGTGGAAATTACGGAGCGTGCAATGGCTCACTGTGGGCAATCAGAGGTGCTTATTGTTGGTGGTGTGGGATGTAAGTTTACGAGGCATCATCCTTCGATTCCAAGGTAATAATTAATGCTTAACTTCCATTGTTCTGTTGTGATCACGCAGGCAACTTGCGTCTACAGGAAATGATGGGTATGATGGCGAAGGAACGTAATGGGCGCGTCTGTGCTATGGACCATCGCTATTGCGTCGATAATGGTGCTATGATTGCTCAAGCTGGGGTCCTGCAATTTCAGCATGGTGGGGATACTCCACTTCACGAGGCTACATGTACCCAAAGGTATGATGTACTTGTTACGATTCGTGAAATGGTTGATCTGAAAAACCATCTTCTGTGTGGCTTCAGATTCCGCACCGATGAGGTTCCTGTGATTTGGCGCTCCGATTAGGCAGGCAGATTTGACACAAAATATATCCTACCTTATTGTTCGGTATCAAGAGTCGGCGTGGCTTCATCTTCTTCTCACGTGTGTGTAAGGTCAAAGACGGCGACGAATTCACTCGTTTTGGAAGATTCAAGCTATCGACTCGTTTGTTTCAGCAAAGCAAACCCAGGTTGTACCAAAATCCACACATTATACGATGTCTTTTCAGCATTACGCAACACAGCTTGCATTAGCTCATGGCATCGTCGCTTGTCGTTGCCATTTGCACGACAATTTCGTTGAGGTTGTAAAAAAGATAGAGAGCAACAGCAGGCGATGCATTTTCATTTTAATGTATTGTATTCGGTTTCTTGCCCAATATCGGATACTCTGTTCGGAGGTTCTTGACCATGCAGCGGCATACGATCTGATCGATAAGCAATGCAAGCATTCTTCATTGTGTTAAGAAATGGTTGATCATTCGATCGGCTGGTTGATTTTAGATTAGCCGAAGAGTAGTTAGTATCCTTCATTTTTTCGTGAGCCGTCGCGTCTGTTGACAGTACTACAACGATTCTACAAGAAAGACAGCAGCTCTCTCTTTGGTATCTGGGCCATATATTTTTCGCAAACTAAGCGACAGCGCGAGTCTTGTATGAACAGGATCAGTCACATTATCGCGCAAACACCTTTGGAGCATCTTCGAAAACTAGAAAGAAATCTACACCATTTTCCTTGATGCACTGCGACAAGAGCTCATCGTCACCAAAAAGTTGTCTTGATTTGAGGCCGATCATCTGAACCTCTGTATTTGGTGACACGTCCGACAAGATGCTGGAGCGCAGAAGCTTTTTCAGAGCAGATACGTCCTTACAAGCGTCAAAACTCACTCGAACTTCAATAAGCTGCAGCACCCACAGCGTAACAACGAGCTTGTTAGACACTCTGCTTACGTCACAATGGCTCGATTAAAACATACCTCAGGGAAACTCCTATCGGTTACAAACTTTAACACAATGTGCTCTGATAGATCGTAAGAACCAGTCGGTTTGAGGTCTGAACCGTCACCAGTTTCTTCACCAGGATAATCTTCGTCTTCCTCACTAGGTAAAGAATCAACATCGACCTCCTGTTCTTTAACATTGGCTATAGCACGATTAGCGACAATAGCGGCACGTCGATCGGTCCTCAAACGAGCTCTGGTCACCAACGGTATCGCGCTCGCGTCATTACGAGATCTGTACTTCTTTACAGAGACTCTCGATGCACGATGTACAGTTGGCTGCTCCTCTTGTTTAACAAGAGGTGACAAGTTGTTTCCTTCTGCTGGTCTTTTCCGAGTTGTAAACTTGGTATTTTGCATATTCTTCCACTTGTCCTATAATCAAATGACCTTACATAAGCGACAACGACACAAGTGCAAAGTCGATCAATTTCTATAGCATTTTGCACCTTTAAGTCAACGTTAGTCCGGTGTTTCGAAAATACATCTTGGCCATCAATTAGTATCTGTTTCCACTTGCCCGTCCCGTACTTTTTCACTCCATGACGAAGAAACTTTTCCTCTTCATCACTCCAAAAGACCGTCTGTCTCCGTCCCCTTTTAACGCCATAACACACACTGTAAGTACCATATTCCGCCCTCTTTTAGCGCTCCACGTACTCTCTACGACGAGCATTCATCCCTTCCGTCATGTCATCAGTCTGGCTTTCCACACTGCTATCACTATCACCTGTGTCTTCCTCATACTCGTCGTCCTCGTCGCCATCGTTCGCACTGCCACAATTCAATTGTCTCGAGCGCATTGAGACATCATCGTCGCTGAGCTGTGAGTGCCGGTCCAGCGGTTCCTTGCGTTTTCGACCTAATGACGTGACAGAACTGATGGAAGAGCGTCTGATGCTGGACGACAGCGCCGGCGCTGCGATGGAAGAGGACATCACTGAGCTTTACGATTTACAGCACAAAATTTGAAAATAAAAAGTGTCCAGTATCTCACAAATTTTGATTAAATCTGCAAACGGGTACACGAGTCGGTAGAGTATATGATATGTAACAGGGCACCTAATTACACGTAAACATTAAGTAATATACTTAATGTAAAGGTCTAAAAGTACATGTATCCATGATTGTAACGGGGTTACACGACGGTTGTAGCGTCTTTCCGAGAGTTTACGGTTAAACTCCCCTTGTATTGCATAGAATGCATTATTATACTTCTCTTTAGAGAGGTATTAAGTATAAGCGTTGAGATACGGTATTCGGTAATACCGTATCTTATCGATTAGGATTCGATAATCGATAACGCTGTACTAAGTACATCATACACAGATGTTTAGACGATACGTCGTCCAATAGCAAAAGTCTGTATATAATAATTACTATTATCGTAATTAATCTAGTGTAGTGTTCTTAGAGTAGGACTCTTCATAAAATCTTAAAGCATAAATATAATCAGTTCTCCTTTTGAGTTTAAGATCGCAAGTCGTTCTGACTTGTTCTCTTGTGCACTTCGTGCGTTGGTTCTCTGAACCTCTAAGCTCTAGCTTGTTCTTGCACTCTGTGCGTTGGTTCTCTGAACCTTAAGCTTATTGCTTGCTGACTAAAAGTCTCTTTCCTACTTCCTTAGAACAGGGTGACTTTAAGTCGTTTAATTAGTTCCTTAGAACTAAGTGGCTTTTAGCTTTAACTCTATTTAGTTCTCTAGAACTAAGAGGCTTCCAGCCGAAAGTCTTCCTCTGGCTAGAGAGCTGTGCAGCTCCGCTACACTTGGTAGCACTTGTATTTAATCCTACATCTGAGTCTTTAAAGACTGACCCTCTGTGAGGATGAAGAATCAAAATCACCTCTCTGAGGCACAACGACTCGCCTTAGATAAACTATCGGCGTTCGTCGGGCCCAACCAAATCGAGGCCCTTTTGGCGAAAGGCCTCGAGGTTCTAAATGCTCGTCTTAAGGCCTTTATGCGTTATGAAGCAACGCTCCTCGGGCAGGTCCATGACCAGGCAGCGTCAGCTGCGCCTACACAGTACATCCCGGTACCTGTGCCCGATGCAGAGCCAAAGGCTCGCCCACTTGTTTTAAACGTAAAAACCTTCGAGGGGAAGGAGGGAGAAAATTGTGGTGGAGTGGATTCTCAAACAACGTAGGAGATCCACAAACACACACAGCGCCGGACTGCCGACTTACGGAGGGGGTACCCCGATACCGTGTCTTGTTGGCCTTGGGTCTCACCTTGTGTACCCGTCGGCTTGGCTGGTGTTGCTCCTCGGTTGACGTAGAAGACTTAAACTTGGTCTTTGTATAAGACTTGGACTTGGTGGTCCCCGAGTGGATATACTTCACTTGGGACCGGGTTCTTGGGCTCAATTGACTTAGTCGAGAGCGATGCACCTGGTACTATGTACCCCTTTGGTGGCTGACTGTTCTTGGTCCTTGGACCCCTTTGTGTTCTTCCCCGTAGGGAAACCGCTTCCTGTAGCGGGTCGTAGAGTCTTGACACCTCAGGCCAACTATCCTGAGGGTCAACTTGCGTTGCTTGAGCCGTTTAACACCTGCTGGACGTCGGGGGGCCAAAGGGTATCCCGCCCGGAAGAGGTGTAGCGACGGAGAAGCTTAGGAGGGGCGCTTAAAGCTACCACGTATAATGCAAATTCGAGTGTGTTTATTTACCTTATTCTCTGTATGCTTTTCTTGCCTAACCCTAACCCTTTGATCTGGAAAGTGCCACTTGGAGGAAGGACTGGCTCCTTAGTACCCTGTACTTTCTGTAATCTTCGATATTCTGTGTACCGGTTCTGCACCCTCGGACATTGGGCCCTGGTACCCCTGGGCCTCGGTACCCCTGGGCCTCGGTACCCTGGGCCCTGGCACCCTGGTACCCTTAGGCCCCGGTACCCCGGTACCCCTGGGCCCCGGTACCCTGGTACCCTTAGGCCCCTGGGCCCCGGTACCCTGGTACCCTTAGGCCCCTGGGCCCCGGTACCCTGGTACCCTTAGGCCCCTGGGCCCCGGTATCCTGGTACTCTTAGGCCCCTGGGCCCCGGCACCATGGCACCCCTGGGCTCCGGTACCCTGGCACCCCTAGGCCCCTGGGCCCTAGTATCCTGGTACCCCTGGGCCCCTGTTACCTGGGGTCCTCATGTTGCCTGGAGTCCACATGCCACCTGGGGTCCACCTGTCACCTGGGTCAACCTGTTGCCTGGGGTCCACCGGTCACCTGGGGTCCACCGGTCACCTGGGGTCAACTTAAGCTGTCCTAGCAGCACTGGTCCTTTGGTCTGTAGTGTAGGGCATCCTAGTATCTTCTCCGAACTCGGGACCTTGGACCAGTTCGGGACCCTGGTCACTCCCTGTCACTCATTCAAGAGAGTGACCGAGATCTTTCCCGCCAGTTATTATAATAACTACGAAGGGCCCCCCATTTCTCTGGCACTTCTCCACAAAATCTTCTCCTCTGGATCCGAGAAGTTGAAATGGCATTGGATGCCGCCATGCTTGTATCAGATAAGCAACGAGTTGGCTTGGCCATTTCGAAGCTCGGTGGAAGAGCTAGAGAGTGGGCTCTAACGAGCGATGTCTCTGTAATTGCTGCATTTCCCACATGGGAAATGCTGAAAAAGCAACTAACTTGTGTGTTTGCACCGCCTAATTAGGCTTATCGTGTGCGCTCACGTTTCTTAGCTACCCGACAGGGTAAGAAAGAATTGTCGGACTATGTCCAAGAGTTGAGAACTCTTATTGCTGCTATGCAGCAGGACCCACTGGCAGAGGAAGTCCGAGTAACCATTTATATGGAAGGACTTCGCACTGGGATCACCAGGACAGAGGTTTTTCGTGTCCAGCCTTCGACTTTCGAAGAGGCAGTGAGCATAGCGTTAAACCCTGAATTTAATTTCAAATCTGCTCGCTATGGTCTGCCATGGTATAATTCAAATATCTCTAACAGGGCGGAACCCATGGACCTCAGTCAAGCGGAAGAAGCTGAGTTTTAAGCTGCTGAGCAGCAAGGTAACATCGTAGATTTTGTATGTGCGGAAGCACTAGGCATCTCCGCCCTAGCTGTCCGTTGCGAAAGCAACGTTCAAATCGGCAAAGCCAAAACCCTGCTCCTAGCCAAAAGGCGAGCACCGCAGGGGAAAACATCAACTCCCAGTAGACGCGGAGCGCCCTACTGGGAAAGAACTAAGTTCTGTTGGGTCTTTAGGAGGTAAAGGTAAACAGGGCTTAGCCCCAGGTGGTTCTGTGGATGCTCCCATAGAACAAGATTACAAGCCAGGCTTGTTGGTTGTGTCGGCAACCTTTAAAGGTTTTGAGAAACCATGGTCAATTGTAATTGACTCAGTGGCTTCAGACAATTATGTCCGACGTCGTTCTTTTGAAGGGAGTCAGCTGTATGCTAAGGCGCTAGAAGCGCAAGAGGATGACAGTATAACCGTACGTCTCGCGACCGGTGTACGTGTCACCGTTTCTAAAGTTCCGTTGAACTTAGGTGTGAAGTTCTTAGACTTCAATAGCGTTGAACGCTGTCTTGTCCTAGATTTGGACTCGAGATATGATCTCATTCTCGGTATGGCCTGGCTGGAACGCCTTGAGCCGTGGATCGATTGGAGATCCAAAACTTTAGGCGCAACGCGCAATGTTCCTAGCGATGCTTTGGAGAGTCATGAACCCACCTTCGCTAGAAAACAAAAATGCTATTGGCGTGAGCCATTAACTGATTCAGTTAGTGTGCTGGACATTGGAGTGTCTGAGTTGATAAACTCCGATGTCAACAATAATAGTGTCGAGCAGAGCTCAATGACACTTAGTGGAACGGCACGTACTCCGTTGAGTGATACTCAAAGTATTTTTGAGACACTGGATGTCGGTAATGACATCGGCTCTTGTATAGAGCAAGTTAAGGTCGATGACCTTGTTAGTAAAGTCACTGGTACTAGTGACTCAATGGATGTCAGTAATGACATCGGCCCTCGCATAGGGCAGGTTATGGTCAAGGATCTGTTGACATTGGAGATGATGGTATCCAAAGTACTTTTAATGGTACGGTCTCGTCAATGAGACGGCAGCGGCGCCAGATGGCGGCTTCGAGACGCAAAGCGTCTGCTTTATCGCGTAGAAATGTCAGTGACCAGTTATACACCCTGGTCAACGGAGTGACAGGTGATGTAGATGGTGAGGTTGACCTTGAGGTCCTTCCATCATTAAATGCTCTCTTAGGGCTAGACGAAATGTCTGTGGATGGATTTCATCAATCCTTGAAGGCTGGTGCTCTATCCGATATGGTGGTAATTCGACCTAACCTCGAGCTGAACTCATCCTCGCTTGTCGATGAGACAGTCCTCGAAGTTACAAAGGCGGCACTAAGTGCCCGTAATGGGGTATCTATTTTGAAGAACCCTTCAGATCCCTACTATCCTCTAATTAAGGAATTCCAGGACGTGGTGTGTCACGATCCACCGTCGGTTCTACCACACTGATAGGGGTGTACGTCATGAGAATGACTTGGTTCCTGGAACCAAATACTGCGTAACACGGCAGTAGCCTTTACCCAAAGAACAGTGTGACTTCAATGACGAGTTCTTTCGTGCAAAGCACGCGGCATGCATGGTGCGCGGGAGCAAAATCTCCGCACTCGACACCCACTTTCTGTGTTAAGAAACCGAATGGTAGATGGCGTATCGTTCATGCTTATAATAAGCTCAATGCAGCCACTATACCTGCAAGACGCCAATACCTAGAAAGGATGTTCTTCAGAACAATATGTTCGATTGTACCATGTACAGTGCGCTCGACTTAGTCGACGGTTATTACCAATTGCTTATGCGAGCTAGCGATATTCCGCTTACTGCTGTTAGTACTCCGATCGGTATGCTCTGGGAGTGGTTGGTGATGCCCCAGGGGCTATCTAATGCTCCGGCTACGTTTAACCGTTTGGTGA